TTTTACCCCTTTTTCGATTGAACCGTTTACAATGCCTAGGCTCGGTTTGTAAGGCTACCACTTGTCCTCTGTACGGTATTTATGGTCAAGGTCATAGAGGATGTCACCGTGTTGAGCGGTACTGAGCGTGGTCTCCTCCCTTTCCTCAGTCCATTGGTGGTGTGATGATCCCTGACCCTGTGGGGCTGATGCTACTAACACACTAATGTCTGCCGCTCGGGCAGGCCCCAGTAATGATGCCATTCATCACATGTATTTATAGAACACCAGGGCACCTTTCATAAAGGAGCACAAGGACCTGTGGGCTTCTGTTCAGCAACAAGTTCTACAACAGGACTCTTCTCTCCCTAGAGAGAGAGGGAGAGAGGGAGGGGAGAGAGAGAGGGAGAGATGGAGGGGAGAGAGAGGGAGAGAGAGTGGGGAGAAAGAGAACAAGGGAGGGAGGTTGGCACCTGGAACTACCAATAACCCACTATGGCATCTATAACCTATGAGTTTCAGATTGTACGCTATTAGACAGAGACGTTATCAGATGAGCTTCATGAGCGAGATGTTACTGGTGCTGTATGTTGAGTGTACTACTACTTCATGAAATACACTTCTAAACATCACCGTGACCTTTGACTTAGGAATAGGGCCGAAAATGTCTAATGGCAAAGTAACAAACACTGTGTATACTGACATCAGTATTAATGTCAACGATGAGTCAAGCACATGGTAACCACTTTTGTAATAAAAGAGAAACGTAGCCTATATCAGGTTTTTGGAGTGCTAAAGCTGGAGTCACTCTGCAACTGAATTACCCAAGACCACTTGCCTGAGTAAGAGTCGGCACGCCCTGTTTTAACCAGAAAGAGCAACAGAATATATACATATTTCATCTGAATTTCATGAGTTTCTTTCAACAGCATTGTGTGGGTATTTCCTGTTGTCTAGCCTAATTCCCTGTTATGTCTCCTCTCCTGTTTCTCCAGCCTTGGCCTTCATCCTGAGAGGTCTCTGGTGGCAACTGGTCAGGTAGGGAAGGAACCCTACATCTGTGTGTGGGACACCTTCAGCGTACAGACCATCTCTGTCCTCAAGGATGGACACTCCCATGGGGTGGCCTGCCTGGCCTTCAGCGCGGATGGACAGGTGAGACACACACACACCCGCACACACACATCACAACACACACCACCTCACACCCGACTCACCTCACGCACTCCTGCATGCACACCTCTCTCTCATCCACCTCTTGTCTTAGTGGATTGTTTCCTGTCCTATCACCCTGTTACCAAGGCAAACCTGTTTGATGTTCTGAGTCTCAGTGAAAAACAACAATACTTTGTCACACAGCAATGTGAGCGCTCCATTATTTGCGAGATTGAAGGGTCATAATCAGGGATTGGAACCGGTTCAGGGAATAGAACTGAAAACTGGAAAATAACTAAATGTTTTGAGGAACAGAACCAGAAATGGGAACCAAAGTGATCTCTAGTGTTCCGGAACAGAACCGTTATTTTCTAATCTTGAGAACCGGTTAATAATATTATTTTTTGTTAAAAACAATATTGCTAATGGCTAGTATTTCATTCAGTAATTCAGTTATGATGCTAGTAGCCTAATAGCCTAAACACATTCCAATTCACGTCATGTCATGATGTTCAGTGGGAGGGGGGGGGGGGGGGGGGGTCGAACCAGTTCAGAACTTTATTTTGCTGGTCGGAACACTGGAACGGAATGAAAAGAGTAAGGGTTCTGTTCGGAACAGAACGATAGAAAATAATTTCAGTTCCAACCACGGGTCATAATTCATATTCCCCTGAGATTTCTCCCTGTAATATAATTTGAAATTGTGCCTTATAGCCTACAGTGGGGAAAAAAAGTATTTAGTCAGCCACCAATTGTGCAAGTTCTCCCACTTAAAAAGATGAGAGAGGCCTGTAATTTTCATCATAGGTACACGTCAACTATGACAGACAAAACCAGAAAATCACATTGTAGGATTTTTAATGAATTTATTTGCAAATTATGGTGGAAAATAAGTATTTGGTCAATAACAAAAGTTTCTCAATACTTTGTTATATACCCTTTGTTGGCAATGACACAGGTCAAACGTTTTCTGTAAGTCTTCACAAGGTTTTCACACACTGTTGCTGGTATATTGGCCCATTCCTCCATGCAGATCTCCTCTAGAGCAGTGATGTTTTGGGGCTGTCGCTGGGCAACACAGACTTTCAACTCCCTCCAAAGATTTTCTATGGGGTTGAGATCTGGAGCCTGGCTAGGCCACTCCAGGACCTTGCAATGCTTCTTACGAAGCCACTCCTTCGTTGCCCGGGCGGTGTGTTTGGGATCATTGTCATGCTGAAAGACCCAGCCACATTTCATCTTCAATGCCCTTGCTGATGGAAGGAGTTTTTCACTCAAAATCTCACGATACATGGTCCCATTCCCGAGTGGCGCAGTGGTCTAAGGCATTGCATCGCAGTGCTAGCTGTGCCACTAGAGATCCTGGTTCGAATCCAGGCTCTGTCGTGGCCGGCCGCAACCGGGAGACCAATGGGGCGTGTACTGGCTTAAGCAGGGGGACATGTACTGGCTTAAGCAGGGGGACACGTCTGGCACTGCAGGATTTGAGTCCCTGGCGGCGAAGTGTGTTACTGATGGTAGGGTTTGTTACTTTGGTCCCAGCTCTCTGCAGGTCATTCACTACGTCCCCCCGTGTGGTTCTGGGATTTTTGCTCACCGTTCTTGTGATCATTTTGACCCCACAGGGTGAGATCCTGCATGGAGCCCCAGATCGAGGGAGATTATCAGTGGTCTTGTATGTCTTCCATTTCCTAATAATTGCTCCCACAGTTGATTTCTTCAAACCAAGCTGCTTACCTATTGCAGATTCAGTCTTCTATTGCAGATTTTGTTTCTGGTGTCCTTTGACAGCTTTTTGGTCTTGGCCATTGTGGAGTTTGGAGTGTGACTGTTTGAGGTTGTGGACAGGTGTCTTTTATACTGATAACAAGTTCAAACAGGTGCCATTAATACAGGTAACGAGTGGAGGACAGAGGAGCCTCTTAAAGAAGAAGTTACAGGTCTGTGAGAGCCAGAAATCTTGCTTGTTTGTAGGTGACCAAATACTTATTTTCCACCATAATTTGCAAACAAATTCATAAAAAATCCTACAATGTGATTTTCTGGAGAAAAAAATTCTCAATTTGTCTGTCATAGTTGACGTGTACCTATGATGAAAATTACAGGCCTCTCTCATCTTTTTAAGTGGGAGAACTTGCACAATTGGTGTCTGACTAAATACTTTTTTCCCCCACTGTATATCACATAGCCTATAGCCATGGGAATGGGATTGTGGTGGTGGGTTGCTGAGAGAAGTGAAGCCTGCTGGGTAACTGTGCAGACTGGGGATGATGTACAGCCCTCTCATTAATCATGTTTACTGGGAGGAATGCTGGGACAGCACCATTCTCCTATGACCTTTAGATTGATGTATGGGGCTCTATGAGAGTCTCCTACAGCAGCAGCATATTGACTTCCCCCTACAAGACCCGTAGGCTACACCCAGGATAGAGGGAGGAGGGGGTGGAGGGAGGGGATGGAGGGAGAAGATGGAGGAAGGGGATGGTGGGAGGGGAAGGAGGGAGGGGATGGAGGGAGAAGATCGAGAAAGGGTATGGAAGGAGGGGACGGAGGGAGGGGACTGAGGGAAGGGATGGAGGGAGGGTACGGAGGGAGGGGACGGAGGGAGGGGGACTGAGGGGAAGGGACGGAGGGGAGGGTACGGAGGGGGGGGACGGAGGGAGGTGACGGAGGCAGGGGGATGGAGGGAGGGGACTGAGGGAGGGGACGGAGGGATGGGGGACGGAGGGGAGGGGATGGAGGGAGGGGGACTGAGGGATGAGATAGAGGGAGGGGACGGAGGGAGGGGACAGAGGGAGGGTACGGAGGGAGGGTACGGATGGAGGTGATGGAGGCAAGGGACGGAGGGAGGGGACTGAGGGAAGGGACGGAGGGAAGGGACTGATGAGATAGAGGGAGGGGAGGGAGGGAGAGGACATGAGGGAGGGGACGGAGGGAGGGTGATGGAGGCAGGGGATGGAGGGAGGGGACTGAGGGAGGGGAGGAAGGGGATGGAGGGAAGGGACGGAGGGAGGGGGACGGAGTGATGAGATAGAGGGAGGGGAGGAAGGGGATGGAGGGAGGTGATGGAGGGAGGTGATGGAGGGATGAGATAGAGGGAGGGGAGGAAGGGGATGGAGGGAGGTGATGGAGGGAGGTGATGGAGGGATGAGATAGAGGGAGGGGAGGAAGGGGATGGAGGGAAGGGACGGAGGAAGGTGATGGAGGGAGGTGATGGAGGGATGAGATAGAGGGAGGGGAGGAAGGGGATGGAGGGAAGGGACGGAGGAAGGTGATGGAGGGAGGTGATGGAGGGATGAGATAGAGGGAGGGGAGGAAGGGGATGGAGGGAAGGGACGGAGGAAGGTGATGGAGGGAGGTGATGGAGGGAGGTGATGGAGGGAGGGCTGCTGTTGTGGTTGCCTTCATTGTGGTTTTACAGTTGACACATACAATGTCATGTCAGAGGAGGCTGCGGTGGGTGAAGAATGTGTCTCGCTGCTCCCTAAGTAATTGGGTGTTTGGAGGAAGGGAGGGAGGGAGGGAGGGAGGGAGGGAGGGGAAGGGTCGGTGAGGAGAGCTAGCGCTAATGCAGCTGAGTGTCTGGATGAAGAGAGGAGAGAGAGAGAGGGGGTTGGTGAGGAGAGCCAGGGCTAATGCTGCCGAGTATCTGGACCAGGGAGGGGCAGCAAACAAGGTTTACCTCAGACCCTTGGTCAATCATAAAGACATTTAGGCCTTGTTATCATATAGCTCCATTCTGAAATGCATTAGATGGCTGTTTTCTTGGAACCCCTGTGTGCACAGCAAGTAAACAACTCTGGATGGATGTGGTTGTTTGATTGGGATTTAAATGGATTTGTGGATGAATGGTTGTGGCAAACCACAGATATGACAAAATGTATTCTCTCCCACTGAAATGTATTGATTCATGGAAACACACATTACCTTTCACTGTAATTCAGTTAAGTCATCAGCACAGTAGGTCAACTTACATTTGACATTCATCTCCTCTCTTTTGTACAATTTGTAGAATTGCCTTATATTGGAGCATCACATCTGAAATATCCCTGACATTTAAGTCTAATAAATGTTTTTATCTAGTCATATTTCTTTGTCATCCCACAAATCCCTGTAAAATATTCAGGACGAGTATGCAGGGAGACAGTTGGCACAAATGTTCCTAAATGCCTTGCTCCTTTGTCTCATAAAATGGGTAATTAACAATTAACTTCATGAATGGTGATTGCAGCCAGACTAATTGGAAACAATTTGCATTCCTTTCCTTTCTACAGTGAGCGTGATAAAATATAGCCAGCCTTTTTAGTAGTGCTGTTCAAGGTCTTACTGTATTATCTGCAAATTTCTATGCTGCCTGTGAACTGTGTCTCTGCAGCTGTCACATAGAAAAATGATGTCATATGTCCCCTCCCACTGGGCACAAACTGGTTAAATCAAAGTTGTTTCAAAGTAATTTGTCAACGTATTTTGGCGTGGAATCTACGTGGAAAATACATTGGATTTGAAAAAAGTAATCAACGTAAACTGTTATTTTTAGGGTAAAATTTCAACCACAGAATTATGTCATCATGGTAACCAATTTTCAACATAGACAAACCTTGTATAAAATATGTTGAATTTGTACATTTGAAACAATGTCAGCGAGTTGATCTATCTACAGCTATTACTTCTCGCATCCAGGGTTTTAACCAAGCCCTGCTTAGCTTTGATTTTTGTCACTGACTATAACCAATGTACTATCGTGAGAATGATTGTTGAGAAATCTCCACTTAATACAGTTGAAGTCGGAAGTGTACATACACTTAGGTTGGAGTATTAAAACTCGTTTTTTAACCACTCCACAAATTTCATGTTAACAAACTAGAGTTTTGGCAAGTCGGTTAGGACATCTACTTTGTGCATGACACAAGTAATTTTTCCAACAATTGTTTACAGACAGATTATTTCACTTATAATTCACTGTATCACAATTCCAGTGGGTCAGAAGTTTACATACACTAAGTTGACTGTGCCTTTAATCAGCTTGGAAAATTCCAAAAAATGATCTCATGGCTTTAGAAGCTTCTGATAGGCAAATTTACATCATTTGAGTCAATTGGAGGTGTACCTGTGGATGTATTTCAAGGCCTACCTTCAAACTCAGTTCCTCTTTGCTTGACATCATGGGAAAATCAAAATAAATCAGCCAAGTCCTCAGAAAAAAAATTGTAGACCTCCACAAGTCTGGTTCATCCTTGGGAGCAATTTCCAAACACCTGAAGGTACCATGTTCATCTGTACAAACAATAGTATGCAAGTATAAACACCATGGGACCATGCAGCTGTCATACCGCTCAGGAAGGAGACGTGTTCTGTCTCCTAGAGATTAACGTACATTGGTGCGAAAAGTGCAAATCAATCACAGAACAACAGCAAAGGACCTTGTGAAGATGCTGGAGGAAACAGGTACAAAAGTATCTATATCCACAGTAAAACGAGTCCTATATCGACAAAACCTGAAAGGCCGCTCAGCAAGGAAGAAGCCACTGCTCCAAAACCGTCAAAAAGAGCCAGACTACAGTTTGCAACTGCACATGGGGACAAAGATCGTGCTTTTTGGAGAAATGTCCTCTGGTCTGATTAAACAAAAATAGAACTGTTTGGCCATAATGATCATCGTTATGTTTGGAGGAAAAAGGGGGTTCCTTGCAAGCCGAAGAACCATCCCAACCGTGAAGCACGGGGGTGGCAGCATCATGCTGTGGGGGTGCTTTGCTGCAGGAGGGACTGGTGCACTTCACAAAATAGATGGCATCATGAGGAAGGAAAATTATGTGGATATATTGAAGCAACATCTCAAGACATCAGTCAGGAAGTTAAAGCTTGGTCGCAAATGGGTCTTCCAAATGGACAATGACCCCAAGCATACTTCCAAAGTTGTGCCAAAATGGCTTAAGGATAACAAAGTCAAGGTATTGGAGTGGCCATCACAAAGCCCTGACCTCAATCCTATAGAACATTTTTGGCCAGAACTGAAAAAGCGTGTGCGAGCAAGGAGGCCTACAAACCTGACTCAGTTACACCAGCTCTGTCAGGAGGAATGGGCCAAAATGCACCCAACTTATTGTGGGAAGCTTGTGGAAGGCTACCTGAAACGTTTGACCCAAGTTAAACAATTTAAAGGCAATGCCTCCAAATACTAATTGAGTGTATGTAAACTTTTGACCCACTGGGAATGTGATGAAAGAAATAACAGCTGAAATAAATCATTCTCTCTACTATTATTCTGACATTTCACATTCTTAAAATAAAGTGGTGATCCTAACTGACCTAAAACAGGGAATTTTTACTAGGATTAAATGTCAGGAATTGTGAAAAACTGAGTTTAAATGTATTTGGCTAAGATGTATGTAAACTTCTGACTTCAACTGTAGATTCACTGTTGCTATTGAAGTCATTCTAAAGGGTAGTTTCAACAGAACAAATGAAATGTAACCATAGTCGATAAGGCATATATCACCAATGATACTATTTAGGCCTATATTCATATACGAAGTCATCAACAGCTATTGTTTCAATTCAACCCAGGATTCAACTAAAAATAGACAATACATATGTCACGTTCATTGAGTACAGGATTGGACCAAGGTGCAGAGTGGAATGCATACATGTTTATTCACTAAGTTAACACATGACAAAACAACAAAAGCAACGTAACGTGAAGCTCACAATGGCTACACACAAACAAGCCAAACAAGAGTCAAGATCCCACAACATAGGTAGGCAAAACGGCTACCTAAGGATGATCCCCAATCAAAGACAACGGTCGACAGCTGCCTCTGATTGGGAACCACACCCGGCCAACATAGAAATACACAACATAGATATACACATAGAAATTCACACCCTGCCCAAACCAGCTAGAGAAAGGCTTTCAAGGTCAGGGCGTGACAGTACCCCCCCCAAAGGTGCGGACTCCGGCCGCAAAACCTAACTTAACAGGGGAGGGTCCGGGTGGGCATCTAGCCTCGGTGGCGGCTTCGGCTCTGGGCGTGACGTCCTCTCCCTTACTGCCTCCCCGTTGCACCCCTGGTCCGGTCTGGACCTCGGTGCGATGCTTCCCCTCTCAGTCCTCCCACGAAGCACCAAGCCCTGTCTGGACCCTGGTGTGGGAGACCCCGACCCTGGAGAGGGGCCAACATCTGTGCCTGGACCGGCAATCCCCCCGCGATGCACCAAGCCCTGTCTGGACCCTGGTGTGGGAGGCCCTGACCCTGGAGAGGGGTTGACGTCTGGTTCTGGAGTGGAGCCGCTGACCGGAGCTGAACTGAACCCCGGTGGAGCGGACTGGACTGGAGCAGCTGACCGGGGCTGGACTAGGCACCGGTAGAGCGGACTACTCTGGCACCGGAGTGGAGCCGCTGACCGGAGCTGGACTGGACACCGGTGGAGCGGACTTCTCTGGCACTGGAGTGGAGCAGCTGACCGGAGCTGGATTTGGCACCGGTGGAGCGGACTGCTCTGGCACTGGAGTGGAGCAGCTGACCGGAGCTGGACTGGGCACCGGTAGAGCGGACTTCTCTGGCACTGGAGTGGAGCAGCTGACCGGAGCTGGACTAGCCACCGGTAGAGCGGACTACTCTGGCACCGGAGTGGAGCCGCTGACCGGAGCTGGACTGGACACCGGTGGAGCGGACTTCTCTGGCACTGGAGTGGAGCAGCTGACCGGAGCTGGATTTGGCACCGGTGGAGCGGACTGCTCTGGCACTGGAGTGGAGCAGCTGACCGGAGCTGGACTGGGCACCGGTAGAGCGGACTTCTCTGGCACTGGAGTGGAGCAGCTGACCGGAGCTGGACTAGGCACCGGTGGAGCGGACTGCTCTGGCACCGGAGTGGAGCAGTTGACCGGTACTGGACTGGATATACGCACCACTGGTTTGGTGCGAGGAGCAGGCACGGGCCGTGCCGGACTGGAGACAAGCACCACTGGTTTGGTGCGAGGAGCAGGCACGGGGCGTACTGGGCTGGCGACACGCACCACTGGTTTGGTGCGGGGAGCAGGTACGGGCCGTACCGGACTGGATACACGCACCACTAGTTTGGTGCGGGGAGTTGGCTCTGCTAAACCTGGCTCCGCCAGCCTCTGCTCTAAGGCCCGAGCTCTCTGCTGCTGGAGGGTTAACTCCTTTCTCAGCTCCTCCTGTTGCCTGGCCAGCTCCTCTCTCCGTGCATCCACTAATTCCTTCTCCCTACGGGCCTCCTGCAGCGCCTCCTCTTGAAGGGAGCTCTCCTGCTCTATCCTCGCTATCAGTCCCCGTAATGTGGTGGCCTCCTCTCTCAAACTGCTGATCCACAGGTCTTGGAGGACCTCTAAAATAGCGGCCTCCTCCTCCACAGTCAGCCCTTTCACGGCCTCCTGCTGCTTCGTCGACCACCCTGTGTGCCCCCCCAAACATTTTTTCTTGGGGTTGCCTCTCGGGTCTCCTTCGTCGTTTCGCATTTTGGAGTCGCCGTCTTTTCTCCCTCGCTGCCTCTGTTTGCTCCCAAGGAAGGCGATCCATACCATCCTGGATCTCTTCCCACGTCCATGATCCTTTTCCTTCCAGTATCTCCTCCCATGTCCAGGATTTTTGCTTTTCCTGGCCACGCTGCTTGGTCCGTATTTGGTGTGATCTTCTGTCAGGTCCGTTGAGTACAGGATTGGACCAAGGTGCAGCGTGGAATGCATACATGTTTATTCACTAAGTTAACACACGACAAAACAACAAACGTAACGTGAAGCTCACAATGACTACACACAAACAAGCCAAACAAGAGTCAAGATCCCACAACATAGGTAGGCAAAACGGCTACCTAAGTATGACGGTCGACAGCTGCCTCTGATTGGGAACCACACCCGGCCAACATAGAAATCCACAACATAGATATACACATAGACATTCACACCCTGCCCAAACCAGCTAGAGAAAACAGGCTTTCAAGGTCAGGGCGTGACAACATATAGGCCTAGGGTTTCAAGCTTTGGTTGATTTCAGTTAATAAGTTAACAATTGATATGTTGGATTCACGTCTTCATATCAACCAAAAATCTAAGTTAAAGAATAGGATTAAATCAAATCAAACTGTATTTAAAGTGCATTTAAAGTTTGATTTAGTCCTATTCCTTAACTTAGATTTTTGGTTGAAATGGATACTTGAATTCAAAATGTAAATTATTAATTTGTAGACAAACTGGAATTAAAGCCAGACTCAGTGGCGCAGAAGAAACATCTCCTTCAAATGTTGTTATCTGATTGCGTTGACAACCAAACACAATTTAATATCACTTTCGCAATACGGTAAATAGCCTATTAACTTGTTGACAAGTTAACAAATTATATGTTGGATTCACGTCTCCATTACAACCAAAAATGTAAGTAAAATAATAATATTAAGCCAGTGGCTTAGATCTAACTATCCAAGTAGTACATACATCTGCTTTAAATGTTGATATTTGGTTGCATTGTCAACCAAACACAACTCAATATTACTTTTGTAATACGGTAAACAGTCTTCAGGCTATCTTAATGTAACAGTTTTTTTTCAACCTTAAAATGAGTAACACATCCATGGCCACATTTTGAGGTTACTGTAACTATAAAAGTCTTATAATGTAATCATAGAAAGCGTGCATGTCCAAGGTCGCAGGTCTGTGGAAATCTTCACAATTGCTATAATAATCTGCACAGAATCTCCAACAGCATTGATCACTTGCACCATGTACTTTTAATATAATCTCAACTGCAATCCAGGTCATTTGGTTCTGCTATTAAATGAAGCACAGGGATAACACATTAAATTGTTGTATAAATAAACATAATATCAGACATTGATTTTCCATTGGAATTTGGTTGTGCTTTTAGATGGTTGAAAGCATAGTGATAACACATTGGGGATTCAACAAACTTCTGTCTTTTTGAGTGGGTGAAAATAAGTTGAAAACTCATTGATCAACGTATCTACCAAATATGACCTAATTCTCCATGTTGAAATGATGTGGTGTGCCCAGTGGGCTGTCATATAAACGAATTGATTATGAAAATATAAACTACATTAATGAATATTTCTTTATCTTCCTCCATTGAATAGAAACAGCCTCCCTCCTTTCTTTGCAGATTAATGGATAGGTTCCCTTTTCTCTCATTCTCAGCGGCTGGCCTCTGTGGGGCTGGATGGCAAAAATACAGTGTGTGTTTGGGACTGGAAGAAAGGAAAGATACTGGCCACTGCGACAGGACATTCAGACAGGGTATGCTGTTGTGTGTACTCTGCGCATGTTTGCATTTGCGTTTGTGTGTTGTGTATTGATTAAGTGTGTATGTGAGTGTACGGTGTGTTTGCGTCTTGACTTTCTGTGTGATTGAGAGGAAATGTGTGTGTGTTATTGGCTTGGCTGTCTTTCAGATCTTCGATGTATCCTGGGATCCCTTTCAGCAGAACCGGCTGGTGAGCTGTGGGGTAAAGCACATCAAGGTGAGCTTCAGAATAACAACACAGTCTGCTCAGTCAATCCATACGCTACATTTGAGACAAGTCCAAAAATAACTTATGGGGAGCTATCAAAGTTGGCATGGGTTACCCTGATCCAATGCAGCCGGCAGCAGTCTATTTTGAAGTTCTACAACAAGGGTTCCCAACCTCTTTTCAACAGGGCCCCCTTTTTGACATTTGACTGTCCATTTCTTTTGACTTTAGAAGGTCGTAGCTTATCTTCTGAATGTCATAGAGACAAACCCAATGTACATAAGAGTTGCCTCTTCCTCTGCATTTTACAAATTATTTCTAGCCTAAAGCATTGCAGAGTTAAAAAATACAATAGAACAATCAAGGACCCCCCCCCCCCCCCCCTATTCTTCAACATGTACGTTTATACGGTTGTTGTTAAAAGTGGAGGAGTAGGTAGGTGCTCTCAGATATCCTGGCAGTAGAATGAGAAAGTGGTGTTAGGGGGACTGGGACATATTGTTTTCATTGGGTCAAAAGCAGTAATCTGGTCTGTCATTCCCCTCCGGAAGGGCTGTCTCCTAGTGTACCCACCCCCACCCCCCACACCCACACACACCACACACACACACACACACACACACCACACACACACACACACACACACCACACACACACACACACCACACACACACACACACACCACCTCACACTCCACTCACACCACACTCACACTCACACTCACATCACCCCACTCACACTCACACTCACACTCCACTCACACACCCACACACAACACACACACACACACACACACACACACACACACACACACACTCCCACACACACTCACACTCACACTTACACAACACTGAACTTACAGAAGAGCCCTCAGTTTACAATAAATATGTACATGGAAATTCCTCACAAAGAGTAGCAATGGATAATCACATTTCTAGTTGTTTTATTTACACTCTTAGAAAAAAAAGGTGCTATCTAGAACCTAAAAGGGTTCTTCAGCTGTCCCCATAGGATAACCTTTTGAAAAAACCTTTCCACAGAGGGTCCTACATGGAACCCAAGAGAGTTCTACCTGGAACCAAAAAGGGTTCTACCAGGAACCAAAAAGGGTTCACCTATGGGGACAGCCGAATAACCATTTTTTAACCGTTTTATATAGCACCATCTCCAGTTATGGAAGGAGACATACATTTTTGAGTTAATTGTGCCTTCCCAACTAACCGCTGTGAGCTTTATTAGAAACAAGTGCCATGCTATCTGCCCTGAGGTGATCAGGCTGGCTAGCAAATGAACAGCAAATCAACGCATCTCCAAACATACCGTGACAGCAGCTGATCTCTGATCTCTTTCCTTTCCTGTCATTATCCACCTCTCTTTCTCATCTTCTCTTTTATCCACCTCTCTCTCTCCCTCTCCTCCATGACCTGTTTTATCCACCTCTCTCTCTACCTCTCCTCCATGACCTGTTTTATCCACCTCTCTCTCTCCCTCTCCTCCATGACCTGTTTTATCCACCTCTCTCTCTCTCCCTCTCCTCCATGACCTGTTATATCCACCTCTCTCTCTCCCTCTCCTCCATGACCTGTTTTAATCCACCTCTCTCTCTACCTCTCCTCCATGACCTGTTTTATATCCACCTCTCTCTCTAACCTCTCCTCCATGACCTGTTTTATCCACCTCTCTCTCTCCCTCTCCTCCATGACCTGTTTTATCCACCTCTCTCTCTCTCCCTCTCCTCCATGACCTGTTTTATCCACCTCTCTCTCTACCTCTCCTCCATGACCTGTTTTATCCACCTCTCTCTCTACCTCTCCTCCATGACCTGTTTTATCCACCTCTCTCTCTACCTCTCCTCCATGACCTGTTTTATCCACCTCTCTCTCTCCCTCTCCTCCATGACCTGTTTTATCCACCTCTCTCTCTCCCTCTCCTCCATGACCTGTTTTATCCACCTTTCTATTCACTGCTCCAATTATCGTGCTTCACCTTTCCTTCCTCTGCCAATGCCTACTTGTACTTCTCTCTCATTTCCTGTCTCATCTCTCCTTCTCCTTCTTTCACTCCTTCCCCCTCTCCATGTCTCTAGTTCTGGGCTCTTTGCGGGAACGCCTTGACGCCCAAACGGGGGATATTTGGGAAGACGGGGGACCTACAGACCATTCTGTGTGTGGCGTCGGCTAAAGATGATGTCACGTACTCTGGGGCGTTGAATGGGGATATCTACGTGTGGAAAGGACTGAACCTTATGCGCACGGTGCAGGCTGCTCATGGGGTGAGTGAAATACATTTACATTTTACGTCATTTAGCAGACGCTCTTATCCAGAGCGACTTACAGTTACGTCACTCTAATTCTCAACACCCATTGGCTGTACACTTCCAGACATCCAAACTCCCGCTCCGGCTAAACTCAAACATTCTCATGTCTATAATTGTGTACACTCATACACTGCAGAAACTCAATTCCCCTTCTCTCCCTATGAATCCCTTCCCTGAAACCTTAGTAAATCTATAAAGCTTTGAAAAGCATTCAAAATTAGGATTTTGCCCCCTTTTTGTGTCTCCAATACAGAAATAGACTTTTTGACCCGCACTCCATCTGAAATCATATTCCTTTTCAAGTACCTTTTTTCTATGCACAGATGAGTTTGATAATTCCCCTGCCTAAGACTAAAGTTGACTGCATTGTGTGTAGGCTGGGATCTTCAGCATGTATGCCTGTGAGGAGGGCTTCGCCACGGGGGGACGTGACGGCTGTGTCAGGCTCTGGGACGTGGACTTCAAGCCTATCACCAAGATCGACCTTCGGGAGGCTGAGCAGGGGTATAAAGGTAGGCCTGGTTTAACCTCTTAAATGTAATGGCAAAATGTTGATTTCCGCCTAAATAGACATACCCAAAAGTAACTGCTATAGTATTTATATTAGCCCTCTGATTACAAGACGTGCTGCTCTGTTCTGGACCAGCTGCAGCTTAACTAGGTCTTTCTTTGCAGCACTTGACCACATGACTGGACAATAATCAAGATAAGACCAACTAGAGCCTGCAGGCTTTTTGGAGTGTGGTGTGAAAAAAGTTGAGCATCTCTTTTGATGGAGAGACAGAGGATGCGAGGCAAATCTTTATAAGGAGATCCATCTACGCTCACAGGAATGTGTGTGCACTGTGTTGTCTATAGATTTAAGGGTCAGAGTCCAGGCTTCTGATGCAGGTCGATCCAGACACCCATAGATGTGTACAGGGGTTAACATACCGTAACCAGGGAGTATGTGCAGGTCACTTAAGTCAGTGTGTTCTGCCTAATAGAGACTGATGTGTGTTCAGCTCATTGAGGTCCCTGCCATGGTGTTTTATTAGCCTGTCCCTGTGGATTTATCATTGGCATCTGTTGACTGGGAACAGGACAGACAGACAGACAGACACAGAGAGAAGAGAGAGAGAGAGAGATAGAGAGAGAGAGAGATAGAGAGAGAGAAGAGAAGATATAGAGAGAGCTCCCTATCGAGCGATGACTCTCCTCTCTCGTCTCCTCTCCTTAGCTCGTCTCTCCTCTCCGCTCTCTCTCTCGCTCTCTCTCTCTCTCTCTCCTCTCTCTTTTGATCTGCCCCTCCTTCCTTTCAATCCATCTGAGCCAGAGGAAGCCATGTTAATCCAATCAGACAGAGAAATAAAAGATGGTTGGGTCTGAGAGAGTCTGTGCTGTATGGATGAAACAGAATAAAGGTTTCTAAACCTTTGTGACAGATGACATTTAGTCAACTCCCTGTTTCTTTCTGCTCTGTGCCTCCTGCTAAGTTGAGGAAACCATCAGTGGCACTCATGTATTATCAATGAGTCTCTTCTCACTTCCCTTCCTCTGCTCCTCTGTTCTCCTCTCCTCTGTTCTCCTCTCCTCTGTTCTCCTCTCCTCTGTGCTGAGCTGTGGTTGCCTGGCTGTTTATGGTAGCTAGGGGCTGGTAAAAGCCGAGTAAAGCTGTGTGTCCCTAGCCAGCCTCGGGGGTGGGGAATACTAATATCTGACCTTTCACAGGAAAGTGACAGTTATGAAGGCTGTGGCCTTTCTGAAAGCCCCACAGACACCCTGGGATTAGATACTGGTCTTGTTGGGTGTTTGGTGGCCGTTCAAAGATCTTAGGAAATAAATATTGTAAAATGAATCTTGATTGAGTTTAAATCAATCTTGTCGGTTTGGTCAGTAGGAATGTCATTATGCAAAAAGGATTAATGTGCAACTTTTCCAAACGTAAATTAGTACACCTTCAAAACAGCTTGTGGCTCTAGATTAGAATGTTCTACCAATGATTTTTGTACCGTCTGTATTAAGGGATTTCCAACTTCTGTTCTTGAAAGTTTTGAGTCCCAGTGAAGGTTTGATTCCCAACTGCAGATCAGTTTTAGTGAGAAGACATCTGAGATAAGTAATTACTTTTCAGAAATGGTTATTCCCCCACCGTGTCAAAGCTGAAGTTTATTGTGCAGCCAATTAACTTGAGTTCTCTGGTTGCCAGGTATTTTATGTCCACACAGATTATGAGACTGGTTTCGGTTGCAGGTACTCTTGTTAGCCTATGCATTTGCTGTAGCTGGTTTCTGGTTGCCAGGTACTGTTTTATAATTGTTTTCATATCCTGTGATGTTATTGAGGTTTTGTTATAACAAGAGTCTGGGGATTTGTAGCTGTGCTTCTCCTGACATAATTACAGACTATTTAGTACAGATGACATGCATTAGGTGATGTCTTGCATTGGGTGATGTCTTGCTGATGTCTTGCTTGTTTGAAATGCCATCGCTGTAGCAGCTCAATCTGTTTCTCCCTCTAGAGTTGTCTGCTTCATTTCTCTCTCTTCCCAAATGAAAGTCGACCTGTATCAGCCACACATTCTCCTTCTGCAATTTACTCTGTGAAAAATCGGAACGTTGTCTGAATGTAATAGTTTGTAACTCTTGACTGAAGTGTAAAACACGGTGAAGTGGATTGGATGCTGGAGTATTGAAAGTGATTGGATCCTTCATCACCTGCTGAAGAACGGGTGGGATTGCATTCGACCCACCTTTTTTGTTATACATGACAGAGCATTCATTATTTGTGATGTCCTCTCTCCCACTCTCTCTCTCTTCCCTTTCTCTCTCAGGGCTGTCTATCCGTAGTGTGTGTTGGAGGGCAGACCGTATCCTGGCGGGGACGCAGGACAGTGAGATCTTTGAGGTGATGGTTCGGGACAGAGACAAGCCTCTGCTCATCATTCAGGGTCACTGTGAGGGAGAGCTCTGGGCTCTGGACGTCCACCCCAAGAAACCGCTCGCTGTGACTGGCAGTGACGATCGGTCTGTACGGTCAGTATTAACTCCAGCAGCAATGTAGCTCGTACATCAATTCCCCTAGGAGCATCTTTATAGACCCAGTAGTTATCAGCCAGGCCAACATCCCTGTCCATTCTATTTTAATCCACCACTTCATCCAGACTTTTCATCTTAATTACATCCACTCAGTGAACCCTGACCCGCAGTACTACTTGTCCTGTTTGGTTCACTGGTTCTCCTCTCTCTCAGACGGCCCTTATTTTGTAAGCACCTGTTCTTCACATTTCTAACAGGGACAGTTCTAGGCTAGTTCAGAGCTAGCTATAGAGAAGTGTCAGCCTGTGCAAGGGACAGATCATGGATAATGAGGCCTCATGTCTGCTATCAGTAGAACTGGATCAGTCCCTCCACAACACACACACAGACCCACACAACCCTGCTCTACCAGGAGAGACAGAGCTCTCTGAGGGCCCAATCAGGGAGCCAATTAGGCTCTGTCTCACAGATACACACGCACACACATACACGCTCACACACCCAAGCGCACACACACGCTCACACACCATACTAAACACACACACATGCACCTCCTGCATCTCAGCAACTTCATTCAACATAATTGAACTTATTTCAAGCCTTCACCCTGCAGCTGTAACTAGCTCATTAAAACTTCTGTCACTTAACTACTACTCATATCATTTACTTTATTATGACTGTCACTACAGAGGCAATGTTCATAGCTGAAACTGTGCTGATTGGTCACGACTGTGTGTGTGTGTGTGTGTGTGTGTGTTTGTATGTGTGTGTGTGTGTGTGTGTGTGTGTGTGTGTGTGTGTGTGTGTGTGTGTGTGTGTGTGTGTGTGTGTGTGTGTGTGTGTGTGTGTGTGTGTGTGTGTGTGTGTGTGTGTGTGTGTGTGTGTGTGAGGTGTTCTCAGGTTGTGGAGCCTGGCAGACCACACCCTGATAGCTCGCTGTAACATGGAAGAGGCTGTCCGCAGTGTGGCCTTCAGCCACGATGGCTCTCAGCTCGCTCTGGGCATGAAGGACGGCTCCTTCACCGTGCTCCGAGTCAGGTACTGCTAACATCTGCCTTCACTACCTATCTTTAGTCCCTAGAGAGTCTTCAATTGATCCCCCTGTTGTTGCAGGAAATGTCCTACACAGCAGGAAATGTCCTACACAGCAGGAAATGCAAACTTGTAGTGTATTCAAGGTTTAAAAATAATTCTAAAGTTTGTAATTTCCTTGATTTCATTGAAATGACGTGGAAACAACGTTGATTCAACCAGTGTGTGCCCAGCAGGTTGAATTATAGCAAAGCTGGCAAAAGTATTTCCAGCATCAAACTCTTCAGATACATCTTGTAAAGAAGGGCCATAAAGTTATGCAACTTAGCCTAGTGGGCCAAAATCTCAGGTTTTAACAGTCCCCTATTGAGATGCTGAATTCATCACTTAAAGCCTGATTGAAGGCCCCAGTTTAATTTACTCCCCAGTAGGACCAGTGTGCAGGCCTGCACTTTCCATTAAGTTATAGTAAATTGGTCCGCAGTGCTGTTAATCAATACGTTTTGAAGTGGCTAATCCCCACGCTGCACTTTGAAGTGAGCAGCGCTCCCGAATTGTATTCAGTCTATTAGAAATGAGCGAGTTTACAGCAGCAGAAGCAGCTTTTTATGATTGGATGAATTTCTGTTGCCTGGGGCTGTGTTGTGTTGTGCTGTATGGTTTTGACTGAGAGACAGTATGTTTTGAAGGGTTTTACTTGTTACTTTGACTTTTATCCACCTCATCAATGGCTATAGCTGTTAGCTGATTATTATTTAGCTACATACTACACCATATGCCTTGATATTCCCCATAGGCTATTCCCTATAATTACCGTTCACCATATCTAATGGTTAGGAGTTTTCCAGGATAAGAGACTGGCACCATGATTAACAATTACAGCACATTGTTAGAATACGAAGCCATACTGTCTAGCCATCCTGCAATTACATACTCCCCTCATCTAAAATTACCAGTCAAAAATGAGTTAATCAAGTCTGGGCTGGTGGTATTGCTTTTGTGTGGGTACAGCAGGTGTGATAAGACTGGTGGTTTCATTGTAATGCCTCCTCCACAGAGTGAGACAGCAGGATGACGAGTCTAGTGGCGAGGCTCCCTCATTGTTTCAGCTGGCTTCAGACCCGCTGGGTGCATTACAAATAACAAGCAGAAGGTAGCGCTGTGCTACGCATTGACGCTGGATTTCTTAAAACGCTACTAGAGGGAGATTACATGCATCTGCGTATTATAGCAAACTTGCTTGTAACGAAAAACCCATATGAATAAACCAGCTGATCAGTTGATGTCTCGTTGTTACCATGTCAAGTGATTATGAAAGCTGACAGCTGCGTCTAGGACCCAGTTTGGGAACCCCTGGGGTAGACGCAGTCTAAGAGTAGAAGAATATAGAAGTAGAAGGCCTATATTTCATTCAAACGTTTCACCTTAAATAGCTAAATAATTTAATATATGCCATTTAAAATAACTTTATTAGCCTACATTTTCATTTGATAAAATAAAATATAGATTATATAATTAAATCACAATTGACTTGATTTAGTTACACATTTGAAATATGGACAGGCCAGGGATATTTTACCCCCGATCTTGATAAGAAATGATCATACCAGACAATTATATTTTAAAGACAATTGTATTTAATGCAGGGGCGCAACTTTCACTGGGGACGGGGGGGGGGCGACATGTCCCCCCCACACATTCTGAAATTGCATTTTTGTCCCCCCCAGTTTTATCATTGGAATGTGATACAAAACGAGGCAACAGTGTGCTTTAGGACCATGCGGACGTCTCCGAGCGGTTGGGTAGGCTGTTTGGAGTGTTTATCCGACTGGATCAAAAATAAAAAATACATTTATACCCCCCCACTTCTAAAAACAAAGTTACGCCCTTGATTTAATGGATTACATCAACTGGAAACAAATCAAATAAGAGTAGGCTACACTAACATTAGTGTTCCATTCATACAAGATGTCGGATAATTCCCACAGTAGATTTGCTGTGGTAAACGAGGAAATACTAATTTCAGTTGTGCGGAATTATTGTCAAATAGATAAATTGCCCTTAGTCGCCAGAGTTTGGGAAACACTGGACTAAAGTAACACTGTCTAAACAAAGCCACTAGGTTAGATGGATGAGCCAGCCAGCCTCCTGTACAGAGCTGAGGGATTCACTATTTTCTCTCTTTCTCTTTTGCTGATTTGCTCTCTTTTTCTCTCTCTCTCTTCCCCCTCCATCTCTCATCCCTCCCTCTCATCCGCCCTCCCCCTCTCCCCCCTCCTCCTTTTCCCTCCTCCTCTCTCTCTCCCAGGGACATGACGGAGGTGGTACACATTAAAGACAGGAAGGAGGTGATTCATGAGATGAAGTTTTCTCCGGATGGCAGCTACCTGGCCGTGGGCTCTAATGATGGCCTGGTGGATGTGTACGCCATGGCACAACGCTATAAGAAGGTGGGTGAGTGCAACAAGTCCTCCAGCTTCATCACCCACCTGGACTGGTCCATCGACAGCAAGTTCCTCCAGAGCAACGACGGGGCGGGAGAACGCTTCATCTACAGGATGCCAAGTGAGTGAATCACCGCCACCGGTGAAAAAGCGACGCTTCATAAAGACCCTGTGTCTTTCCTCTGAACTAGGCCATGATAACCATGGTATAACTTGTATTACATCAGCTTGCTGTGAACACAATCAGTGATTCAATCTAATATTTCTTGTTTCCTTATTGGGAGACGTTACATAAACAGATCACACAGCAATCAGTTTGACAGTAAACAGCAATTAGGTCCATGAAGGTGGATCACAGCTAGCTTATCGCCACGCAAGCCCTGTTACGCACACACCAGCAATCTTCACATCACGTCCGGCTTAACATCCATCGATGTGATTATGTAGTAGTTTCTTCTTATTCAGGGTGGCAGGTAGGTCGCTGGTTTCGAATACCTGAGACGACAACCCTAATTTGCTCCAGGGGCGCTGTGCCTGTAAAACAACACATTTCACTGCACCTATGGGGAGAACAAGTATTTGATACACTGCAGATTTTGCAGGTTTTCCTACTTACAAAGCATGTAGAGGTCTGTAATTTTTATCATAGGTACACTTCAACTGTGAGAGACGATATCTAAAACAAAAATCCAGAAAATCACATTGTATGATTTTTAAGTAATTAATTTGCATTTTATTGCATGACATAAGTATTTGATCACCTACCAAACCAGTAAGAATTCCGTCTCTCACAGACCTGTTAGTTTTTCTTTAAGAAGCCCTCCTGTTCTCCACTCATTACCTGTATTAACTGCACCTGTTTGAACTCGTTACCTGTATAAAAGACACCTGTCCACACACTCAATCAAACAGACTCCAACCTCTCCACAATGGCCAAGACCAGAGAGCTGTGTAAGGACATCAGGGATAAAATTGTAGACCTGCACAAGGCTGGGATGGGCTACAGGACAATAGGCAAGCAGCTTGGTGAGAAGGCAACGACTGTTGGCGCAATTATTAGAAAATGGAAGAAGTTCAAGATGACGGTCAATCACCCTCGGTCTGGGGCTCCATGCAAGATCTCACCTCGTGGGGCATCAATGATCATGAGGAAGGTGAGAAATCAGCCCAGAACTACACGGCAGGACCTGGTCAATGACCTGAAGAGAGCTGGGACCACAGTCTCAAAGAAAACCATTAGTAACACACTACGCCGTCATGGATTAAAATCCTGCAGCGCACGCAAGGTCCCCCTGCTCAAGCCAGCGCATGTCCAGGCCCGTCTGAAGTTTGCCAATGACCATCTGGATGATCCAGAGGAGGAATGGGAGAAGGTCATGTGGTCTGATGAGACAAAAATAGAGCTTTTTGGTCTAAACTCCACTCGCCGTGTTTGGAGGAAGAAGAAGGATGAGTACAACCCCAAGAACACCATCCCAACCGTGAAGCATGGAGGTGGAAACATCATTCTTTGGGGATGCTTTTCCAACTCATCCCAAACCATCTCAATTGGGTTGAGGTCAGTTGATTGTGGAGGCCAGGTCATCTGATGCAGCTCTCCATCACTCTCCTTCTTCTTACACAGCCTGGAGGTGTGTTTTGGGTCATTGTCCTGTTGAAAAACAAATGATAGTCCCACTAAGCACAAACCAGATGGGATGGCGTATCGCTGCAGAATGCTGTGGTAGCCATGCTGGTTAAGTGTGCCTTGAATTCTAAATAAATCATAGACAGTGTCACCAGCAAAGCACCCCCACACCATCATACCTCCTCCTCCATGCTTTACGGTGGGAACCACACATGCGAAGATCATCCGTTCACCTACTCTGCGTCTCACAAAGACACAGCAGTTTGAACCAAAAATCTCAAATTTGGACTCATCAGACCAAAGGACAGATTTCCACCGGTCTAATGTCCATTGCTCGTATTTCTTGGCCCAAGCAAGTCTCTTCTTATTGGTGTCCTTTAGTAGTGGTTTCTTTGCAGCAATTCGACCATGAAGGCTTGATTCACGCAGTCTCCTCTGAACAGTTGATGTTCAGATGTGTCTGTTTCTTGAACTCTGTGAAGCATTTATTTGGGCTACAATCTGAGGTGCAGTTAACTCTAATGAACTTATCCTCTGCAGCAGAGGTAACTCTGGGTCTTCCTTTCCTGTGGCGGTCCTCATGAGAGCCAGTTTCATCATAGCGCTTGATGGTTTTTGCGACTGCACTTGAAGAAATTTTCAAAGTTTTTGAAATTTTCCGGATTGACTGACCTTCATGTTTTAAAGTAATGATGGACTGTCGTTTCTCTTTGCTTATTTGAGCTGTTCTTGCCGTAATATGGACTTTGTCTTTTACCAAATTGGACTATCTTCTGTATACCACCCCTACCTTGTCACAACACAACTGATTGACTCAAACGCATTAAGAAGGAAAGACATTCCACAAATTAACTTTTAAGAAGGCACACCTGTTAATTGAAATGCATTCCAGGTGACTACCTCATGAAGTTGGTTGAGAGAATGCCAAGAGTGTGCAAAGCTGTCATCAAGGAAAAGGGTGGCTACTTTGAAGAATGGCAAATATATTTGATATTTTGATTTGTTTAACACTTTTCTGGTTACTACATGATTCCATATGTGTTATTTCATAGTTTTGATGTCTTCACTATTATTCTACAATGTAGAAAATAGTAAAAATAAAGAAAAACCCTTGAATGAGTAGGTGTTCTAAAACTTTGGACTGGTACTGTATATATATATATTTTTTATTTTTTATTTTTTTATTTTATTCATCTCTTCTGCCTGTCAAAGAGTTTCCTTCACAGACAGCTGCACAAGCCTCCCAGTCACTACATAACCACTGTCTGAAACGCTAGACAGCTGCACAAGCCTCCCAGTCACTACATAACCCCTGTCTGAAACTCTAGACAGCTGCACAAGCCTCCCAGTCACTACATAACCACTGTCTGGAATTCTAGACAGCTGCACAAGCCTCTCAGTCACTACATAACCACTGACTGCACACACACACGCACGCCTCTCTCAGCTTACACTATGTGTTTGGAGAGCTGGTTGAAAAGCCCTGTCCAAGTGGGTGACTCAGCGTTGCTCCAGGGTGTTTAGTGTTGGCAGACAGACTGTCTACACTGACTATCAGGAGGGCAACAGGTGACGCTGCTGAGCGGACAGGGTAGAGAGAAAGACAGTTTGATTGCACTTACATTTTTACTGTAACTGAGTCAGGTTTGTAGGCCTCCTTGCTCGCACACGCTTTTTCAGTTCCGGCCACACATTTTCTATAGGATTGAGGTCAGGGCATTGTGGTGGCCACTCCAATACCTTGACTTTGTTGTCCTTAAGCCATTTTTCCACAACTTTGGAAGTATGCTTGGGGTCATTGTCCATTTGGAAGACCCATTTGCGACCAATCTTTAACTTCCTGACTGATGTCTTGAGATGTTGCTTCAATATATCCACATCATTTTCCTTCCTCATGATGCCATCTATTTTCTGAAGTGCACCAGTCCCTCCTGCAGCAAAGCACCCCCACAGCATGATGCTGCCACCCCCGTGCTTCACGTTGGGATGGTGTTCTTCGGCTTGCAAGCAACCCCCTTTTTCCTCCAAACATAACGATGGTCATTATGGCCAAACAGTTCTATTTTTGTTTCATCAGACCAGAGGACATTTCTCCAGAAAGTATGATCTTTGTCCCCATGTGCAGTTGCAAACCGTAGTCTGGCTTTTTTATGGCGGTTTTAGAGCAGTGGCTTCTTCCTTGCTGAGCGGCCTTTCAGGTTATGTCGATATAGGACTCGTTTTTCTGTGGATATAGATACTTTTGTACCTGTTTCCTCCAGCATCTTCGCAAGGTCCTTTGCTGTTGTTCTGGGATTGATTTGCACTTTTCGCACCAAAGTACGTTAATCTCTAGGAGACAGAACGCGTCTCCTTCCTGAGCGGTATGAAGGCTGCGTGGTCCCATGGTGTTTATACTTGCGTACTATTGTTTGTACAGATGAACGTGGTACCTTCAGGTGTTTGGAAATTGCTCCCAAGGATGAACCAGACTTGTGGAGGTCTAAAAAAAAAAATCTGAGGTCTTGGCTGATTTCTTTTGATTTTCCCATGATGTCAAGCAAAGAGGCACTGAGTTTGAAGGTAGGCCTTGAAATACATCCACAGGTACACCTCAATGTCAATTAGCCTATCAGAAGCTTCTAAAGCCATGACATCATATTCTGGAATTTTCCAAGCTGTTTAAAGGCACAGTCAACTTAGTGTATGTAAACTTCTGACCCACTGGAATTGTGATACAGTGAATTATAAGTGAAATAATCTGTCTGTAAACAATTGTTGGAAAAATTACTTGTGTCATGCACAAAGTAGATGTCCTAACCGACTTGCCAAAACTATAGTTTGTTAACTAGAAATGTGTGGAGTGGTTGAAAAACGAGTTTTAATGATTCCAACCTAAGTGTATGTAAACTTCCGACTTCAACTGTACACACCGACACAAACACTCTGGCATGCTGAGAACCCTAATTAAAAAAAGAACTCCACATGTGATGGAAGCTTTGGACAGAAAAGAGCTTCCAGCTCTAGGCTTTGTTTACATTTCTTTTTGGTTTATCTTATGCACCAATAGCTGATATGCATAAAGATGGCAGCCCCTATACACTTACCACAAATTCCTCATTTTGATAAGTTCACTGTATTGTACATTGCTCTTGTTACTCTTTTTTTTGGTATGTTTATTAGAACAGTATACATGATCTCAATTTTAGCTTCAAGATGCCAGCAATTTGAAAAACCAGGAAGTAAATTGTGCTGATTTATTGGCATATTGAACCATGTCGTGTGCCGTAGTTTAAAAACTCAGTGAATAGTGCTAAAACAATGACGTCATATCTGAATTCTGCCATCTTTTGCATGCGGCAGGTAGCTTAGTGGTTAAGAGGTCGCTGGTTCTAATCCCCGAGCCGACTAGGTGAAAAATCTGTCGATGTGCCTTTGAGCAAGGCACTTAACCCTAATTGCTCCTGTAAGTCGCTCTGGATAAGAGCGTCTGCTAAATGACTAAAATGTAAATGTTCTCCATTAAATCCTTCATTAATACAGGCACAGGGGTTGTGTGTCTTAACGCCTTCTCTCCTGTTTATGTAATCTTTACCTGCTTATTTAATGTATTTTAGTTCTGACTAAGAACCTTAACAGTGAGGTTAGTAGAGCTGTAACATAGTCAAAATCATTTTAAAGCACTATTATTTTATGCAGAACAACCTGGTTTTACCTGCTAGATTCTGCCCATGTTAGAACTCCATCCTGTTTTTCTCCCCTGAAGTTGGGAAGCACCTGACCACTAAGGAGGAGGTGAAAGGGATCCACTGGAGCTCGTGGACGAGTGTGATTGGTCCAGAGGTGAGTGGGATCTGGCCCAAGTACACCAACATCAGTGACGTCAACTCTGTGGACGCCAACTACAGCAGCGCCGTGCTGGTTACTGGAGACGACTTCGGCCTGGTCAAACTGTTCCGCTTCCCCTGCCTAAAGAAAGGTCAGTAAATGTCTTTGCAAATATACAATGAGAGAGGGAATTATGTTGAACACTCCCCTTCTCTCATTTCCTTTTCACTCGTTTTTCTTTCCCTGATGTTGTGAACAGGTGCAAAATTCAAAAAGTACATTGGCCACTCAGCCCACGTTACCAACGTGCACTGGTCTCACGACCTGCAGTGGGTGTTGACCACCGGCGGGGCTGACCACTCTGTGTTCCAGTGGAAGTTCCTGCCTGAGGGCATCATGAACGGAGGACTGAAGACCAGTATACCACAAGGTACAGTATACTGAGAGTACAAAACATTAGGAACACACCAGTGGTTAGGGGCGTGACTACTGTACACAATATCCATGATCTTATCAAAAGCCAGTGAAATCTGTTTCCTTGCTGTTTCCTGCTATCGGTTCCCTCTAGATGGCCATGCAGACTCCAACAGTGAGGAGTCTGACTCTGACGTGTCTGATGTCCCGGAGCTGGACTCTGATATCGAGCAGGAGACCCAGATCAACTACGACCGACAGGTGGGTGTGTGGAGCTTAGAGACACTGGAGGGAGGGAGTCCTGTATGGGTCAGACAGAAAGTGGGTGATATCAGGTTGAAAGATGATACACCACGTGAGGGACACTGAGAAGGTTCTATATGAGGAACAGATGCCTTACATGATGCAACATTTGAGGTAGAGAATGAGTGTCAGTACAGGTGTCAGATCCTAATTTGACCAGTTTGGTCGCAGTTGTAAAATAATCCTGCAGCAGGAGGATTTGATTATTAAAAAAATAAAAGTGACACTTTCTAACAGGATTTTTTTTTTTGATAGACTACAGTAGACATGTTTAAGTGAGGAAAAAGAGAACTGTGGGTTTTCAATGTTTAAAAAAAATGTAAATCACGAGGCTCATTTTAACTTCCTGCGGCGCATGAAAATTCTGTGACAACAGAGTGATCAAATTAAGATAATAAAGTGCCTTGCAAAAGTATTCATTCCCCTTGGCATTTTTCCTATTTTGTTGCATTACAACCTGTAATTTAAATGGATTTTTATTTAAACGACGGTGGAGGATAGCAGATTGACAAATTATGCACAATATGAGGGACTGTTGTTCCAGGTGTATGTAGAGGAGGACTTTTATAGGAGGACTGTATGTGATTGACAGGAGGACTGTGTGTGATTTACAGGAGGACTGTGTGTGATTTACAGGAGAACCGTATGTGATTGTTACAGGAGGACTGTGTGTGATTTACAGGAGGACTGTGTGTGGTTGTTCCAGGAGGACAATGTGTGGTTGTTCCAGGTATATAAGGAGGACTGTATGTGGTTGTTCCAGGGGTATAAGGAGGACTGTGTGTGGTTGTTCCAGGATGACTGTATGTGGTTGTTCCAGGTGTATAAGGAGGACTGTATGTGGTTGTTCCAGGTGTATAAGGAGGACTGTGTGTGATTGTTCCAGGTTTATAAGGAGGACTGTGTGTAGTTGTTCCAGGAGGACTGTGTGTGATTGTTCCAGGTGTATAAGGAGGACTGTGTGTGGTTGTTCCAGGTGTATAAGGAGGACTGTGTGTGGTTGTTCCACATATATAAGGAGGACTGTGTGTGGTTGTTCCAGGTGTATAAGGAGGACTGTGTGTGGTTGTTCCAGGTGTATAAGGAGGATTGTGTGTGGTTGTTCCACATGTATAAGGAGGACTGTGTGTGGTTGTTCCACATGTATAAGGAGGACTGTGTGTGGTTGTTCCAGGTGTATAAGGAGGACTGTGTGTGGTTGTTCCAGGTGTATAAGTAGGACTGAGTGTGGTTGTTCCAGGTGTATAAGGAGGACTATGTGTGGTTGTTCCAGGTGTATAAGGAGGACTGCATGTGGTTGTTCCAGGTGTATAAGGAGGACTGTGTGTGGTTGTTCCAGGATGACTGTATGTGGTTGTTCCAGGTGTATAAGGAGGACTGTATGTGGTTGTTCCAGGTGTATAAGGAGGACTGTGTGTGATTATTCCAGGTTTATAAGGAGGACTGTGTGTAGTTGTTCCAGGAGGACTGTGTGTGATTGTTCCAGGTGTGTAAGGAGGACTGTGTGTGGTTGTTCCAGGTGTATAAGGAGGACTGTGTGTGGTTGTTCCACATGTATAAGGAGGACTGTGTGTGGTTGTTCCAGGTGTATAAGGAGGACTGTGTGTGGTTGTTCCAGGTGTATAATGAGGACTGTGTGTGGTTGTTCCACATGTATAAGGAGGACTGTGTGTGGTTGTTCCACATGTATAAGGAGGACTGTGTGTGGTTGTTCCAGGTGTATAAGGAGGACTGTGTGTGGTTGTTCCAGGTGTATAAGGAGGACTATGTGTGGTTGTTCCAGGAGGACTGTGTGTGATTGTTCCAGGTGTATAAGGAGGACTGTGTGTGGTTGTTCCAGGTGTATAAGGAGGACTGTGTGTGGTTGTTCCAGGTGTATAAGGAGGACTGTGTGTGGTTGTTACAGGAGGACTGTGTGTGATTTACAGGAGGACTGTGTGTGGTTGTTCCAGGAGGACTATGTGTGGTTGTTCCAGGTGTATAAGGAGGACTGTATGTGGTTGTTCCAGGGGTATAAGGAGGACTGTGTGTGGTTGTTCCAGGATGACTGTATGTGGTTGTTCCAGGTGTATAAGGAGGACTGTATGTGGTTGTTCCAGGTGTATAAGGAGGACTGTGTGTGATTGTTCCAGGTTTATAAGGAGGACTGTGTGTGGTTGTTCCAGGTGTATAAGGAGGACTGTGTGTGGTTGTTCCAGGTGTATAAGGAGGACTGTGTGTGGTTGTTACAGGAGGACTGTGTGTGATTTACAGGAGGACTGTGTGTGGTTGTTCCAGGAGGACTATGTGTGGTTGTTCCAGGTGTATAAGGAGGACTATGTGTGGTTGTTCCAGGAGGACTGTGTGTGATTGTTCCAGGTGTATAAGGAGGACTGTGTGTGGTTGTTCCAGGTGTATAAGGAGGACTGTGTGTGGTTGTTCCAGGTGTATAAGGAGGACTGTGTGTGGTTGTTACAGGAGGACTGTGTGTGATTTACAGGAGGACTGTGTGTGGTTGTTCCAGGAGGACTATGTGTGGTTGTTCCAGGTGTATAAGGAGGACTGTATGTGGTTGTTCCAGGGGTATAATGAGGACTGTGTGTGGTTGTTCCAGGATGACTGTATGTGGTTGTTCCAGGTGTATAAGGAGGACTGTATGTGGTTGTTCCAGGTGTATAAGGAGGACTGTGTGTGATTGTTCCAGGTTTATAAGGAGGACTGTGTGTAGTTGTTCCAGGAGGACTGTGTGTGATTGTTCCAGGTGTATAAGGAGGACTGTGTGTGGTTGTTCCAGGTGTATAAGGAGGACTGTGTGTGGTTGTTCCACATGTATAAGGAGGACTGTGTGTGGTTGTTCCAGGTGTATAAGGAGGACTGTGTGTGGTTGTTCCAGGTGTATAAGGAGGACTGTGTGTGGTTGTTCCACATGTATAAGGAGGACTGTGTGTGGTTGTTCCAGGTGTATAAGGAGGACTGTGTGTGGTTGTTCCAGGTGTATAAGGAGGACTGTGTGTGGTTGTTCCAGGTGTATAAGTAGGACTGAGTGTGGTTGTTCCAGGTGTATAAGGAGGACTATGTGTGGTTGTTCCAGGTGTATAAGGAGGACAGCATGTGGTTGTTCCAGGTGTATAAGGAGGACTGTGTGTGGTTGTTCCAGGTGTATAAGGAGGACTGTGTGTGGTTGTTCCAGGTGTATAAGGAGGACTGTGTGTGGTTGTTCCAGGTGTATAAGGAGGACTGTGTATGGTTGTTCCAGGTGTATAAGGAGGACCTTCCCCAGCTGAGGCTGCAGAGCAGAGAGAAGAAGCAGCAGGTCGGCTCCCTGAAGCGCCAGAGAGGCCCAGATGAAGCCCTTCGTCTAAAGTTTGTCCACGGGTAATGGGTTCTTACTGTATGACAGGTCTTATTGGTCTCATGTTCCTCTGAAACATTGTCATATGTGGGTTTTAGATATCGTCTTCTCAAAGTCAAATTGATTGAGATGACAAGGACAGATTTATTGTATTGATGAAATGGTGTGTTTCCATCATGAAGAAACAATCTCTTCCTCTGAAATGTGCCTGTGTGTCAGCTGTTGGAATATGCAAATCCCTTTTCAAAGCTGTAGTTGAAAAAAAAAAATTGTGTGAAGCAGTTTAAGTTACTGATTCAGCACCAGCAGTCCTTTAAGACTTCGCTATAGCAGCTCTAATACACCCTTTTTGTCAAATTTAAAGACCTCACAGTGGGGGAGGGAGGTCTTTCAGCATTTGAGCGATTAAATAAATGCCACACATGACACATCTGATTAAAATTCCCCCCACACACCACAGGGTTTATCAGACACTCTTAAATAGGCCATGTGGGAGAGAGACGGCATATGAACTGTGATCTCAGCTCTTATCTGATTGTCACTTTCCCCAGTCAGCTTTACAGAAATATCCAGGCCTCAAGGAATGGGTTTGCCTTTATATCAGTATAGGTGGATTTAACTCCCCTTAATTTAGTATAATTGTGTTTGTCCATTGAGCTTGCAGTCCTGTGACCTATTTCTCTCTCTCTCTCTCTCTCTCTCTCTGTGTGTGTGTGTGTGTGTGTGTGTGTGTGTGTGCAGGTACCGTGGCTACGACTGCAGAAATAACCTGTACTACACCCAGGCTGGGGAGGTGGTGTACCATGTAGCGGCGGTGGGTGTGGTCTACAACAGAGAGCAACACAGTCAGCGGTTTTACCTGGGCCACGATGATGACATCCTTAGTCTGACTGTACACCCACTCAAAGACTATGCAGCCACTGGACAGGTTCTCTCTTTCTCTCTCTCTTTCACTCTGCTTTATTGGCAGGAATGGGTGGTTGCCACTGTTGCCAAAGCAATGTATATGAAGCACAGGAGGTTGGTGGCACTTTAATTGGGGAGAACGGGCTCGTGATAATGACTGGTGCGGAGTCAGTGGAATGGTATCAAATACATCAAACACAGGGTTTCTATGTGTTTGATGCCATTCCATTTGCGCCGTTCCAGACATTATTATGAGCCGTCCTCCCCTCAGCAGCCTCCTGTGGTATGAAGTATTAGATCAATGAACAGTATGTCTGAGCAATAATTTATATCAACAAAACAAGCATACATGGAAAAGCAAACTACAAGGGCTGATGTGTATGATGTGGCGGGAGCCATACTCTCACTCTCACTCTCACTCTCTCACTCACTCACTCACTCATACACTGATCTTAATCACCTCTTTGTGAATGTGTCCAGGTTGGCAGGGACCCAGCCATCCATGTGTGGGACATCCAAACCCTGAAGTGCTTCTCCTTGCTCAAGGGCTTTCACCAGAGAGGAGTGTGTGCTCTTGACTTCTCTGGTATGGCTAACGTGTTTATCTGGGCATGTAATGTATGTCATTATCAGAAATTAATTTCAATATCAGCCTATTTTAATGATCAAAGCCCAAGTCTTATTTTGTGAATGTGTTGGGATGTTCTGTCCCTATGTCTGTTATGATGTCAAACTAAGATTTTGTAGATATGTTGGGATGTTCTGTCCCTATGTCTGTTATGATGTAAAACTAAGATTTTGTAGATATGTTGGGATGTTCTGTCCCTATGTCTGTTATGATGTCAAACTAAGATGTTGTAAATGTGTTGGGATGTTCTGTCCCTATGTCTGTTATGATGTCAAACTAAGATTTTGTAAATATGTTGGTGTTCTGTCCCTATGTCTGTTATGATGTCAAACTAAGAGTAGAATGTTGTTCCTCAATGTGCAGCGGATGGGAAGAGCCTGGTCTCAGTGGGCATTGATGACCACCACTCTATCATCTTGTGGGATTGGAGGAAGGGCGAGAAGCTGGCCACTGCAAGGTACTAAAAGCTTTTTCACCCCGGCTGAAAGCTGCTGTTAGTGTGATCAGTGCATTTAGACATTTAGAGTCATTACACAAACAGGATTTTATAGAGTAGTCCAGCTAAGCCGGGTTCAGATCCTTTTTGTTTTCTTTCAAATACCTCAGCTGCGCTCAAATATGCTTACCTGGCACAATGTAACCTATGGTATACTCCCAAAAGTGCAAATCCCGCCATACTCCAGGCAGGTTCAATCAAGTGTTCAAAGTATTGGAAAGAAATCAACTACTACTTGGACTCAGGTCTGTTGTCTTAATGATGACACATTTGTAGGGACAGCCAGGAGTTTTCTCCTGACCACATGAAGTGACCAGGAAAAACATAAGGCTCTTTGTATTTGAGCGGACAGAATGTGAAGTGGATATTCTGTCTCTGTCCTTCCCAGGGGACACAAAGACAAGCTGTTTGTGGTGAAGTGTAATCCTATCCTCATGGACAAGCTGGTCACAGTGGGAATCAAACACATCAAGTTCTGGCAGCATACAGGTCTGTCCTCCTGTTCTGCCCGACTGTCTCTCTCATACTATCAGTCTCTCTCATACCATCAGTCTCTCTCATACCATCAGTCTCTGTCATACTATCAGTCTCTCTCATACTATCAGTCTCTCTCATACTATCAGTCTCTCTCATACTGTCATTCTCATACCATCAGTCTCTCTCATACCATCAGTCTCTCTCATACTGTCTCTGTCATACCATCAGTCTCTCTCATACTATCAGTCTCTCTCATACCATCAGTCTCTCTCATACTATCAGTCTCTCTCATACCATCAGTCTCTCTCATACTATCAGTCTCTCTCATACTGTCAGTCTCTCTCATACCACCAGTCTCTCTCATACCATCAGTCTCTCTCATACTATCAGTCTCTCTCATACTATCAGTCTCTCTCATACTGTCAGTCTCTCATACCATCAGTCTCTCTCACACCATCAGTCTCTCTCATACTATCAGTCTCTCTCATATTAGCAGTCTCTCTCATACCATCAGTCTCTCTCATACTATCAGTCTATCTCATACTGTCAGTCTCATACCATCAGTCTCTCTCATACTATCAGTCTCTCTCATACCATCAGTCTTTCTCATACCATCAGTCTCTCTCATGCCATCAGTCTCTCTCATACCACCAGTCTCTCTCATACTATCAGTCTCTCTCATACTATAATTATCTCTCATACCATCAGTCTCTCTCATACTGTCAGTCTCATACCATCAGTCTCTCTCATACTATCAGTCTCTCTCATACCATCAGTCTCTCCCATACTATCAGTCTCTCTCATACTATCAGTCTCTCTCATACTATCAGTCTCTCTCATACTATCAGTCTCTCTCATACCATCAGTCTCTCTCATACTATCAGTCTCTCTCATACCATCAGTCTCTCTCATACCATCAGTCTATCTCATACTGTCAGTCTCATACCATCAGTCTCTCTCATACCATCAGTCCCTCTCATACCATCAGTCTCTCTCATACCATCAGTCTCTCTCATACTATCAGTCTATCTCATATTGTCAGTCTCATACCATCAGTCTCTCTCATACCATCAGTCTCTCTCATATTATCAGTCTCTCTCATACCACCAGTCCCTCTCATACCATCAGTCTCTCTCATACCATCAGTCTCTCTCATACTATAATTATCTCTCATACTATCAGTCTCTCTCATACTGTCAGTCTCATACCATCAGTCTCTCTCATACTATCAGTCTCTCTCATACCATCAGTCTCTCTCATATTATCAGTCTCTCTCATACCACCAGTCTCTCTCATACCATCAGTCTCTATCATGCCATCAGTCTCTCTCATACCACCAGTCTCTCTCATACTATCAGTCTCTCTCATACTATAATTATCTCTCATACTATCAGTCTCTCTCATACTGTCAGTATCATACCATCAGTCTCTCTCATACTATCAGTCTCTCTCATACTATCAGTCTCTCTCATACTATCAGTCTCTCTCATACCATCAGTCTCTCTCATACTATCAGTCTCTCTCATACCATCAGTCTCTCTCATACTATCAGTCTCTCTCATACTATCAGTCTCTCTCATACTATCAGTCTCTCTCATACTGTCAGTCTCATACCATCAGTCTCTCTCATACCATCAGTCTCTCTCATACTATCAGTCTCTCTCATACTATCAGTCTATCTCATACTGTCAGTCTCATACCATCAGTCTCTCTCATACCATCAGTCTCTCTCATACCATCAGTCTCTCTCATACTATTAGTCTCTCTCATACTATCAGTCTATCTCATACTGTCAGTCTCATACTATCAGTCTCTCTCATACCATCAGTCTCTCTCATACCATCAGTCTCTCTCATACTATCAGTCTCTCTCATACTATCAGTCTCTCTCATACTATCAGTCTCTCTCATACTATCAGTCTCTCTCATACTAGCAGTATCTCTCATACTATCAGTCTCTCTCATACTATCAGTCTCTCTCATACCATCAGTCTATCTCATACTGTCAGTCTCTCTCATACCATCAGTCTCTCTCATACCATCAGTCTCTCTCATACCATCAGTCTCTCTCATACCATCAGTCTCTCTCATACCATCAGTCTCTCTCATACCATCAGTCTCTCTCATACCATCAGTCTCTCTCATACTATTAGTCTCTCTCATACTAGCAGTATCTCTCATACTATCAGTCTCTCTCATACTATCAGTCTCTCTCATACCATCAGTCTCTCTCATACCATCAGTCTCTCTCATACCATCAGTCTCTCTCATACTATTAGTCTCTCTCATACTATCAGTCTATCTCATACTGTCAGTCTCATACTATCAGTCTCTCTCATACCATCAGTCTCTCTCATACCATCAGTCTCTCTCATACTATCAGTCTCTCTCATACTATCAGTCTCTCTCATACTATCAGTCTCTCTCATACTATCAGTCTCTCTCATACTAGCAGTATCTCTCATACTATCAGTCTCTCTCATACTATCAGTCTCTCTCATACCATCAGTCTATCTCATACTGTCAGTCTCATTATCAGTCTCATACCATCAGTCTCTCTCATACGATCAGTATCTCTCATACTATCAGTCTCTCTCATACTATCAGTCTCTCTCATACCATCAGTCTATCTCATACTGTTAGTCTCATTATCAGTCTCATACCATCAGTCTCTCTCATACCATCAGTCTCTCTCATACTATCAGTCTCTCTCTTTCTCGCTCCTCTCCTCTCATGTCCCTGCTTTTCTTTCAAGTATATACTTCCAGGTGTTTTCACACTGTGATTCTATCTTTAGGAAAGTGATCCAACCTGTCCAACCATTATTCTTGTGGACATAGGAACAGCTCTGTCTATCTTGTCAGGCATTGTATGTTTATGGAAATCAATTGATGTATACCTGAGTTTCTAATGGTGTGCTGTCTCTAAAGGTGGAGGCCTTATGTTCCAGCGAGGCGTCTTTGGGAACCTGGGGAAGCTGGAGACAATGATGTCGGTGTGTTACGGTCGGACAGACGAGCTGGTATTCTCTGGAGCCGCCACGGGGGACATATATGTCTGGAAGGAGCCTGTGCTGCTGAAGACCATCAAGGCCCACGACGGACCTGTGTTCGCCATGTTCTCCCTGGACAAGGTACTCTACTGAGTGTCAGCCCTGTCTGCTAACAACAGACTGTTGGTCAACTTTCCACTAATCTTATAATCATAATCTCATAATAATCATAGTCTCATAATAGGATCATCTTTATTGCGTAGTCATTTTGATCAGAGACTATTTGGAACGGCTCTGTATTGTACTCTGGTTTCCCCACACCCACTTGGTGTAAATATTGAATTGTCTTTCTCCCCATTGACTCATAAACGCCCTATAACTGCTCTATGATGACTTCACCATATGGAATTGATGCTATGTTGTTCGCTAGAGTAATATCCGCGTGATATTGTTGCTGCTGGCTGTAGTTATGGATGTGTTTAACTATAATTGGCATGTAGTTGAGGCAGTTATCAATATTGTATCGCTCTGATGAGGAGCTATGGAGAGATGTGATGTGTTGAGTCATGATGGTTCTTGTGTTTGGGGACAAACACAGCATCATTAGGCAGCATGATTAAGCCACACATAGATTCCTTGTTTTCCTAATTGGCCATTTGCAGCCTGTCATTTGACTGTGTGCAATACTATGCAGTCTTAATGACTGATGTAAACCTTGGTGTGTATTGCATCGTGCATCTCCCTCCTGATGCTGAGATGGGATTAAGTAAATGGATTGTCTCCCATGAACTTCTGTTCTGTGGAAAATTATTATTATCGCTATTTACTGTTACTAATGAAGAGTGGAGCGATTATAAACAATCAATCCTGTCTCTTGTCATCAGTCCATGATAGTGTTGTTAATTAAACATCTTCTAGTGTTTTCTCCCTCTTGTACAAATAGATTATCTATTTATTCACAATCTGTTCAAGTAGAGATGCCTTAGATCAAAACAAAATATTACAGTCTCATTAGATGTTACATTTATGTGATGCTGTTTCCAAAACCTTTCATCAGAGAAGCAGTCTTAAGTAAGATGTGGGAGGGCATTCCTGTGGGAGACCGCCGCTGAATTCCTGAAGTGTTGTTGTTGCTGCTGCTTCAGATCTTTGACAGGCCCTGTCTGCTAGTAGAAGTCATTGTAATTCCCAACTGCTTCTGTGTGTTGTGAAAGATGTCAGAGACAGACAGTACTTTTCATTTGTCTTCCCTCCATTCATACCTTCCTCCTGCACTTCATCATTCAACACTTCCTTCTCAGTTTCAAGACAAACTGATCCCCCTACCATCCTTCAGCAGTTCAGACAGACCTCTTGACAAGCTGTCATGCGGAACATTAGGGTAGGTCAGAGCCCCTGTCTCATCCGGCCCTCATCACTGTTAGTTTTCCTCAGTGTGGTTGTCAGTTGTGGAGTACGTTGGGTGATGTCCCTCTGCTGTTGTTCCCTCCAGGGCTTTGTGACAGGTGGGAAGGACGGGATGGTGGAGCTGTGGGACGACATGTTTGAGAGATGCCTGAAGACCTACGCCATCAAGAGAGCAGCCCTCTCCCCGGGATCTAAAGGTAGGATACCACGTTTGACTCCGTTCTATTTATTCCATTCCAGCCATTACAATGAGCCCTTCCTCCTATAGCTCCTCCCACCAGCCTCCATAACACTCCCTACAGTAACTGACAGTCAACCAAAGTCTATGACACATACAGAAACACTATCTGAGAAGTGCTGTAATTCTCTCTTGAAGGCATGCTCTGACCATGTAAAACACATACCTGTACCACTGTGTCCTCCTCTAGTTAGTGCTGCCATCTCGTGGACTCATGTAAAAATGCAGTTATATTTTTAATATTCCTTCTATCTGCTGCTATCGATCTGGGAGGATTTCACGGCTACAGCTATATTTAGTCTGTATGTGTGTGTCCCCCAGGGCTGCTCTTGGAGGACAACCCCTCCATTCGTGCCATAACTCTGGGACACGGACACATCCTGGTGGGAACCAAGAATGGAGAAATACTTGAAATAGACAAGAGTGGACCCATGACCCTGCTAGTCCAGGTGTGTGTGTGTGTGTGTGTGTGTGTGTGTGTGTGTGTGTGTGTGTGTGTGTGTTGTGACCGTGCGTGTGTACGTGTGTGTGTGCGTGTGTCTATGCTTCCTTGCATGCATGTGTGTTTCTGACTGTCAGTGCATCGCTGTTGTAGTTCCCTCCTATGGCCCAACCCTTACAGCTCAGAGTCAGAGCCTCCCAGACTCCTTAGCGGTCAGGTATGTGTGCTCTGTTGCCATGGTGAACAGACCTGATGGGAATGGGTTATGAAGGATCAGTATGGAAGTGTTGTTGGGTAAAATTGACTGCTGCTATCTGGGATGCGATGGATTGAGGCTTTTGTTTAGCCTCTCACTCATACTCCACGTCAATATGAACACAATGTACAGTATTGTCCTGAGAAAAAATAGTGGATTAGGTGTAATGGTTCAGGGCATGTCAACTGTGATTGACTGACAGCTGTGTGTCCGTCTGTTGCTATGGTTACAGGGTCACATGGACGGCGAGGTGTGGGGTCTTGCTGCTCACCCCCTGCTCCCCATATGTGCCACAGTGAGTGACGACAAAACCCTGCGGATATGGGAGCTCTTCACCATCCACCGCATGGTAGCCGTTCGCAAACTTAAAAAAGGTACTGCTGAATGTTGATATCTTCCTCGACTAATGAGTCATTAACTCCCATGATCATCAACAAACATACAGATGTAGGATCGTAATTTGAGCCAGTTTGCTACAGCAGGAACATAATCCTGCAGCAACAGGAAATGTGGATTATAATTAATGGATATTTTAGTAGGGCTTGATACATTTTTCGTAAGGGCAAATCAGGTCTGAAATATCAGTTAAAATTACAAACTTTAGAAGCCTTTTAAAAACTCTAATACACTCCAAGTTTGCATTTCCTGCTTTGCGGGTAAATTCTCAGCAACAAAAGAGTGATCAAATTAAGATCCTACATCTGTAAGGTACCCTAGTGTAACCTTCTGTGTCTGTCAGTCTATGTCTGTATCTCCATTTTGGAAGTGTTTAACTCTGTGTGTACGTGTGTGTGGTGTGTGTGTATCAGGTGGAAGATGCTGTGCCTTCTCCCCTGATGGGAAGGCCTTAGCGGTGGGCCTCAATGATGGTAGTTTCCTGGTGGTGAACTCTGACACCCTGGAGGACCTGGTGTCCTTCCATCACAGGAAGGAGTCTATTTCTGACGTCAGGTTTTCACAAGGTAAACTTTGACATAGACTGTGTACTATCAGCCGACTGGATCACTTATCATTGATATGTTCATTCACTGCTGTTTGTATTTCATAACACTGATAATATGCATGGGTATTTTATTAGTATTTTATTTGAGTTAAACTGTTCCTAATATACACTCATAGAAAAAAGGGTTCCAAAAGGGTTCTTCGGCTGTCCTCATAGGATAACCCTTTTTGGTTCCAGGTAGAACCCTTTTTGGTTCCAGGTTGAATCCTCTGTGAAAAGGGTTCAACCTGGAACCAAAAGGCTTCTACTTGGCACCGAAAAGGGTTCTCCAAAGGGTTCTCCTATGGGGACAGCCGAATAACCCTTTTAGGTTCTAGATAGCACCTTTTTTTCTAAGAGTGTATTGAGGTTTCACTGAATAGCATTATCACCCACCTGGCTGAGGTGTTGATCACTGGTTCTATGGCTTCCTTAGACGCTGGTAAATACCTCGCTGTAGCCTCTCATGATAACTTTGTGGATATCTACAATGTGCTGTCCAGCAAGAGGGTGGGAATCTGTAAAGGAGCTTCAAGCTATATCACTCATATAGACTGGGACTCTCGTGGTGAGTTTATGGTGTAATTGCCAGAGGAGCATGAATACCCCTTAGTAGTCTGTAGGTACAACTTCTATTTTGTCCTTGGATTCTGAGAAAGTTATTTTTTTTATGTAGGTAAATTGCTGCAAGTAAATTCAGGTGCCAAAGAGCAATTATTCTTCGAAGCCCCAAGAGGGAAGAGACAAACCATAAGAAATTCTGAGGTAAGAGACCCAACTGAGATTGTCATTTTTCTCAGCTAGACATCAAATATAAATGGACACTCCATGAAAGCAGGAGGCAGTGTTTAACACACTGTGTGTGTGTACGCGCGTTCCTGTTTCCGCCTGTCAGATAGAGAAGATGGAGTGGGCTACCTGGACATGTGTCCTAGGCCCCACCTGTGAGGGGATCTGGCCCACCCACAGTGACATCACAGACGTCAATGCCGCCTCGCTCACCAAAGACAAGAAGCTGCTCGCCACCGGAGACGACTTTGGCTTCCTCAAGCTCTTCAGCTATCCAGCCAGGGTGCGACAGCTCAGACAGGCACTAGTGTTAAATTACATTTTACTCACTTGAACTGAAATGGAATTGACCCCAATGCTGGTACATGTCTCTGTTGTTGACTCAAGTTGAATGTTGTCCCTTGGTTCAACTTGGTTCAATGTTGTCTCTTGGTTCAACTTGGCACTGTCTGCTCCCCCCTCAGGGTCAATATGCCCGCTTCAAGAAGTATGTGGGCCACAGTGCCCATGTAACTAACGTGCGATGGGCACAAGATGACGCCACGCTACTGACGCTGGGCGGAGCTGACACAGCACTGATGATTTGGAGCCTGGAGAGAACCGGAGAGGGTCACAGGGAGAACCCTGTGGACAGCGAGGAGTCAGACGATGACATTGAGGAGGACGGAGGTAAAAGCCAAGCCTTTAGACTACTGATCCATACAGTACAGTAGTATACAGTAGTACTATATACAGTAGTACTTTACATTTACATTTTAGTCATTTAGCAGACGCTCTTATCCAGAGCGACTTACAGTTAGTGAGTGCATACATTTTTCTAACTTGTGGGTGGAAGGTAGCCTAGTGGTTAGAATGTTGGGCCAGTAACTGAAAGGTCGCTGGTTCGAATACCCAAGGTGAAAAATCTGTTGGTGCCCTTGAGCAAGGCACTTAACTCTAATTTGCACCAGGGGCGCCGTACTACTATGTCTGACCCTGTACAAAAGCACATTTCACTGCAACTATCCTGTGTATGAAACATATATATTAATTTTTACAACTCTCTCACAATCTACTCTCAGAACTCCCATAGAACATTCTCAACAAACACACACAAAGCTATCCTGATCAAATACTACTTTTTACACACTGCTCTAATTGGCTGAGTCTCTTCCTGTGGGCGTGTCTGTAGGGTATGACAGTGATGTGGCAAGGGAGAACAGCATCGACTACACCACTAAGATCTATGCTGTCAGCATCCGGGGTATGTGTGGCATCAAACCCCACCAGCAACTGAAGGAGGTGTCACCAGAGGAAAGGTACACCCCCACACCTCTGTCTCTGTCACTTCTCCCTTCCCGCTCGTATGCCTAAACTGTCCAGCTTCTGTTTAGGGACTGGTTGTTGTCACTCAGTGATAGAGCTTAAAAATTAGAGAGTTTCTTGGCCCCTGACCATTGTGTTGTGTGTAGATTTGAAACAATTTAAAGTCTGAGGCAGTGACAATAAAAAATGGGTAAGTTTTATCTGTTATGTTAGGCCTCAAAAGTCTGTTAAAGTCTTGATCGTAATCAGGCTGCCATCACCTTCCAACGCTATTTGATTATCTCTACAGGAATGCTTATAGAGTCCTCTGGTGTCAGAAACAGGAACTGCACCTGTCTTTTTTGTAAGTTAAAAAAGACTTAGTTTACCAGTACACAGCTACTTGAGTATAATTAACATCTACAGTATTTATCCTTTTGTAAAGCCTCAGAGGTGGTCATTGTAGGGTTGACATGGATATAGAGTTTGGTCTTGCTTTTTTATGATACAGAGTGAGTTGACTTTTACTGCTTAGCTGACAGCATTTGAAGTGTAAGGGAAGACTGCGTGGGGTTTGTTTTCATGTTAGACTATTTCAAATAGAATATGAGGCCTGATTTAATTTGATAGACATTATAGACTACTCTTTACTTATCTGTACTACTTGCATTAAAAAAATAGACATTTTATGCTCATAGAAAGATCTTTATCACCATTTCCATATTATGTCTTTCTGCACTTTGAGTGTACATGTGTACCATATGTGTTCTCTCTAATACTCTCTCTCTCTATTCACCTCTGTTGCTATGATACTGTGGATTGTCCTTTGCATGTATTGTGGATGTAGCCCATTGATATTGTATGCTGTGTGCATGTTTATGTGTGGTCCATCTATCTGTGGATTGTTGGGTGTACATGTTTGGGTTGTAATCTATGTGGTGTCACAGTATGAGATTGCATGTACTTGTGGCTTTGGTGGAATCTTGTCAAAGTATTGCACAATGTTATGTGCATGTGTAGCAGGAGTGCTCTCTCGAGCTTCAGTGTGATATCTGTTGCTATGATACCGATATGTTGTTTATACAGAACATATACAGTATCATTGGTATGATCTCAGTTGCTTTGAGACTGTATAAAGTATATATTGCCACATCCATATAACTGGCTAATCAGCTATGTGCAGCTAGGGGAAGTCAAAAATATAGTGTGTAAATGGCATGCATAGCCCGAGGAGACAATGATTGATTTCTGTCAAAGCCGAAGGATGCGTTGCCGCAAATTGAATTCTAAGCCCTAAAATTAATATTATTTACCATGACACTCCCCACTATTCTGCATCATTGTCACATATAGCAGTGCTGTTACGTATGGAGGACTTTGACTTTGCCCTCTGTGCGTTCTCTTTTATAGAATGTGTAGAATAACATTTCCCAATGATACAACATCACAGAATGACAGGAAACATGAAATAGTTACAGAACATGAACCAGTGAAGAACCAATCATATGCGTTCTTCCATTTTGTAGAATGTTATGAATTTGTAAGTGCATAACATCCTGTTCAATCTCTTTAATATCTCTATTGTTATGCTGTTCAATCTCTTTAATATCTCTATTGTTATGCTGTTCAATCTCTTTAATATCTCTATTGTGTTTTAACTTGCATTCCTTTGGAGGCAGGGCATTGTCAAGTAAGTATGACCTATGCATACGTTCTGTGTTAGCTATGGGATGTGGGTGGTATTTCCATACACTGGTTGTGCAGAGATGAGGATAGTAGTAGAGTGAGTAGGGAGAATATCTACCATTCAGTAGAGTATATGGTGTTGTTATTTTAATCCAGGGATTTCAACAGAATGGACATTTTTTCCATGTTTTTCTTTTTATGACCGTACGTACTTTACATTTTATCCAAAAATGTTTGTTCATTCACTGATCTCCTATAATGGTACTACAGGAAGCAGTTCTGAAAAACCCGAATTTTCTAGTCATCTATTTCTCTGGACTCTGGGCATAATCTCCCTTAGCCCATGGGTCTCAATATCACTCATCTTGCTCAAAATCTGGTCAACGTGAAGTTATGTAAATTGCACGAGTAAGACATTTTATTTGATATCAGTTTTGTGTCATTTGTATCACAATTTATTTTGTAGAGAGCACTCCGAGTACAGTAACGATCTACCAAGTGACGCTGGAGGAGACTTTCTTTCTTTCTTTCTTTCTTTCTTTCTTTCTTTCTTTCTTTCTTTCTTTCTTTCTTTCTTCTTTCTTTCTTTCTTTCTTTCTTTCTTTCTTTCTTTCTTTTTTTTTTTCTTTCTTTCTCTTTCTCTCTACCTCTCTTTTCCTCTTCTCCTCTCGTGGAGCCCCAGACATCACAGGACATTGTTTTCCCATAACCCCTTGGGGGATGAGATCGAGGCACTGACGCATTTCTCTCTTCCTGTGCCCCTCCTCCTCCTCCTCTCATAGGAGCTCTATTGCACAGTTTGCACAGGGACCCCAGGGTATGACCCCCTCCCCTTATCGCTCTGTAGACTGGTGCACTCTCTCATTCCACACTTCTCCTCCGAGCTGTCTCTCTCTCTCTTTCTAGCATGCTGACAGTAGGCTGACAGTCAGAGCATGGTGTGCAGCAGCCAGGAATGATGGCTAATAGCTCTCCAGGTTGCTTTTTGCATGAGCATAGAGCCTTTATAGCTATACTGAGTCCCCTCGGACTCCGACCTGCGTCCTCTAAACCTCTCACTTGGTTCTGTCCACTGCTCTCAAGGGGATCCAGGTAAAGTGGGCTACTTGTGTCTATCACACTGTGTGTGTACACTGTGGCTTCAGGTCCACGTGTTTCTCTGTGATGTTCTGACGTTCTGTATGTTTGTTCTTGCATGGTGGCAGTCAGCTCATCTCATTCCCATCTGATCAGAACTGCATGTTTGCATCCAGACTGCAGAGTTTCACACCCAGTGGGGCTTTTTTTCCATCTTCTCTTTCCTGTTCAGATCGAGACATGGAGCTAGGCAGCATCCCTCTATGATCCTACAATCCTAGCTCAGCATGAACATTTTACAATCAGTCCGCAGGAGTTAGTTACTACACTACTACAGATATTGAATCTGTGGTGTTATGTGGCAACACTAAACTCTGATATGCTGATTGAACTCATTTCAGAGCACATAGACACTGATAATATTGTTAAAACACATGGGGAAGAGGGAGTCTGATTGCTGAATGAAACAGGAGAAAGTAGATGTTGGAAATATTAGCTCCCTGCCATGCAAGATCATCCAAACAATGCTGGTTAAATGCTGTTCAGACAAACAGAGAAGAACGGTAGTGTCTGTCAGCTGTAAGGAGTGTAAACTATGTTTGTGATCACAGCTATTACCTTTGGGCTAGTGCCAGTGAGCTGGAACCTTATCTTGTAAGACACGGCTGTAGTTATACCAGGCTATTGCACACAGTGGCAGTGCTGTATAACTAATGCTTCTGCATCGTCATTGCACTGTTCAACCTCCTGTGGGATTTCAACCTCCAAGGTCTTCTTCAATATGTGTTTCCCTGTTAACTTGTAGACTCTCTGTCTGTGTGGGTACGCCCGGGAGCATGCACACATTTCCGTGAACCTTTGACAAGGAGCAATAACTTAATAACTTATATTCTTTCTTTAATGGCCCTGTGTTTTTGTGTCAACTATCAATAGTATTGATATGTCAGATGTTTTACATGGTCAGACTGTTAACCCGTGAGAGTGACCATGGACCTCAGGTCTCAGCCAGGACACATCACTGTGGTAACCAACACCACCTAGGAAATCTAATTTTCCAACACATCCAATGACTTCATTTTTAAGGAGAGTGGAATTCCACTCACTTTAAAGGAGCAATCTGCGATTGCTACATCAACTGCAGATTGCCCCTTTTTAAGTATTTTTATTTTATAGGGAGAGATTTCAATGAGGGGGAGACAGAGAGGGAAATACAGGGAAGGCTTCACTGAGAGGCAGGGGCAGATGTGATGCATGTAGCAGTGTAGAGCTCCTAGAGACTGACTCAGAGACTGAGTGGAATTGTATTCTGTGGCTCACTGTGGCTCATTGCCATTCATGTTAAATGTGGCCTCAGCCAACTGGTGTAATGTGTCATTATTGGTGTGATCCTTATGTGAAAGTTGACGCTTGTTAACATTGTGAATGTGATGTGCCCACCTTGGTGACATGTGTGCAGCGGCTGGCCAAAATTCATAAATGTGGAAAATGTCAGTGATGTATGCAATTTTATATGTAGCACTGAATCTGTCTGTAGATATTGTGTTATATGTACTGTGTGTGTGTCATGAGGCACACTGAATGTTTGTGTATTATAAACAGTAAAGCATATCATGAGTGATGAACAAACAATGATGTACTGTAGCAATGCTTAACAATGTTTATATTCAGAGTGATGACTGATTGCAGCTGTTTTGTTCTCTCTGAGTTCCTCAAGCTGTAGTTTATTCCATAGATCTTTTCTATCTCACAATCTCTCTTTTCTATCTCACAATCTCTCTTTTCTATCTCACAATCTCTCTTTTCTATCTCACAATCTCTCTTTTCTTTCTCACAATCTCTCTTTTCTTTCTCACAATCTCTCTTTTCTTTCTCACAATCTCTCTTTTCTTTCTCACAATCTCTCTTTTCTATCTCACAATCTCTCTTTTCTATCTCACAATCTCTCTTTTCTATCTCACAATCTCTCTTTTCTTTCTCACAATCTCTCTTTTCTTTCTCACAATCTCTCTTTTCTTTCTCACAATCTCTCTTTTCTTTCTCACAATCTCTCTTTTCTTTCTCACAATCTCTCTTTTCTTTCTCACAATCTCTCTTTTCTTTCTCACAATCTCTCTTTTCTTTCTCACAATCTCTCTTTTCTTTCTCACAATCTCTCTTTTCTTTCTCACAATCTCTCTTTTCTTTCTCACAATCTCTCTTTTCTTTCTCACAATCTCTCTTTTCTTTCTCACAATCTCTCTTTTCTATCTCACAATCTCTCTTTTCTATCTCACAATCTCTCTTTTCTATCTCACAATCTCTCTTTTCTATCTCACAATCTCTCTTTTCTATCTCACAATCTCTCTTTTCTATCTCACAATCTCTCTTTTCTATCTCACAATCTCTCTTTTCTTTCTCACAATCTCTCTTTTCTATCTCACAATCTCTCTTTTCTATCTCACAATCTCTCTTTTCTTTCTCACAATCTCTCTTTTCTATCTCACAATCTCTCTTTTCTTTCTCACAATCTCTCTTTTCTATCTCACAATCTCTCTTTTCTATCTCACAATCTCTCTTTTCTTTCTCACAATCTCTCTTTTCTATCTCACAATCTCTCTTTTCTATCTCACAATCTCTCTTTTCTTTCTCACAATCTCTCTTTTCTTTCTCACAATCTCTCTTTTCTTTCTGTTTTTGTTTCTATCTCTCTCGTGTCAGACTAGACAGACATTTTATAACTTGGTCTAATCTATCCTTAATAGGGCACAGCAATGCCACATAATGAAATCGCTCTGAGAAAACGTGACGTGGGTTTTTTGAAGTTCTGTGGTACACATGTTAAAATACTGTATCTGTCCAATATATCTGCTGTGTGAGGTACTATCTGTTTACTCACTGCAGGCCTCCTGTTAGCCGAGCTGCTCCCCAACCAGAGAAGCTGCAGAAGAACAACATCACCAAAAAGAAGAAGCTTGTCGAGGTTTGTTTCACGGTGGTGTTGATGTTTACTCTGAATAACTCTGATGTCATACTCAACACGTTACAAAATCACATCAAATCAAATTGTATTGGTCACATACACATATTTAGCAGATGTTATTGCGGGTGTCACGAAATGCTTGTAGCATGTTACATTTTTAACTGTTTCTTTTTTAATGAACCGTTGTTGGGTACGTTTGGTGCGCTGTGGGATGTGATTGGTCGGTGATGTGTGTACTTCCAGGACCTGGTGCTGGACCACGTGTTTGGGTTCAGGGGCTTCGATTGTCGTAACAACCTTCACTACCTCAACGACGGCGCCGACATCGTCTTCCACACAGCAGCCACGGCCATGGTGCACAGCCTCTCCACCGGTACAGCTACACGTTCTCACTTTTGCTTTTGGATACCATCTGCCACATTGACTTCAGGCCTTGTGATTTGAAAGGCGTGTACATGATAAGATGAAGATGAACTCTGTTGCTATTTCTCCTCAGGGACTCAGAGTTTCTACTTGGAACATACAGACGACATCCTCTGTTTGACCATCAATCAACATCCTAAATACAAAAATGTAATCGCTACAGGACAGATTGGTATGTACTGTTCTGCAGTGAATGAACGTTTCATTTTATTGTAGTTACATGTTTATGTATTTTGCATGTACTTGTATGTACTTATCCATAGCATTTGTGTGTGGGTATATGAGAGAGAGAGAGAGAGAGAGAGAGAGAGAGAGAGAGAGCGAGAGAGAGTCAGGGAGATAGGATCAGAGAGACAGACGGAGATAGAGAGAGCTCGCTCCCTATCGGCTCTCATAGAGAGAGATAGAGAGAGAGAGAGAGAGACATTGAATGCCCATGTTTAGCCTTATCTTCTTAGCTTCTCAACATCCTAAATACAAAAATGTAATCGCTACAGGACAGATTGGTATGTACTGTTCTGCAGTGAATGAACGTTTCATTTTATTGTAGTTACATGGTTATGTCTTAGCATGACTTGTATGTACTTGTCCAGTATCATTTAGTGTTGTTAATGTTAAATGTATCTCTGCAGCTCTTGTATGCTCTTATCCATCTCTCTTCTTCGTGTCTTGAGTTCTCTCTCTCTGCTCTCTCTCATAATCGGCTTCGTAGATGACGGGGTAGTGCGAGGATGTGAGACCGCATCGTAACTGGGTCGTCTCTGGCGCTCTACTGAGATCGTTCGAGAAATGTCGATCATCTCGTGAGCTCTTACATGACTACAGTCATGCAAGATCTCCTGTCAGAATGATGCATCCTTCCCTATGTACATCATCCCTGTTTAGTCCCTTATCCTATTAGCATTTTTCTGGGCCTTTTTTGGGGACTTGTTCAGTCTGCATTGACACATTTAAATGTTGTTTGTTGCTAGAATGAGTTTTTATGGGTGCTTAATATCATGGCCCTCAGCAGCATCTGAGAAGGCACTCACTTTACATTTCATTTGTTCTTTTGCTGCCTAATTTCCCATCGATCACACACCACAGGTGAAGTGACAGACTTGCCAGGTAAACCCCCCCCCCCCCCCCCCCCTCCAGATTGACCTTTGCAGTGTGCCCTACCGTTAAAATACCTATTGGCCGGTTTCCCGGGCACAGATTAAGCCCAGTCCTGGAATAAAAAAGCAAACTCAATGAAAAAAATGAAATAATCTTAATCTATGTCGGGGAAACCACCCCAATAGGTTTACCCTCTTATTGCTGTTCTCCTGCAGTTTCCCAGTGGCCTGTCCTGTGTTTTCTATCCTTAGCTTGTCCAGTAGTTATCCCTCTGTATTCAACCCTACTTTACTGTCCTTTTTTACCCAGTACTATAATACAGCCAATCAAATGCCCTGGACAGCTCCATACTGTAGCCCTGTACACTGGCTCAGACTATGGTGCTTTTCTCTGTGCTCCAGGCACCACCCCCTCCATCCACGTGTGGGACGCCATGAGTAAACAGACACTGTCCATCCTGCGCTGCTCTCACGCCAAGGGGGTGGCCTACGTCAACTTCAGCGCCACGGGAAAGCTGCTGCTCTCTGTGGGGGTGGAGCCTGAACACACCATCACTGTTTGGAGCTGGCAGGAAGGTGAGCCATTCTGCCCCTGGTAATATACACTGAGATGGTGGTAGGCTACAGGTTAGATTGGTCTGTGCATTTTTGGGATCGCTAATCGTAACAATGTTGTTAGATATCACTCTGTAACTGTAAATAGCAGGTCGTAGGAGTGTTTGCGCTTGTGTGGGTTCCCCTGTCCAGGTGCTAAAGTGACCAGTAAAGGTGGCCATCCAGACAGGATCTTCGTAGTGGAGTTCCGGCCAGACTCGGACTCTCAGTTTGTGTCTGTTGGGATCAAGCACATCAAGTTCTGGACGCTGGCTGGAGGCTCTCTCATGTATAAGAAGGGAGTGGTGGGCTCAGTGGAGGGCGGCAGGATGCAGACCATGCTTTCTGTGGCCTTCGGTGCGGTGAGTATCGACAAAATTTGACACTAAACTCTTTAGTCTACCCTAATGGATTGGATTCACCCTAAACTAATGTAATCAGCTATGTTTTCTGTAATTAATTTCAGAGATACATTAAACGGTTTTGTGATCCTGACCTTAGGTTTCTCTTCCTGCAGAATAACCTAACATTCACGGGTGCCATAAACGGGGATGTGTACGTATGGAAAGACCACTTCCTGCTTCGTGTCGTGGCTAAAGCCCACACCGGGCCAGTGTTCACCATGTACACCACACTGAGGGACGGCCTCATCGTCACAGGGGGCAAGGAGAGGCCGTGAGTACCGTACTGCTGCTCAACCATTTACAGTTTACATTTTAGTCATTTATCAGATGCTCTTATCCAGAGCGACTTACAGGAGCAATTAGGGTTAAGTGTTTTGCTCAAGGGCACATCGACTGATTTTTCACCTAGTCGGCTCGGGGATTTGAAACAGTGACCTTTCAGTTACTGGCCCAATGCTCTTAACGGGATATTTTGGCAATGAGGCCATTTATCTACTAGCATGCTAGTAGATACTCATAGACTTCCAGTCATTGCGCTAACTACCTCTAATTTCCTTCATACTAGACACAGAGACATAAAGATGGTATCCACTAGTTCATCTGACTCTGGGGATGTAGATAAAGAGCCTCACTGCCAAACATCCTGAAGTATCCCTTTAACCACTAGTCTACCTGCTACCAAGACCACTGACAATCCCCTCATAATGATCCCCTTATAACACTCACCTCCTTGAGACCACACCATTAATTCGAACCTAAAGTAACAAGACACACTAGCACCAAAAATCACATCTGGAATTCCACTGGATTACATTAATAATAGTTCTGAATCTCAGTTAACACTCTATCCTCTATGATGATGATACATGGATGATGATGAGGAGGATGATTATGATGGTGTGTGTGCGTGCGTGCACTTTCTCAGTACAAAGGAGGGCGGTGCAGTGAAACTGTGGGACCAGGAGATGAAGCGTTGCCGAGCGTTCCAGCTGGAGACGGGCCAAACTGTTGAGTGTGTGAGGTCCGTTTGTCGGGGAAAGGTGAGTTCAGCACAGCCAGCATACACCCCAGTGGGAGAGACTTTTAGCCTACAGCAGATGTTAAACCTGAAAGCAACTCGCTGAACATTCCTTTTGGAAATCAATATACTGTAGCGATATTATATATTATATACAATTTATTGATTTTAATTGAATATCATAGTCATTTAGCAGACGCTCTTATCCAGAGCGACTTACAGGAGCAATTAGGGTTAAGTGCCTTGCTCAAGGGCGTATCGACTGATTTTTCACCTAGTTGGCTCTGGGATTTGAACCAGCAACTTTTTGGTTACTTGCCCAATGCTCTTAACCGCCAGACTACCTGCCGCAGCAGAGAAGGTACCCATTGGATAGACTAATGATTGGACATGAGATTAGCATTCAGAATTTGTTTCCCTTTATAATGGCAAAATCTATTTGGTGCTCTTTCATACTCTTGTTTATTTTCCCTGTACTGCAACATAACATTTTGTTGCAGAGTTGAGATATTCAGGTTCAGAGCAGGTAATGATGCATCAAATACAATCACTTATTTTTTCCATAGAAAAATGGATAGCTCAGTCATTTTGTTTGGAAATGGCTTTGTTTGCTTTCTTGTGACCTTCCCATATTGTAGCAACCTTCAGTAGCTCTTAGCCTACCCAGCAGCTTTAGCCACCTTTACAGTAGTAGTATTGGAGATGTGACATGTTGCTTGAACCAGTCTATCATGTCAAGTTTGTAAAGTTTATAGCTCTAGCACGATTGAAATGTAAAGGTAATTTCCAATTGAGCCGACATATGCAGCGTTTACCATGAATGCTGTCTCTGCGAAAGCAGGAACAGTACCTTTATATTTCAATCGCACTATAGTGCTGAACTTCAGCGATACGGATTGAAGCGAGCCCTAAGTCTATAGCTAGGGTTTTGAAGGGTTCAAAACATTAACCTTCTTGTGTCCCTGTCTACCAGGGTAAGATTTTGGTAGGTACAAAGGATGGTGAGATCATTGAGGTGGGAGAGAAGAACGCTGCGTCCAACATTCTGATCAACGGTCACATGCAGGGGGAGATCTGGGGCCTGGCCACCCACCCCTCTAAAGACCTGTTCATCTCCGCCAGCGACGATTGCACCATCCGCATATGGGACCTGGCCGACAAGGTACAGCACAAATAAATACTATGTGTTTCCAATGGTCTGCTGAGTAGAGAAGTTGTGTTTTGAACTTACATTGAATGTCTTAAATGATTTATTGCAGAAACAACTTTTTTGAATCTCAAATCTGTGTGAAATTACGTTTGTGTTCTTGGTTTCCTTTGCACCTGAATTTATTTAGTTAACTGTTGAATGGTAACATACCGTCCTATGTCATGTTTTGTTGTCTACAACCCTGCTGTCTGTTTCCCTGCTAGAAACTGCTGAACAAGGTGAGCCTGGGCCACCCAGCCAAGTGTGCCAGCTACAGTCCCGATGGGGAGATGGTGTCTGTGGGCATGAAGAATGGGGAGTTCATCATCCTCCTCACCAACTCACTCAAGATGTGGGGCAAGAAACGAGACCGCAGTGCTGCCATACAGGACATCAGGTAACAACTGAGGGGACATAGGAGCTACCTGGAGCCGGGCTCTAGCACTTTGACTAGACTCATGTCCATATCCTGGCAGTAACCCTAGCATCAACCCTAACCCTATCTTCATGTCCACATCCTGGCAGTGACCTTAGCATCAACCATAACCCTAGCTTCATGTCCACATCCTGGCAGTGACCTTAGCATTAACCATAACCCTAGCTTCATGTCCACATCCTGGCAGTGACCTTAGCATCAACCATAACCCTAGACTCATGTCCATATCCTGGCAGTGACCTTAGCATTAACCATAACCCTAGCTTCATGTCCACATCCTGGCAGTGACCTTAGCATCAACCATAACCCTAGCTTCATGTCCACATCCTGGCAGTGACCTTAGCATCAACCCTAACCCTAGCTTCATGTCCACATCCTGGCAGTGACCTTAGCATCAACCATAACCCTAGCTTCATGTCCACATCCTGGCAGTGACCTTAGCATCAACCATAACCCTAGCTTCATGTCCACATCCTGGCAGTGACCTTAGCATCAACCATAACCCTAGCTTCATGTCCACATCCTGGCAGTGACCTTAGCATCAACCATAACCCTAGCTTTATGTCCACATCCTGGCAGTGACCTTAGCATCAACCATAACCCTAGCTTCATGTCCACATCCTGGCAGTGACCTTAGCATCAACCATAACCCTAGCTTCATGTCCACATCCTGGCAGTGACCTTAGCATCAACCATAACCCTAGCTTCATGTCCACATCCTGGCAGTGACCTTTGCATCAACCATAACCCTAGCTTCATGTCCACATCCTGGCAGTGACCTTAGCATCAACCATAACCCTAGCTTCATGTCCACATCCTGGCAGTGACCTTAGCATCAACCATAACCCTAGACTCATGTCCACATCCTGGCAGTGACCTTAGCATCAACCATAACCCTAGCTTCATGTCCACATCCTGGCAGTAACCCTAACCCTAGTATCAACCCTAACTCTTACATCAACCCTAACCCTAGCTTCATGTCCACATCCCAATTCAACCCTAGGTCGAACATATACAGATTAACCCAATGTAATGATTATATCAAGCGGCGTTAGGAAATAAATAAATTCATTGATAATGACTAGCACCGTTGCTAACTAGCAACGCTGGCCCCATTTTCGCAAAGAGTTATGGGATATTAGAACCCTGTTGTCTTAACCTTTGTCATCTTCAACCTAGGTTCAACCCTAACCACAACCTGAACCCTATCCTTATTACTAACCCTAGCCTCAACCACAACCCAACCCTAGCTTCAACCACAACCCTAACCCTAGCTTCAACCACAACCCTAACCCTAGCCTCAACCACAACCCTAACCCTAGGCTCAACCCTAGCCTCAACCACAACCCTAACCCTAGCTTCAACCACAACTCTAACCTCAGCTAGAACCCTAACCCTCAACCACAACCCTAATCCTAGCCTCCACCACAACCCTAACCCTAGCTTCAACCCAACCCTAACCCTAGCCTGAACCTCAACCCTCACCCTCCACCACAACCCTAACTGCAACCACAGCCCTAACCCAACCCCTAGCCTCAGCCACAACCTTAACCCTAGCCTCAACCCCAACCCTCACCCTCCACCACAACCCTAACCCTAATTTTTTGCATTGATCTCAGGGAGGTGAAAGGACGATGCACAATAAAGAAAACGTACAATAAATACAGTTTCTATGGTTGTCTATGATATTTAATATATGCATGCTCATCTTGATTAATACTGTTTTGAAAATGTTTTATTCCTTATTCCTTTTATTATCTACATGATCCCTTATAGATGGTTATAAACTCATTTATTGTGTGACATATATTTATTAGAATTGTCTTTTACATTACAGCCCTTTATCTCCCAGGGCTTTGTCTTCCAGCACTTAGAAATGTGTTTGTATATGTATCCCTCCATCCATTTATTTATTAAAGCATCAATCCCTTGTAGATTTTAATAACAGAGTCCCTTCATGGTCCTAGATACCCACTCAGACCATCATTTCAGGAACAGGAAATAGCCTACCTACTTTTACCATCTAGTGAATTTTAAAAGGTACTATACCGGCATCACAGGTCTTCAGGATGCCATCAAGTGTAATTTAATAGGTACTATACCGGCATCACAGGTCTTCAGGATGCCATCTAGTTAATTTAATAGGTACTATACCGGCATCACAGGTCTTCAGGATGCCATCTAGTTAATTTAATAGGTACTATACCGGCATCACAGGTCTTCAGGATGCCATCAAGTGTAATTTAATAGGTACTATACCGGCATCACAGGTCTTCAGGATGCCATCTAGTTAATTTAATAGGTACTATACCGGAGTCACAGGTCTTCAGGATGCCATCTAGTGTAGTTTAATAGGTACTATACCGGAGTCACAGGTCTTCAGGATGCCATCTAGTGTAGTTTAATAGGTACTATACCGGAGTCACAGGTCTTCAGGATGCCATCTAGTGTAATTTAATAGGTACTATACCGGAGTCACAGGTCTTCAGGATGCCATCTAGTGTAGTTTAATAGCTACTATACCGGAGTCACAGGTCTTCAGGATGCCATCTAGTGTAGTTTAGTAGGTACTATACCGGAGTCACAGGTCTTCAGGATGCCATCTAGTGTAGTTTAATAGCTACTATACCGGAGTCACAGGTCTTCAGGATGCCATCTAGTGTAGTTTAATAGCTACTATACCGGAGTCACAGGTCTTCAGGATGCCATCTAGTGTAGTTTAATAGGTACTATACCGGAGTCACAGGTCTTCAGGATGCCATCTAGTGTAGTTTAATAGGTACTATACCGGAGTCACAGGTCTTCAGGATGCCATCTAGTGTAGTTTAATAGGTACTATACCGGAGTCACCGGTCTTCAGGATGCCATCTAGTGTAGTTTAATAGGTACTATCTGAGTCAGTAGAATTCTTTATAGCATTATATTGGAGGGGCACACAATAATAGGCCTGCACACCACAAGACAAACCAGTATTTTTTTAACCCTACACTAACTCAAAACCTAACCCTAGCCTCAACCACAACCCTAGTCTCAACCATAACCCTAGCTTCAACCATAACCCTAGCTTCAACCACATCCCTAGTCTCAACCATAACCCTAGCTTCAACCACAACCCTAGCCTCAACCATAACCCTAGCTTCAACCACAACCCTAGTCTCAACCATAACCCTCAAACACAACCCTAACCCTAGCCTCAACCACAACCCTAACAACCCTCCACCACAACCCTAACCCTCAACCACAACCGTAGCCTCAACCACAACCTTAGCCTCAACCACAACCGTAGCCTCAACCACAACCGTAGCCTCAACCACAACCCTCAACCACAACCCTAACCCTAGCCTCAACCACAACCCTAACAACCCTCCACCACAACCCTAACCCTAGCCTCCACCACAACCCTAACCCTCAACCACAACCGTAGCCTCAACCACAACCTTAGCCTCAACCACAACCTTAGCCTCAACCACAACCGTAGCCTCAACCACAACCGTAGCCTCAACCACAACCGTAGCCTCAACCACAACCTTAGCCTCAACCCTAACCCTCAACCACAACCCTAACAGTGCTTCATGTCCACATCCCGGTTCAAACCTAACCCTAGCCTCAACCCTAACCCAAGCTTCATGTCCACATCCCTGTTCAACCTTAACCCTCAACCACAAACCTAACTTGAATTTGGCATAACTCTAACTGTAGCCTTATGTTCAACCCTGGCTCAACCCTAATCCCAAAATATGGCTCCCCCAAATCTGAATTCCCAATTTAACCCCTGGTTACAACCAAGGAAACAACTAAGTAAAATTAAAGAGCTGAATTTGTCAAACTCTTGAGACTCATTTAAATGGTATTGGGTCAGTTAAAGACCAGTCAATTACATTTTTATTATGAGGATGTCTGTGTGGTCCAATGTCATATATACATTACGTACAGTATGTCTATTCTGTGACCCTCTCAGGTTTAGTCCAGACAAACACCTCCTGGCAGTGGGCTCAGTGGAGAGTACGGTTGACTTGTATGACCTTACATTGGGCCCCACACTCAACCGCGTGGGTTACTGTAAGGACATCTCCAGTTTTGTTATCCAGATGGACTTCTCTGCCGACAGCAGGTTCATCGAGGTATGCCACACTGACCGTGATGTAGAATACAGCTGGAGGGGTTTTAAAAACAGACTGAGTCTTGTTGTTGTAACAAGCCATTGGGGTTTTGATAGGCTGACATACATACTGTATTTTCTAAACTGCACACAAAATAGATGGTGGAATGAGGTCCATTTTCTTTTGCTGTCATGGTCATTATGTTTGAGTTGTAAATAATAATAATAAGAAGAAAATAGGCTTTTATTAGACTATCGTGTCGGGCACTTCCTTATTGTAGATCGGTGCTTGATTCAGTGTTGTCTTTTTAACACAGATCATGTTGCAGAGTGTATTCTCACCATGATGGACACTCATATATCCATTCCAAAGCTTGCTGGGAGTGGAAAACACCTATATTTAGACTCACACATATATGGCAGGCAGGTCATAATCGTTTATAGCCAAGTCCCCTTCTAGTTAACAGTAGCCTGGAGCTGCCCCAAAGTAACCTCACAGGCTTCAGTGTGCTAAAAAGGAACCCTATCTGAGGTATTCCTATAGACTCAGACCCATTCCTTGCTGTTATGGAAAGCCTTACCCCTTTTCTGGAATGTCGCTGTGACTGCCACATGATGACCAGAGAAAGAGTAAGATGGTGACTTGGCCTTCTAAATTTAACCTGCCCTCAGCGTACAATTACAAGTACAAAATGTAACTGTGCCTTGAAGGGGGCAGAGGGAGAGCACCGAAGGGGAGGGACCAATATAGTTCACCAAGGTCCTCCTGTAATTTTAAGTTATATAATGGAGTAACCTCATTACAATTTCATTGTAAATCCATATTTTGGTTGATTAAAAGCACAACAATTAACATGAAGTAGTGATGAGGCTTCTATGTCTTTAACACATTTGTAATATGGAAAATGATATGCCACTTTCTTTTTTTTCCTTCCTAGCTGTGCAGACTGAGCTGTGCAGACAGTGCTGGTAGATACAGTGCCTTCAGAAAGTATTCACACCCCTTGACTTTTTCCACATTTTGTTGTGTTACAGCCTGAATTTAAAATTGATTAAATTGATATTTTGTGTCACTGGCCTACACACTATACCTCAATGTCAGTGTAATTATGTTTTTAGAAATGTTAACACATTTTATTAAAAATGAAACGCTGAAATGTCGAGTCAATAAGTATTCAATCCATTATGGCAAGCCTAAATAAGTTCAGGTGTAAAAATGTGCTTAACAAGTCACATATGTTGCATGTACTCACTATGTGTGCAATAATAGTGTTTAACATGATTTTTGAATGACTACCTCATCTCTGTACCCCACGCATACAATTATCTGTAAGGTCCCTCAGTCGAGCAGTGAATTTCAAACACAAAGACCAGGGAGGTTTTCCAATGCCTCGCAAAGAAGGGCGCCTATAGGTAGACGGGTAAAATAAAATAAAAACAGACATTGAATATCCCTTTGAGCATGTTGAAGTTATTAATTACACTTTGGATGGTGTATAAATACACCCAGTCACTACAAAGATACAGGCGTCCTTCCTAACTCAGTTGTCAGAGAGGAAGTAAACCTCTCAGGGATTTCACCATGAGGCCAATGGTGACTATAAAACAGTTACAGTAAGGGAAAAAAGTATTTGATCCCCTGCTGATTTTGTACGTTTGCCAACTCACAAAGACATGATCAGTCTATAATTTTAATGGTAGGTTTATTTGAACAGTGAGAGACAGAATAACAACAAATAAATCCAGATAAACGCATGTCAAACATGTTATAAATTGATTTGCATTTTAATGAGGGAAATAAGTATTTGACCCCTATGCAAAACATGACTTAGTACTTGGTGGAAAAACCCTTGTTGGCAATCACAGAGGTCAGACGTTTCTTGTAGTTGGCCACCAGATTTGCACACATCTCAGGAGGGATTTTGTTCCACTCCTCTTTGCAGATCTTCTCCAAGTCATTAAGGTTTCGAGGCTGACATTTGGCAACTCGAACCTTCAGCTCCCTCCACAGATTTTCTATGGGATTAAGGTCTGGAGACTGGCTAGGCCACTCCAGGACCTTAATGTGCTTCTTCTTGAGCAACTCCTTTGTTGCCTTGGCCGTGTGTTTTGGGTCATTGTCATGCTGGAATACCCATCCACGACCCATTTTCAATGCCCTGGCTGAGGGAAGGAGGTTCTCACCCAAGATTTGACGGTACATGGCCCCGTCCATCGTCCCTTTGATGCGGTGAAGTTGTCCTGTCCCCTTAGCAGAAAAACACCCCCAAAGTATAATGTTTCCACCTCCATGTTTGACGGTGGGGATGGTGTTCTTGAGGTCATAGGCAGCATTCCTCCTCCTCCAAACACGGCGAGTTGAGTTGATGCCAAAGAGCTCGATTTTGGTCTCATCAGACCACAACACTTTCACCCAGTTCTCCTCTGAATCATTCAGATGTTCATTGGAAAACTTCAGACGGCCCTGTATATGTGCTTTCTTGAGCAGGGGGACCTTGCGGGTGCTGCAGGATTTCAGTCCTTCACGGCGTAGTGTGTCACCAATTGTTTTCTTGGTGACTATGGTCCCAGCTGCCTTGAGATCATTGACAAGATCCTCCCGTGTAGTTCTGGGCTGATTCCTCACCGTTCTCATGATCATTGCAACTCCACAAGGTGAGATCTTGCATGGAGCCCCAGGCCGAGGGAGATTGACAGTTATTTTGTGTTTCTTTCGCAAATAATCGCACCAACTCTTGTCACCTTCTCACCAAGCTGCTTGGCGATGGTCTTGTAGCCCATTCCAGCCTTGTGTAGGTCTACAATCTTGTCCCTGACATCCTTGGAGAGCTCTTTGGTCTTGGCCATTGTGGAGAGTTTGGAATCTGATTGATTGATTGATTGCTTCTGTGGGCAGGTGTCTTTTATACAGGTAACAAGCTGAAATTAGGAGCACTCCCTTTAAGAGTGTGCTCCTAATCTCAGCTCGTTACCTGTATAAAAGACACCTTGGAGCCAGAAATCTTTCTGATTGAGAGGGGGTCAAATACTTATTTCCCTCATTGAACATTGAACATTTTTGACATGCGTTTTTCTGGATTTTTATGTTGTTATTCTGTCTCTCACTGTTCATATAAACCTACCATTAAAATTATAGACTGATCATTTCTTTGTCAGTGGGCAAACGTACAAAATCAGGGATCAAATACTTTTTTCCTCACTGTAGTTTAATGGCTGTGATAGGAGAAAACTGAGGATGGATCAACAACATTGTAGTTACTCCACAATACTAAACTAAATGACAGAGTGAGAAGAAGGAAGCCTGTACATAATAAAAATATCCCAAAACATGCATCCTGTATGCAACAAGGCACTAAAGTAAAACCGCCAAAAATGTGGCAAAGAAAATGAACTTCATGTCCTGAATACAAAAGCGTTATGTTTGGGGAAAATCCAATACAACACTGAGTACCACTCTTCATATTTTCAAGCATGGTGGTGGCTGCATCATGTTATGGGTATGCTTGTCATCTACAAGGCCTAGGGAGTTTTTTAGGATAAAAAGAAACAGAATAGAGCTAAGCACAGGCAAAATCCTAGAGGAAAACCTGGTTCAGTCTGCTTTCCTACAATCAATTTCAATCAATTTTATTTTATATAGCCCTTCTTACATCAGCTAATATCTCGAAGTGCTGTACAGAAACCCAGCCTAAAACCCCAAACAGCTAGTAATGCAGGTGTAGAAGCACGGTGGCTAGGAAAAACTCCCTAGAAAGGCGAAAACCTAGGAAGAAACCTAGAGAGGAACCAGGCTATGAGGGGTGGCCAGTCCTCTTCTGGCTGTGCCGGGTGGAGATTATAACAGAACCATGCCAAGATGTTCAAAAATGTTCATAAGTGACAAGCATGGTCAAATAATAATCAGGAATAAATCTCAGTTGGCTTTTCATAGCCGATCATTAAGAGTTGAAAACAGCAGGTCTGGGACAGGTAGGGGTTCCATAACCGCAGGCAGAACAGTTTAAACTGGAATAGCAGCAAGGCCAGGCGGACTGGGGACAGCAAGGAGTCACCACGGCCGGTAGTCCCGACGTATGGTCCTAGGGCTCAGGTCTCTCAGTTGGCTTTTCATAGCCGATCATTAAGAGTTGAAAACAGCAGGTCTGGGACAGGTAGGGGTTTCGTAGCCGCAGGCAGAACAGTTGAAACTGGAATAGCAGCAAGGCTAGGCGGACTGGGGACAGCAAGGTGTCATCATGCCCGGTAGTCCTGACGTATGGTCCTAGGGCTCAGGTTCTCAGAGAGAAAGAGAGAACGAGAGAATTAGAGAGAGCATACTTAAATTCACACAGGACACTGGATAAGACAGGAGAAGTACTCCAGGTATAACCAACTAACCCCAGCCCCCCGACACATAAACTACTGCAGCATAAATACTGGAGGCTGAGACAGGAGCGGTCCGGAGACACTGTGGCCCCATCCGAAGAAACCCCCGGACAGGGCCAAACAGGAAGGATATAACCCCACCCACTCCGCCAAAGCACAGCCCCCGCACCACTAGAGGGATATCCCCAACCACCAACTTACAATCCTGAGACAAGGCCGAGTATAGCCCACAGAGGTCTCCACCACAGCACAAACCAAGGGGGGGGCGCCAACCCAGACAGGAAGATCACGTCAGTAACTCAACCCACTCAAGTGACGCACCCCTCCCAGGGACGGCATGAAAGAGCACCAGCAAGCCAGTGACTCAGCCCCTGCAACAGGGTTAGAGGCAGAGAACCCCAGTGGAGAGGGGAACCGGCCTGGCAGAGACAGCAAGGGCTGTTCGTTGCTCCAGCCTTTCCGTTCACCTTCACACTCCTGGGCCAGACTACACTCAATCATATGACCTACTGAAGAGATAAGTCTTCAGTAAAGACTTAAAGGTTGAGACCGAGTCTGCGTCTCTCACATGGGTAGGCAGACTGTTCCATAAAAATGGAGATCTATAGGAGAAAGCCCTGCCTCCCGCTGTTTGCTTAGAAATTCTAGGGACAATTAGGAGGCCTGCGTCTTGTGACCGTAGCGTACGTATTGGTATGTACGGCAGGACCAACTCGGAAAGATAGGTAGGAGCAAGCCCATGTAACGCTTTATAGGTTAACAGTAAAACCTTGAAATCAGCCCTTGCCTTAACAGGAAGCCAGTGTAGGGAAGCTAGCACTGGAGTAATATGATAAAATTTCTTGGTTCTAGTCAGGATTCTAGCAGCCGTATTTAGCACTAACTGAAGTTTATTTAGTGCTTTATCCGGGTAGCCGGAAAATAGAGCATTGCAGTAGTCTAACCTAGAAGTAACAAATGCATGGATTAATTTTTCTGCATCATTTTTGGACAGAACATTTCTGATTTTTGCAATGTTACGTAGATGGAAAAAAGCTGTCCTTGAAACAGTCTTGATATGTTCGTCAAAAGAGAGATCAGGGTCAAGAGTAACGCCTAGGTCCTTCACAGTTTTATTTGAGACGACTTTACAACCATCAAGATGAATTGTCAGATTTAACAGAAGATCTCTTTGTTTCTTGGGACCTAGAACAAGCATCTCTGTTTTGTCCGAGTTTAAAAGTAAAAAGTTTTCAGCCATCCACTTCCTTATGTCTGAAACACAGGCTTCTAGCGAGGGCAATTTTGGGGCTTCACCATGCTTCATTGAAATGTACAGCTGTGTGTCATCCGCATAGCAGTGAAAGTTAACATTATGTTTTCGAATAACATCCCCAAGAGGTAAAATATATAGTGAAAACAATAGTGGTCCTAAAACGGAACCTTGAGGAACACCGAAATGTACAGTTGATTTGTCGGAGGACAGACCATTCACAGAGACAAACTGATATCTTTCCGACAGGTAGGATCTAAACCAGGCCAGAACTTGTCCGTGTAGACCAATTTGGGTTTCCAGTCTCTCCAAAAGAATGTGGTGATCGATGGTGTCAAAGGCAGCACTAAGGTCTAGTAGCACGAGGACAGATGCAGAGCCTCGGTCTGACGCCATTAAAAGGTCATTTACCACCTTCACAAGTGCAGTCTCAGTGCTATGATGGGGTCTAAAACCAGACTGAAGCATTTCGTATACATTGTTTGTCTTCAGAAAGGCAGTGAGTTGCTGCGCAACAGCTTTTTCTAAAATTTTTGAGAGGAATGGAAGATTCGATATAGGCCGATAGTTTTTTATATTTTCCGGGTCAAGGTTTGGCTTTTTCAAGAGAGGCTTTATCACTGCCACTTTTAGTGAGTTTGGTACACATCCGGTGGATAGAGAGCTGTTTATTATGTTCAACATAGGAGGGCCAAGCACAGGAAGCAGCTCCTTCAGCAGTTTAGTAGGAATAGGATCCAGTATGCAGCTTGAAGGTTTAGAGGCCATGATTATTTTCATCATTGTGTCAAGAGATATAGTACTAAAACACTTAAGTGTCTCTCCCGATCCCAGGCCCTCGCAGAGCTGTGCAGATCCAGGACAGCTAAGCCCTGGAGGAATACGCAGATTCAAAGAGGAGTCCGTAATTTGCTTTCTAATGGTCATGATCTTTTCCTCAAAGAAGTTCATGAATTTATCACTGCTGAAGTGAAAGCCATCCTCTCTTGGGGAATGCTGCTTTTTAGTTAGCTTTGCAACAGTATCAAAAAGAAATTTTGGATTGTTCTTATTTTCCTCGATTAAGTTGGAAAAGTAGGATGATCGAGCAGCAGTGAGGGCTCTTCGGTACTGCACGGTACTGTCTTTCCAAGCTAGTCGGAAGACTTCCAGTTTGGTGTGGCGCCATTTCCGTTCCAATTTCCTGGAAGCTTGCTTCAAAGCTCGGGTATTTTCTGTATACCAGGGAGCTAGTTTCTTATGACAAATGTTTTTCGTTTTTAGGGGTGCAACTGCATCTAGGGTATTGCGCAAGGTTAAATTGAGTTCCTCAGTTAAGTGGTTAACTGATTTTTGTCCTCTGACGTCCTTGGGTAGGCAGAAGGAGTCTGGAAGGGCATCAATGAATTTTTGTGTTGTCTGAGAATTTATAGCACGACTTTTGATGCTCCTTGGTTGGGGTCTGAGCAGATTATTTGTTGCGATTGCAAACGTAATAAAATGGTGGTCCGATAGTCCAGGATTTTGTGGAAAAACATTAAGATCTACAACATTTATTCCATGGGACAAAACTAGGTCCAGAGTATGACTGTGGCAGTGAGTAGGTCCAGAGACATGTTGGACAAAACCCACTGAGTCGATAATGGCTCCGAAAGACTTTTGGAGTGGGTCTGTGGACTTCTCCATGTGAATATTAAAATCACCAAAAATTAGAATATGATCTGCTATGACTACAAGGTCTGATAGGAATTCAGGAAACTCAGAGAGGAACGCTGTATATGGCCCAGGAGGCCTGTAAACAGTAGCTATAAAAAGTGATTGAGTAGGCTGCATAGATTTCATGACTAGAAGCTCAAAAGATGAAAACGCCATTTTTTTTTTTGTAAATTGAAATTTGCTATCGTAAATGTTAGCAACACCTCCGCCTTTGCGGGATGCACGGGGAATATGGTCACTAGTGTAACCAGGAGGTGAGGCCTCATTTAACACAGCAAATTCATCAGGCTTAAGCCATGTTTCAGTCAGGCCAATCACATCAAGATTATGATCAGTGATTAGTTCATTGACTATGACTGCCTTTGAAGTGAGGGATCTAACATTAAGTAACCCTATTTTGAGATGTGAGGTATCACGATCTCTTTCAATAATGGCAGGAATGGAGGAGGTCTTTATCCTAATAAGATTGCTAGGGTGAACACCGCCATGTTTAGTTTTGCCCAACCTAGGTCGAGGCACAGACACAGTCTCAATGGGTATGGCTGAGCTGACTACACTGACTGTGCTATTGGCAGACTCCACTAAGCTGGCAGGTTGGCTAACAGCCTGCTGCCTGGCCTGCACCCTATTTCACTGTGGGGCTAGAGGAGTTAGAGCCCTATCTATGTTGGTAGATAAGAGGAGAGCACCCCTCCAGCTAGGATGGAGTCCGTCACTCCTCAGCAGGTCAGGCTTGGTCCTGTTTGTGGGTGAGTCCCAGAAAGAGGGCCAATTATCCACAAATGTTATCTTTTGGGAGGGGCAGAAAACAGTTTTCAACCAGCGATTAAGTGCTGAGACTCTGCTGTAGAGCTCGTCACTTCCCCTAACTGGGAGGGGGCCAGAGACAATTACTCGATGCCGACACATCTTTCTAGCTGATTTACACGCTGAAGCTATGTTGCACTTGGTGACCTCTGACTGTTTCATCCTAACATCGTTGGTGCCGACGTGGATAACAATATCTCTATACTCTCTACACTCGCCAGTTTTAGCTTTAGCCAGCACCATCTTTAGATTAGCCTTAACGTCGGTAGCCCTGCCCCCTGGTAAACAGTGTATGATCGCTGGGTGATTCGTTTTAAGTCTAATACTGCGGGTAATGGAGTCGCCAATGACTAGGGTTTTCAATTTGTCAGAGCTAATGGTGGGAGCCTTCGGAGTCTCAGACCCCGTAACGGGAGGAGTAGAGACTAGAGAAGACTCAGACTCAGACTCCGACTCGCTACATAATGGGGAAAACCGGTTGAAGGTTTCTGTCGGCTGAATGAGCGACACCGGTTGAGCATTCCAACAGTATTTCCCTCCAGAAGCCATGAGAAAGTTGTCCGGCTGCGGGGACTGTGCGGGGGGATTTATACTAACGTTACTGTCTGTACTTACTGGTGGCACAGACGCTGTTTCTTCCTTTCCTACACTGATATTACCCTTGCCTAACGATTGCGTCTGAAGCTGGGCTTGTAGCACAGCTATTCTCGCCGTAAGGCGATCGTTCTCCTGTATATTATGAGTACAGCGACTGCAATTAGAAGACATCATGTTAATGTTACTACTTAGCTTCGGCTGTTGAAGATGTTGATGAACCATGTCCAGATAAAGCGTCCGGAGTGAAAAAGTTGAATAAGGGAAAAAAGTTGCGATGGAAAAAAGGAAAATAACGTAAAGTTGGCAGCTAAAACGCACAGGAAAATGACTCTTCTGTCTCGGGATAAACGTCCGGGGTGAAAAAGTTTAACGAAAAAAGATGAGTGAGGACAAAACTAAAAAGTTGGTAAATTTGTTGAACACAGAGATTGATTAAACGTTTATTAAAAGTAAAACGTGAATAGTTTGGCAGGTAGCCAAGTAGCAACAAACAGCACAGCAGCACAGAGACAATGGGAGACAAATTCACCTTTCAGCAGGACAATAATCTAAAACACAAGGTCAAATATACACTGGAGTTGCTTACCAAGACGACGTTGAATGTTCCTGAGTGGCATAGTTACAGTTTTTACTTAAATCTTCTTGAAAATCTATGGCCAGACTTGAAAATGGCTGTCTAGCAATTATCAACAGCCAATTTGACAGAGCTTGAATACTTTTTTTAAAGAATGTGAAAATATTGTACAATCCTGGTGTGCAAAGCTCTTAGACTTACCCAGAATGACTCACAGCTGTATTTAATGCCAAAGGTGACTCTAACATGTATTGATTGACTCAGGGCTGTGAATACATCATGTATGTAAATGACATTTCATTTTCAATAAATGTGCAGACATTTCAACAACAACAAAAAAACGTTGTCATTATGGGGTAAGTAAAAGGGTATGAATACTTTCTGAAGGCACAGTACACTAGATGACAGTTATAATATTCTGACTTCTGGTTGTGTGTGCAAATGCATGAGTGTGTGTTCTGACGTGTCACTGTGTCGACAGGTGTCCACAGGAAACTATAAGCGCCAGGTGCATGAGATGCCTTCTGGGAAAATGGTGGCAGAACAGAGTGTGATTGACAGGATCACCTGGGCCACCTGGACCAGGTAGAATGATTAATTGTCATCACTGGAATTTAATCAAACTCACATACTCTCCAAAATCAAAACTGAGATCCATATTCAGTAAAGAATGCAAATACTGCACGGTAACACTATTGAGATATGGGGTCAACAATGGGAGCTAAACATAACAGCTCGCTCTGGTAGGGGCATTGCAATATGGGAATGCAAGCTGAAGCGGTACAAAGACATTGCTGGGTCAACTTGTTTTTGAGCTTTAGGCTAGTTGAAGCCATCTGGGCATGTTTGTATGGAAGTTTAGCGGGCACACCCAGACATGTTGTTTGGTAGGGTGTCTGTTATTGATCAATGGAATAATAGAGGTCAATCAATACTGTCTGCAGCACAGCGGTCACTGTCCACTTCTCATGAATAGACCCCAAACTTCCTCTAACATCAGTCTTCCCAAGGTTAATGAGTTAAAATACATATTCTGCATATAGGCAGTAGCATACTTATTACGAAACATGTACAGAAAAACAAATGTATGGTTGAGATCTTTTATAGTATTTTTATATAATATATATATCGCATATGTTTTACTACTGAGGAGGGTACTAATATAGTAATTAAATTGACTTGGAGGGAACTTTTAAAAGGTTATTCTTTGGTGGACTAATGTCCTCTCAGTACTGGCAGGCCTGTGGTTTTGTTCAGCATATTCTGTAGTCTGAGCATGGCTCCTTTCTCTCATTCCTTCTCAGTATCCTGGGAGATGAGGTGCTCGGGATCTGGCCACGAAATGCTGATAAGGCTGACGTCAACTGTGCCTGTGTCTCCCATGCTGGCCTCAACGTGGTCACCGGGGACGACTTTGGACTGGTCAAGCTCTTCGACTTCCCCTGCACTGAGAAGTTTGTGAGTGATTCACTTCCTCAAAACAACATCACTGTGATATCTTTTAAAGATATGTAGTTACTGAAGCCATAGAACACACTGCTGGCTGAGGCTGCTCCAAGTGGGGAGGTGGGCCAGTAACCGAAAAGTCGCTGGTTCGAATCCCCCAGCCGACTAGGTGAAGAACTAAATGTTGATGTGCCCTTGAGCAAGGCACTTAACTGTAATTGCACCTGTAAGTCGAGACTAAATGACTTGTGTTTTAATATTTATTTTGATCCTCTGCAGACCAAACACAAGCGTTACTTTGGGCACTCGGCACATGTGACCAACATTCGCTTCTCCTATGATGATAAATATGTGATCAGCACTGGAGGAGACGACTGCAGGTATGCATAGCTTGTGTTACCGGGTTTAACCACATATCAGATTAATTACATTATAGATACTCTACAATAAATAGGAGCATTAACAAGTGATTTGCGTTCGAATTTTTCACAGCTCATCTTGTACTCTAGACAGATCTGATTTTCTGTTTTACTGACTGCTGTATTGTCTTCCTCCTTTTTTAGTGTCTTTGTGTGGAAATGCCTGTAATCCAGAGCCTTTTCTCCACAACTATCCACTATCATGCACCAAGACTCCTTAGCCCACCGCAGTAGGTCTTGGATTCCGAAATGCAGCCAGGATCCCAACACCTCAAGTGTCTGGCAACTGTCTCCCCATCCTGAGAACAACACCCGGGGATTGGCAATACGCTAATCACTATAATATTAGTTCAAGTCTAAGCATTAGGCAGAGCAGGTAGCTCCTTTTCTAACAGGTAACCACTTTGAAGTAGATTTTTTGCCACTAGAAAATGTTTGATTTTCTGGCCTAACAAGAAATGACAGTGTTTACATTCACATCTGCTTTCAATGAAGGACACATGAAAGCAGGTTGCCACGCCAGCTATTGATTTATATTTAAGTCTTGATAATGTCCAGGATTCAATCAAAAAGCACATTGTTGACAATGCAGCTTTTAAAGGCAATGATCCCGCGTTTGCGGAGATTGCATGCACAGTAAATGCTGCAGATGTCAGCTCAATCGCAAATTACCTTTAAATGACGCATTGTCGACAGCGCTCCACGGATTAGGGGCTCTATTCAATTAGTATTGTGGAAGTTCAGCTGTAAAACCCAATTTGTAATTTAAAGGCAATGTTCCCGCGTTGGCGGAGACTGCATTCACAGTAAACGCTGCATATGTCGGCTCAATCTGAAATTACCTTAATTTCTATTGTGCAATCTGTATCGCTTCAGCGATAGATGGAATAGAGCCCTAAATCCTAGCCAGTGTAGAGGAGAAAAACCCCCCATAACTCATTTGAAAGTATTAATATCCTTAAGTGCCTTTATGAATATTTCTATTTGTGTTATATTTTTTTGCAGTTTCACGATGAAATTATTTTGTACACCTCTGGTGCTATTATATTGTAAAGTTTATCATTCAATACACAGAAAGGGGCATTGGTTTGCTCCTGTTTATGCATACAACATCACGTAACGTGACATAGTAAGTTATAATAGCTCTATTGAAAATATTTAAATGTTACTCCGTGATCTGATTATCAATTTTCAGCTTGTGATAGTTACAAAAATTGTAGAGAGCATTCTTAAATGCTTTTAACTATTGTCAAAATATTACTTAAATTTTGTGAAATATCTTGGTGAAACGTTCTTCCATATAACCATTGTGAAAAGATTAAACGAAAATAATGTTCATAGAACTAGTACACTGAAGCATTACTGTATGTTTCAACATTCACTTCCAGTAAGGGATTTCAATGGTACTTCAAGGGGTGGCTTATATTTAGATTTGTCATTTAGCAGAGCGACTTACATTCATCTTAAAATAGTTAGGTGAGACGGCACAATCATAATTTTTTTTCAAAGTATTTATCAAAGGTAAAGTGAAATACAGTCTAGGAGACAGTGACCTGTCACACCAAAGTTGACTATGCAGTCTTACTCAAGCCCTGGACCTGGTTTCCCAAAAGCATCTGAAGGCTAAGATGCCTTGGTCATCTTTCCATCCTTGTCTACTGTTGAACTCTTAGTGCTCTAGTTAATAAGCATCACGGAAGTTCCGTTTTACAGCGTGAATGAAATTGAAAGGCAATGTTCCCGCTTTAGCGGAGACTGCATTCATGGTAAACACTGCATATGTCAGCTCAGAAATTACCTTCACATTTCTATTGCGGAATCTGTAACACTTCAGCTTTACAGAATGAATAGTGCCCTTAGCCGTGTCGTCTTTAGCCTGTCAGTCTCACTAATGTTTAGCTAGCAGTGTGGCAGCAATATCTGTTACTATATGTGCATTCTTTAAGCAGTATGGATTCCTGTTTACGCATTTTTATTCATTTAATTTTTGTAAGACAGATTGTCTAGATATCATTAATTTATTTGTATCATATTGTAAATTACTAAAATATGCTCAAATGCATGAATTTATTTTTTAATCAAAATGACATCTGTGGTGAGACAAGATTTTATTGTATGAATGACAATGTTGTTTTATACCTATTTATTGTGAGTGTATATGTGCAAATACTAAGTGTATGGAAAGATAAAATGAGAATACCGAATGTCATTTGTTTCTTAATGAAAGTTGAATAGATGGACCTCAAAGGTTTCAACTTAAACGTGGGTATCATTCAAGGCACTGAGCCCCCCCCCCCCCCCAGAACATGGTTTTCAGTCTTCCAACATTCATTTCTCTTTTACCTTAGTGTATTCTTAAATCACTGGATTAGAGCATCTGCTAAATGTAATTTCACTGACTAGTAGTTGAGACTGACTACGAAATAATTCAAAAATGAAGTTACGAGATTCAGACAGCGACACATTACGCACCAAATGTGTACTACATGTACTGGAAGTATTTGCAATGTATTAACATTCCTACATGCTATTTAGAACAGTTCAGCATACAGTAAATTCCTATTTGATGGAAAAGTTTGGCGTACGACATCCTTTCCTTTAAAACATAGGACCAAGGGGTTGTTTTAGGCAGAGCTAGTTTCTAAATGTATCCTTAACTACTTTCCTAAACCCTCCATCTTGCCTACCGAGAAAGAAAATCCACAGTAATTCATCTAGAAGCTTTATTGTAATTGTTTCTATTTCACAATGCATTCCACAAACAGTTCTCAGAAGAGTTCATTACAATTGTATGGAGTATCATTCACAATTACTTGCATAACAAACAATGCTTGAAGTTTCCATGTTACATAATTTTGCAGCTTTAGCTATTGGGTCCACAGACGGTATGTTAATTTTGTTTTGTTTTACGTTGTTCGTAAACGTGTTCTTCCAGAGTTTAAATAGGCAGCTGCATGAGGTGAAATGATCATTAAAATGTTCTCATATTTTCTTGTAAAGTTCTAAGTGTTTCTAGCTAGAAATACTCAGAAGCATGAAGTGCTATGGATTATCGCCCTGCTGGCATTAAAGACCATCGTCAAGCACAATGACACACGTCAACACCTTGTGTCAAGCACACTCAATAGCCACTGAAAAGAGCTAGAAGCTTTGAAACTACAGTCTATCAATAAAACAGTAAAATCACAAACACCACTAACTTAATCGTACCAAATAACAACATGTACTCAGGTTTCCACAAAGGTACCAATGAACCCTCACTCATTACAAAAAAGACAATGCAATTCCAATTTTCTGAACACTGCATCAAGGGAGAGAACAAATGAACCAGCTCACGGAATAATTTTATTTAAAAATGCATCACTGGTCAGGTCCAAGTGCAAGATTAAAATAATACGCCTGTGTGGTTATTTTATTTTTTGTATTTTTTTGTGTATTTTTTTTAACATATTCACACAAACTAGCATTTTAAGCCAGATAGATCAGCATGTTCAATTTAGTTAATCAAAAGGTGGGAATACTTTTGAGCTGGTGAATAATATATATATTTTTAAACATAACCCAAGGTGTTTCTGGGAACAAGGAATTATGAACTGAAAAGAGATTGAAAAGAAGTGATGCATGCCCCCTTCCCCCCGCCCAGTGCCCTCCACCCTCACAGGAAGACTCAGGGACTGCCTCATTTTCATTTCTTTTTTCACTCGGCCTTCACACGCTTCAGTCCTGGGACTTTGGCCTGGACCCTGAAAGGGAAAGGTGGCACAGCTTCAGTCACAGACCATGTTTATATGCAGTTTTTAAAAATCCCCAAAAAGAAAGCTCATTCTGAGTAAAGACGCCCTCAAGGAAAAACACTTCAATCTAGGGCCTACTTATTAGGTAGGCAGGAGTGCAGCTACGTAAAAACTAAATATAACGTACGACAGTCACAACTACACAATACCAAAAAACCCAGCCAAAGCTTCATAGAAGATATTACAAACAGGACATAAATATAGAGTGACTACGTGTTCAGGTAATTAATTCTGATTTTGAATTAAAATTAATTCTGAATACAAGGGTGGGTTATACCTTTTGATAAACAAATCAAGGTGGAGAAAGTTAGCATGTAAACACTGTTTGGATAACTTTGGTCAGGTGGAACACGTACACCTTTCATTTGTGTGTACAATATTTATCATGGAATTCTTGCAGAACCTTTTAACAGTAAAATGATGCAATATATGTCTGATGAACAGAAATGTGCACAAAATGTTTAAAAGGTATAACATGAGGGATTTCATGTCACAGAGATTTCTTCAACTTTTTTCCAAACTATTCAATAATGACCTTGTTTTATTGGCACTGGATTTCATACAATCAAATTATTCAGATATGTAAAATAAGTGTTTTAATTTCTGTATTTTTCTGACAGAAAGACATTGGAACGCAACACAGTGCATGCCCTAACACTGTCCCATTCGGAACAAATGCCTCGTGTCATTAATAGAAAAGGCAAAACAGCTACAGTCACATTCCTCTTCCATACATACCTTCAATATTTGAACAATTCATATTTGTCTGATTACATCACTGCCAAGATATTTACATTTTGTCCACCAGTATTAACTTACTTTACAACAACTTTTGTGCCTCGACAAATGACATGGTTGTTGAAAGAAAGTCGTTTTTTGGATACCTACATTCCTTCATTACGACACTGCCAATATATTTTGATTTAGTCCACTGGTATTTACTTACGTTGCAATAATGTCTTTAACCTGCTTGTTGGCCATACCCACGTAATGGTCAATCTGTACCTAAAATACACAAAAGAACAATAATTGTAGTGAAAAACTCAGGTATAATACTTCTCTCCCACTTGGCTATAAAGCGCGGCTACCGCCGAGCGGCGCGGGTGTTCGCGGCTACTGCCGAGAGTTACTGCCGAGAGGCGCGGGTTTTCGCGGCTGCTGCCGCCGAGCGGCGCTGGTGTTCGCGGCTGCCGGCGAGAGTTACTGCCGAGAGGCGCGGTGTTCGTTACTGCCGAGCGGCGCGGGTGTTCGCGGCTGCCGCCGAGAGGCGCGGATGTTCGTGGCTACTGCCGAAGAGTTACTGCCGAGCGGCGCGGGTGTTCGCGGCTACTGCCGAAGAGTTACTGCCGAGCGGTGCGGGTGTTTGCGGCTACTGCCGAGAGTTACTGCCGAGAGGCGCGGATGTTCGCGGCTGCTGCCGCCGAGCGGCGCTGGTGTTCGCGGCTGCCGCCGAGAGTTACTGCCGAGAGGCGCGGTGTTCGTTACTGCCGAGCGGCGCGGGTGTTCGCGGCTACTGCCGAGAGTTACCGCCGAGCGGCGCGGGTGTTCGCGGCTACTGCCGAGAGTTACCGCCGAGCGGCGCGGGTGTTCGCGGCTACTGCCGAAGAGTTACCGCCGAGCGGCGCGGGTGTTCGCGGCTACTGCCGAGAGTTACTGCCGAGAGTTACCGCCGAGCGGCGCGGGTGTTCGCGGCTACTGCCGAGAGTTACCGCCGAGCGGCGCGGGTGTTTGCGGCTACTGCCGAAGAGTTACCGCCGAGCGGCGCGGGTGTTCGCGGCTGCCGCCGAGAGGCGCGGGTGTTCGCGGCTGCCGCCGAGAGGCGCGGGTGTTCGCGGCTGCCGCCGAGAGGCGCGGGTGCTCGCGGCTACTGCCGAGAGTTACTGCCGAGAGTTACCGCCGAGCGGCGCGGGTGTTTGCGGCTACTGCCGAAGAGTTACCGCCGAGCGGCGCGGGTGTTTGCGGCTACTGCCGAAGAGTTACCGCCGAGCGGCGCGGGTGTTTGCGGCTACTGCCGAAGAGTTACCGCCGAGCGGCGCGGGTGTTTGCGGCTACTGCCGAAGAGTTACCGCCGAGCGGCGCGGGTGTTTGCGGCTACTGCCGAAGAGTTACCGCCGAGCGGCGCGGGTGTTCGCGGCTGCCGCCGAGAGGCGCGGGTGTTCGCGGCTGCCGCCGAGAGGCGCGGGTGTTCGCGGCTGCCGCCGAGAGGCGCGGGTGTTCGCGACTACTGCCGAAGAGTTACTGCCGAGCGGCGCGGGTGTTTGCGGCTACTGCCGAAGAGTTACTGCCGAGCGGCGCGGGTGTTTGCGGCTACTGCCGAAGAGTTACCGCCGAGCGGCGCGGGTGTTTGCGGCTACTGCCGAAGAGTTACCGCCGAGCGGCGCGGGTGTTCGCGGCTGCCGCCGAGCGGCGCGGGTGTTCACGGCTACTGCCGAAGAGTTACTGCCGAGCGGCGCGGGTGTTCGCGGCTGCCGCCGAGAGGCGCGGGTGTTCGCGGCTGCCGCCGAGAGGCGCGGGTGTTCGCGGCTGCCGCCGAGAGGCGCGGGTGTTCGCGGCTACTGCCGAAGGGCTGCCGCCGAGCGGCGCGGGTGTTCGCGGCTACTGCCGAAGAGTTACTGCCGAGCGGCGCGGGTGTTTGCGGCTACTGCCGAAGAGTTACTGCCGAGCGGCGCAGGTGTTTGCGGCTACTGCCGAAGAGTTACTGCCGAGCGGCGCGGGTGTTTGCGGCTACTGCCGAAGAGTTACTGCCGAGCGGCGCGGTTGTTCGCGGCTGCCGCCGAGAGGCGCGGGTGTTCGCGGCTGCCGCCGAGAGGCGCGGTTGTTCGCGGCTACCGCCGAGCGGCGCGGATGTTCGCCGGCAGCCGCGGGTTTTTGCCAGCAGCCGCCGAGCGGCGCGGGTGTTCGCGGCTGCCGCCGAGCGGCGCAGGTGTTCTATGATTTGTTCACATTAACTTATTTTTTTCATACATTTATCAGCTCATACCTTGTACTTCTCATAGACAATGGGGCAGCTAAACATTCCAACCAGACCTGGAGAGAGGGGGGAATAATAAGACCATGATCTACAACAACACAACGAGGCATTATTCAACCTGACTCTGCTGCAATCTCTAAACAGTAACTTGAGGGCATGTCCCTACAGACCCGGAAAGGGTGGATCAGATGCACATGTCAAACTAATGAAAAAGGAAGCTGGCGGTTATAATGGGTGTCAGACCGACACCTGTTAGTCAACCTCTTTCTCTCTATACAGACTCGCAAGGTATCCTGAAATAAACCCAGCTTAGGCCTGTTCCTGAGAGTATTACAGATCTAATCACATGATACTACTTTCCTAGGCACCATAGTAACAAAACAATGCATCATAAATGCCTTTATTCATATATTTTTAAATACCATTTATAAAGCATCTTACCCAGAATAAAGAGAGTGAGTCCGTTGAACAAGGCACCAACATAGGTGAGAATCCACATCAGCACAGCAAACTGAATGGGAGAAGAATGACAGGTTTTATTTCAGTGTGTTTAAAACACTAGGCCTATATGTACGAGACCATTTTCCATATACAGATTAGAAAAGCCATTCTATAACAATTTCACTAAATGTAGCATATTCATTCCTACGGCATTTACACACACGGCACTTCGCAGTGGTAATCCAGGATCACATGCATCCTTATATGGTAGGCAAGGTGGACAGCCCACTTTTTAAATGGGCATGGTAGAAAGAGCTCTTAAAATGATCAACTAAAGAAACTGTCTGAGAATCTCTGATCTGGAATCAAAACATCAACAAGCATTTATACCTTGTCCCAAATGTATAAATAAGGTCATGGTGGTGTAGCCAAAGTGATTTGGTTTATTTACAACATTTGGCAGAAGTTCACCATTTCCCTCTGCTCACATGGTACACTACAGAATAAATAGATGACACTTGAACCTTAATAAACCTAAATCGATGTAGCCAATGGCTCTGTTGAATGGTTAGAGGTCTAACTCACTGTACCCTCCAACAGAGGCCGGGCTAGGACCAAAGATACCCCCACCCACAGAGAGGGGCCAGGACAGGTTGGGAGGAAGGGGCTGGAGTGGCCTTAACAGTGGACAGGGCAAGAGTTGAACTGGAAGGTGTTGACAGGCATGTAGAAACCTCATAGCTCTCAACAGCTGCTGTTTCCCACTTAAGACCCCCTGGGGGTCACCTACTTCAGCCTGACTGTACATGGACAAAATAAAAGGAAAGCTCAAAGCCACTAATTTTACATGTGAATGTAATCATAGATTTAAGGGCAAATGTTTTCAGCTGAAATGTCAGTAGCTATCAGGGCAGGGCTCCCCAACTAGCGAACGCAGGTCAATTATTATCCTAACCAATTCTGAAATTAAATATGAGTTTGCAGGTCAGGAGTGGCCGTACCTCCTATACAAGCACTATATTTCCATGCACATGTCTTACATCTTGGCTTACATCTTTAAAATCTTCAGTTGCATTAACAGTCTCACCTTTAGGGAATCCACCAGGTCTTCAACCAGGAAGAGGCGACGCAGCTCGTTGACTGTTGTGTTGAACCGTGCCAGAGCGCAGTCGCTGTACTTATGGACAGTTTCCTCTGACAGAGCTACATCCTGATCCAGGTACAGCCTGCAAGACAAAACATGAGCGATGGATCTATGTATATCGCAAGACAAATCCTGAATCCATATTTGGTGCCTTAATATTCAACACTGGAGTTAACGCTAATAACGATATGGAGAATGTAATCAGAAAACATGGGTGAAGGGTCTACAATAACCTCTGAAGCCCACACAGGTTGTCGAGGAGTATAGTTGGCCTTTTTCTGTTTAGATTGATTTCTTAGAATGCAAAGCCAAGAACCGGCTTAGTTATGACTTTGAGCACCAGTCACTTTCCCTCTAATCTTAAACCCAGCTAATTCAATCTTAATGAGTGGTTGGTGAGAACCCAATGCGGCGGCTTTGAGCCACTTCCAGGAACGGGGATAACCTGAGTAGCAGCTCTGTTTGTGCGACTGAGTGGCAATGTTTACTCTCAAATAGGAGCCACGTCCCTTTCTCCCTCAATGGCTGGGAATACATCCACTACTGCAACCCATCTAATCAAGTGTTGCTCACTTCTCCTGAACAGCTTTCGGGTCAATATTTTACTCCAACCGAGTCATCTCTATCAATTAGCCAAGTAGCTGGATTAATGTTCAAATTGAAAATTCCTAAAACAGATGTGGGGTTTCAATTCAGTCAATTATTTGGAATTCAATTCCTGAATTGACTAAATGGAATTATCCTAAAACCCTGTATAGATGCATACTCTTTGGAAACACTTCCTTGGTATATTGATCACCATTCCATGGTCTTATATTATTCTAATGGGCCTACAAGGCTGCGGTATTAGAAAGTTACTCTGCTAGACATCCTTATCTGCCCTTTGGATGTAAGGCTAATAAGTAAGGCATGTATGACGTAATAGAATATATGGATGTTGTCTGCAATACATCATGGTGTAAGTTGAGAAGTGGGTTACTCACTTGAAAGGGTGCCCTTCATCAGACTTCTGGATGGCCTGCAGGATCCCCTTGTATATCCTGAAGCAGATGGTGACAGAGAGGAGAGCCAGACCGATGTAGGAGGAGACACTGACGATGCTGCACAGCGTCAGGGAGAGCAGCAGGGAGAGGCTAGCGCCAAACACCACGCCCGAGGTCTTGACATCACGCCAGTACAGGAGCTCTACCACTGCAGGGGAGAAGGGACAGGGTCAGATAGCTGTAGGGTGGGCTTCCTTTCAACACATTATGCTACGCTATATCATGGCGGTGATGTGGAGATGGGATGAATCAGGGAGAAATCTATGAAATTCTATACTCTTAATGATTTGTCTGCAGATCATTAGCTCCTAGCCATATGCTGATTGAGCTCGTCTGGATATGTGCACTCCACTAAAAAGAAATCCCGGGTGTTTTGGTTTACTGCTGTACCAGTACAGCACTGCAGGTAATCCACCTCTATTCATAGGAGTCATGTTATAGGCCTAACGCCCATTTCTTTGTGAAGATTGAGTGACAGGGTGGGGGTTGGCTAAAATTACAGAGCTGGGAGCAGGACAGACCCATGCTTGTGTTTCACCAGGAATTCCTAGCAGGTCAGTGTACAATATTAGATGTGAAACAGACGTTGATTTCCTACTGGCTGACTCATTTCAAAAACGTAGGCTAGCCAGCAAGCTGACATTGCTTGAGTCTGCAATGTGAAATGACTTGGCAGGCTACCAGATGTCAAATGGCTTAACATTTGACAAGTTTCTGCCAAAAAGATCATCATATCAAGTACTTGATACCAAAGCAACGACTTTTGCTGCATACATGTGATTGAATTGATGATATGATCATACAGCTGACAACGAGAAGTCGAATGCCTAAATAAACTGCAGGACCAAGACCATAAGCAGCATCAGCCAGCCTAGGGTCACACTTTTGACTGTCAAAAGTCACAAGAATGGTTGAGAGGCATCAAAATCAGAGATACAAGTCAGACAATCCTTAATGGACCACGTCGTGCGGTGTCGGTTTTTGGATGGAGAAGCAGTCAGTTTTTCATTTATCCAAAACCCTAACGTTAGCTAGATGCTAGCTAGCTTAGCAAGCTTGGCTACATGTCTTTCCATGTATAACTAAATAGCATATTAGCCTTAGCCAGTTAGCTGGTCAGCCCCAAAATGTGCATCACCGTGGCCCTTTGTCTATAATGTTGCTAGCGATATTAACTCACGTGGAACGAATAAAAACGTGAAGGGGAGCTCTTTCAGTCCGAACGTGTCTGTCTAGCTACATATGGTAAGCATGCACTAGCATGAGGACCTAAAAATAGCCCACGCATTATCAACAGCGCTGACCTCATCCTATAAACACGCCATGTTTTAATCAAGTCATTTCGTATACATACTGGTATTTAATATATTAATGGGGGCTATAGATAAACAGGGAAATGGCCATGAATCGTCCATAACGCCATGTCGTTCTCAGCCCAGTGCAGCCCCATCACGATAAAACGTCCAGTTTGGCCTAGTAGCGTGCCCTATACATACTAGCGCCACGCACAGCTCAATTCCAACGCATCCGCCTCCCCCCAAAGCGTTTGTCAAGCAAAAGTGTTTAATTAAAATGGCAATACAATCGAATATAAATGTGATATGAAAAAAGCAGCATCGTAAACGAAAGAGAATGACAGCACTAACCCCGTTCGGCATCCATCTTGAGCCTCCTCGCATTCAGCACCAGCTCCTAGCTCAGCTGTGCGAGCGATAGCGAGGCAGTTCACTTCCTGCTAGATCGATTTGAAGTCTACTTGTCTGCGCAGCTCTGCAGCGCCTCAGCCCTTAATAATTAACCCATAATACGTTTCAATACATGACCAATGCAAATATGTGAATGAGCTTTTCTACTATTCGAGGGAAGAGTGGTAAAGCTTTGTATGAATAGTCATTTGGTTTCAACACGGAATGAAAATCGGCGAGTAGTAGGTGTGGAAAATCATACATAACTCTGCAAATGTTACCCAGCTCAATCAACATAATACAACAGTGCATCTTTGCAGACATACAAAGTCAGATCAAATCTAAAATCAGGAGTAACAAAGCCATATTCCAACAAATGTAGAAACTGACACCAGAGGCAGTTTGCAATGTATTGAAAGTCTTTCATACAACCATTTGAAGCTGTGGACCAATATTTAGCAACTAGTGCCTGGCAGTGAGTTCATGTTAGTAAGAACATATTTTTTTTAGCCATAATGCCCCAGTTGGAACCAGTCCTATTCAAACTCTTAAATCAGAATACATGTCCGACAGAAATCAATTCACCCTTTATCATATTAAGTTCAAAGAAAAACGATAGGCCTTTGCTTTTGCCTGGCTACCCAGACTCCTTTAACCTAACATGGCAAGCGTAAAAAGACGCCTGAGTGGTGTTTCCACTTCCGGTTTTCAGGGGAAACAGAAGTTATATTGAGAATACTGTATCCCTGAAAACTGGATGTTAGCGTAGGCTAGCTCCGGCCAAACGCTACGCCACAGAGTTTCTAAATCCAGAGGCGCTACATTGCGAGACTTCGGGAACGCTTGCGAAACAGACCAGGCCGGGGTTTGAAAAGTCAATGAGAAGTGAAAAACTGACACGTTTTCATTTTGGTCAAAAACAACTTCATTTCAAAGGAGTGCGTTTGATTTGATGGACTGCACGAGCAGTTCGGCGCAAGACGACCGTTAGACCCGATGACGTGTTTCTACACATGAGCTTTGCTAGCTAACGTTGCCATGACATCGCCTACAATTGTGATCAAGGATTTATATTGGAGAAGCAGTTTCTGCCCATCTTCATACCGTACTGTCTTTGGCTACTCCACGCCCAAGGGAGTCTGGATCGGAGTACCTACTCGACCCTTCACAGAATGCGAAGGCATTCGGGCCCTCTGATTGATCCAGAAACCGATGGGTTGGGCCAGAGCCAGAACACACGTGGGTAATGAGACGGTTTGAAAATTAGCAATTGGGTTTGATACTCTGATCGGTTGGAGACGATCCAATCGCGGATGACTTTGTTTTGCAAAACACACCTCGTGCCCCTCATCACCACAATCGACTTCAATGACGGCAGTCTCAGACTACAGTACGAGTCGTCAGGCTACCTATCCTTGCCTACTAAAACTAACTACTACACTGTCATTACCCTATCCGATAGTGGCCAAGTGCCTCTTTCATGCTCAGCCAGATAGTAATTGCGAGAATGGATGACATACCATTTAGTCAAATAGAGTTGGCACAGAGGCCCTTTGAACACAATGCCCTTTGTTGCAATGCGTGCGGAGTCCCATCCCAGAATGATGCAACGGCAGCAGCACACATGACAATCAGCAGAAGTGAGCACAGCCACAGCACCAGTGTGATGCTCAGGCAACCCATGTCCCAGTCTGATCTGAAAGCAGATGGCTACAGCTGGGCCTGGAAAACACCAGAAGACCTCTCTTCTGCCATAAGCCACATGGATCCTCTGGTGCTTGCCATCTAGGTTAAATGTGAATCTGACCAGTTTTGCACATGCTGAACAATTGACTTCTATACACCTTTCTAAACACCTCATCAGCAAACTGTAGGGCTGAAGGCTGGCCCTGCATTCAGAAGCACTTTTGTCAGAGGGGTTAGAGAGACCCCTGGGGAAGAGACTCCTGGTGCACTGGTAGTAGCTGACCAGGCAGTGGTGTCAACTCCAGGCTGCATGGAATCATTAGACAATGTAATCTCACTTTAGCTCAACGCCCCTCTTTCCACCATGCACCTTTGGACAGACTTACTCCCGTCAGCGCTACTCTGACCAAAGGTCATCTGCCAGCAATCCAGAGAAAATTATAGAAAAAAAATAAGCATTTTAAGAGTGCCTCTACCAACAATCAGTTATCCATTTACGGACGGCTACTCATTCATAGAGCAAATGATATGCATGATTGGATGGGACAATCAACCTCCAACAACCCAGTCAAAACTACCAAAGTCATTACCAATAACATCCTACGAATGTCCACAATACCTGCGCATTGTTTAATAACCACCATCTAAAAACAAATTGACTACTTTTCATTTCACAAATGAAATCTGACTATAGAACCCAGCAATCACTGCTAAAAAACAAATTTAGAAAAGGTTGCCACAACAGTAAAATAAGGAAGAAGATACCCTTGTCTTTCCACTGTGGCGGAGGCTGGGAGTCTCCGTTTTCTGTTTTTCCGTTTTCCATGATAGAGCCGCTGTGTAGGTATCAGCAGGGCATTCCAGACAGTGTGTTGGGCTACAGGCGGGTGGGGTGCGGGGACCGAGGTGGAAGATGGGGGGGACAACCAAACCTTCCTCCTGTTAGACAACTGCAGTGTTCCTTGTCTCGCTCTTCCTTTCTCTGTGTCTCTTTCCCTCCCTCTCACCCCTTCTCTCAGGGTGTAGGACTGAGGTCAGCGGACTGTCTGCTGGCACAGAGAACGCCTAATGCTCTGACGCAGCAGCTAGAAACTTCCCCCGCCTCCCTCCCCCCTATCTCCCAGATAGATACTCTCCCTCCCCTTGCGCAAATGTACACGTGTTTATCCCTCCCCTCACCACCACATATGACAAAGCAGTGAGTAGATGACTCCACCCAGTGGCGCCTGGAGCAAAAACAATCCTAAAAACTGCCAGCCTGGCGAAGGAAAGTTGCCCTGTGTGAAAAATGATATAAGTTTTCCTTCAGTTTTTTCAGGTTCACTCAAAATCACACTTTAGACAAAAACAACAAATTGGATGTTCTAAATCCACAACAATGCTTAAACCATATAGACCCTTTTTTAGGTCTGGGAAAAATGTAAATCATTTTTGGGAGGGTGTAGTTTTCCTTTAATTCAGTTGCACACCTAGCAAGAGACCGTTTGGCTAGCAGTGTTTCTGTACAACAATGTAGGCCTACAGTGTACATGTGATGGCAGTTTGCAAAACAAATGCACTCCCGATTGATAGAAAATCATCATATCGTTCTGCCAGGTAGGCCTACTTTGCAGTCAACATTTAATTGGTAAGGTTTTTTGGGAAAGCTGTTACATTTTAATTCAAACAGTGCATGATGACTGCATCACAAAGATTCAACCAAGACTCCTGACCAAACCTTTTCAATACCTGGTTTGCATACCCATTGTTGCCTTAGTTAGCATTTACTGATAGATATAAGTTCAGTGGTGACCCGTCATTCAGGGCAAGTGGGGCAGCACCTTTTTAGGTGGGGGGGGGGGGGCTGTTTTGCATGTTATTTTGGCATTACTACGTCACATATCAGTTTGCAAACAATGTAAAAGAAAAAAGAAAAGAAAATAACATTGGTCGAACATCTCATTCCAAAATCATGGACTCTTCTGCTATGGCTTTCCACTAGATGTTGGAACATTGCTGCGAGCACTTGCTTCTATTCAGCCACAAGAGCATTAGTGAGGTCGGGCACTGATGTTGGCCGATTACGCCTGGCTCGCAGTCTACGTTCCAATTCATCCCAAAGGTGTTTGATGGGGTTGAGGTCAGGGCTCTGTGCAGGCCAGTCAAGATCTTCCACACCGATCTCGACAAACCATTTCTGTATGGACCTCGCTTTGTGCACAGGGGCATTGTCATGCTGAAACAGGAAAGGGCCTTCCTCAAACTGTTGCCACAAAGATGGAAGCACAGAATAGTCTAGAATGTAATTCATTGTATGGTGTAGTGTTGAGATGTCCCTTCACTGGAACTAAGGGGCCTAGCCCAAACCATGAAAAACAGCCCCAGACCATTATTCCTCCTACACCAAACGTCACAGTTGGCACCATGCATTCGTGCAGGTAGCGTTCTCCTGGCATCCGCCAAACACAGATTCATCCTTCGGACTGCCAGATGGTGAAGATTCATTACTCCAGAGAACGTGTTTCCACTGCTCCAGAGTCCAATGGCGGCAAGCTTTACACCACTCCAGCCAACGCTTGGCATTGCATGGTGAGCTTAGGCTTGTGTGCAGGAACTCGGTAATGAGTGTTGCAACCGAGGACAGACGATTTTTACGCGCTACGCGCTTCAGCACTAATTTGAAGGGGTGTCCACATACTTTTGTATACAGTGTATTTCACATGTTTTGCGATTGTGTAGGCTACTTTGTGCATGATTTCTCTATTGTTATACATAATGGATATGGCGTATACCCACCTAACGTTCTCTGTAGTTATACAAACGCATAGATTAGATAGATAATCCCTAGACTACAGTGAGTACTGTTAATAAAATAAAAGAAGCCCTCTGAATGGCCTCAAAATGTTTAAAGTTATGCTACATTAACCAATTCAAATGGTCCATAATCTAATTACATTTACATTTTAGTCATTTAAAAGACGGCGCCTGGAATTCGAACCAGGATCTCTAGTGGCACAGCTAGCACTGCGATGCAGTGCCTTAGACCACTGCGCCACTCGGGAGACCTAATCTCATGCACTGGGTAGAATCTGGGCAGAATGCGCTTAAATTATGAATTGAATATTATTCAATAGTGTTGATCAAGGCCATCTTCATAAACTGTATCATATCATCAAATCAGCCAAACAATTAACACATCTGGTCATCTCTTAAATCAACCCTCATCAGTAGTCGTAAATCACATGAGAAAATTGTGATTGTTGTATTAGTCCACTAGAGGGCACCTCCCTCATTTCTTTTAAATGCCTGCCTAGGTTTACACTTCATTATAATTTCAAATTATTCATATTGTGTTAGTGTTTTTAGCAAGTCTTTCAGAGAGTTGACAAATGGGTCACAGCTCCCCAATGTATATTCATGCTCAGCACTAGAGACAATAGGTGGTACCGTACAAGGTTCATTTTTCTAGAATAAGGGTGTAGTCTTACTGAAGAAAGAAGATGGGTGAATGATTAATCATACAGTGTGGTCGGTCACTACAGATCTATGTGGATTCAAACAACCCACAATCTCACTAAGGGGGTTTTGCGAATGAGATGTCAGGGGTGGTGATGTTTCAGATGGTTTTGCATATCCGGTCGACCAAATAAGGGAACACTTGCAGACAAGCTATATTCTTCATCGGCTGGTGTCGCAATGCAGGCAGATACTTTTTTTAGCGGGGAGATTCCTCGCACACTGTCTTGGGGCCCACCAGCCTGGCTCAGAGCAATGTCCCAATCAGATAAATAAATATCTGCACTCTACTGATATCGGTGGCATCACTGGGTGAATAACCAGCAAGGTACAACTAAGCCATTCATCTTTAAAAGACTTAGGCTAAGCTTTCATCTTAACTGCAAAAAAATTATAATGTTCTCTCAGGCAATCATGCAAAAAATAAATAAATGTACTAGAGCACTAGATCAGAAGGGCACTGCCTCAGTACGGTAAGCCTTACTAAATATATAGACATGTTGTGCTATAACACTGCCCCTTTCACTGAGCTGGTTTCATCCACATGTGGCCTTAAAAGCTATAGGGGCCTATAAGGAGGTGTACAATTTCAGCTTCATATCTCTGGTTATTTTCAGTAAGGGCTAAAACCAGACTGCAGACAGAGGTAATCTAATTCCACACAGCAAAAAGCTCTGGGCAAACTAGAACCACTGGGGGGTGAGCAAGACAAAGGTAGGCCTGCTAACTGCCACGCCCTGGTCCATGTGAGAGATTTCCACTAGATAACACACCCACAAAGTCAAAATTAGCTACAAAAAAAACAGCTTAATTTAAGGTTAAGTATAAGGTTCAATTTAAAATAAAATTTTAAGAAGCCAAATTGTAGAAATGGGTGTTTGGCCATAATTATGACTTTGTGGCTGTGTTAACTAGTGACTACCCCATGTGAGAGGCAGTTCTTACCAGGCCCTATGTAGTCCCATTCACACCCATTGGCCAGAAGCTAAGTTAATTATTGTAGATCAGTTAATTTTCATACCAGGAGTATTATGAAAAATGGGTGTTCACAAGCTCTAGGTCTATAAATGTAAATGACAGGCACTCAAATATTACTAGATGGCTGAAATGTATGCTATACCTTGGTATGGGATTATACACTGCTAGGTCACTTCCTAGAAATATATTCTGTGTGGTTTCAATGCCCTTCTAACGTAATCTCTTTGTAACATAAAACCCCCCATTGCCCATTTGTATTCAATTTCTGTGAAGTCATGAGAAATTAATTCTGTACTTACCTCATCAAGAGGATAGATTGCAAAATACAATGACAAGAATTAAGACACTGAAATGTACTAATGGGGAGGTGGAGGGGGAATTAACTACTGAATATGAAAACCAAGACCATGAAACCCATCTCATGCCAACACATGCACACACACAATTATAATGGTTAATAAAAATGTAAAAAGGGACGAGGCAGAGAAAGGTGATGTAAAAGAAGTGAAAACTGTGCATGGGAGAAAAATGAGTTATGGGCGGAGCTAAACGACGACCAAGGAGAGTGAAATGATGATGCACCAATGGTGACGAACTTCCATGCGGAAATTACCTGCTTCTGTGCTCAGGTTGGGCATCTGAGCAGTTTTGGGGCCCTCTGTGTCCTTAGCGAGCATCTCCGGTTTGCGAACAGGCGAGTGGATGAGAGGGGCCTGAGACGCGGGCTCGTTGATATCATCCTTCTCCAGGTCCGCCTTACCCTTCTGGGTAAGTAGGAGGTAAGAGCTCTGACTGGGAACTTCTTCCTGAACTTCTGGGGCTACATTTGCAGACGCCACATCCTTCAGCCCAAAGCTCATGTCATCTTCATCATCATCATCCATACTAAGCTCTGGTGCCTTGGCAAACTTGGCGCCATCGAACGTTTCTAGAAACTCATCCATCACACCCCTGGGGGGCCGTTCGACAAACTCAAACTCTTCTGAGGAGACATCCGGCTCAGAGATCTCTTCTGCTGCCTCTGGCTCTTCCACTTTCATGTCATTCTTCTCAGTCTCCACCTGGAAACTTGCAGGATTCTTGGCCATTGCCTCCAGAACAGGGGACAGCGAGTCTGCGGAGGGACTCTCGGAATCAGAATCTTCAGGGGTCTTTCTAGTCTGGATATTAAGAGGCTCTAATTTCTTCACTGTTTTGGGTGAATCTTGACTGGAAAACATCCAATCTTTTTGTTCTATCTGGACAGGTTCTTTGCTCGGGGGTGTGGTCTCTGCCTCCTTTACAAGGTCAAAGGCACTAAAGCCTTTATCATCTTCAGTCTTCACCGCTAATCTTGCTTCAGTCTCCTCAGTCAGCTCCTTCAGCAGTAAAGCTTTGGAATCGAAAGCAAAGGGATTTGTGGCTGACAGAGTGACGGGGAGAGTGGGTGACTCTACAATCTTCCGGACAGGAGCAGGGCTCGGCTCAGTGCTTCCTTCAGAAGAGCCAGAGTCAACTTTGTCAGGGTTCAGAGGGAAGGGCTTTAAGATATCTGGGAGAGATGGTGGAGGTGCAGAGTCTTCGCTCTCTTTTGGGGTGGTTGAGATCTGATTGAGTGGCTCCATGAGCGAGTCCGCAGCCATCTTGACAGACTCGTAAGTTTTTGTCTCATCATAATATGACGGTGGGCTGCCATCTTGGGAGTCTCCAGCCTGGCCATACTGGACCAGGTCTGGGGTGGGACTCTCAGACATTTTAGCTGCCCGGCTGTCAGAAGTGGTATCCCCAAAATGGGAGAACCCTGCATCTGCTACAGGGGAGAAGCCCTGGAATGGATTCTTCTTCACCTCAAACATTAAGTCATCATCTGGTTGGCCAAGCATATCTGGCGCATACCCAGAGGAGCCTCTGGAGGCTGAGTCCTTGGAGAACATATTCATGGAGGCCCTGGTGTTGTCTTGAGAAGCTAGGAATGGAGAATCCCAGTGCTCTGTTGGGGTAGAGGAGGCAGGTGCGATGTCAGATTCAGGGGTCATCTGGGGATTTTTGGGGGACTGGGAAGGAGTAGTAGACCTGACTGAGCTACAAATCTGCTCTTCGGGAGAGACAACCCCACTGTCTTCACACAGAGACTTGGGCCTTACATCTCTCTCCGAGCAAATGTTTTGATCATGTTTACTTTGAGTGTAGGTAGCAGCTTCTAACCCTTTCACGGTATCCTCATCGTTCTTAATAAAGCCTAATCTGGTGTTACCCTCTTCATCACAAGGAATATCCTTGGTCGGCATTTTGGGAGGCTCAGTAGAAGGCCAAGAAGAGAAGCCCAATGGAGCGGATGTTGGATTTGGGGACTCTGACAAAGAGAGGTCCTCCAGTGAGTCAGGAGAGTGAAGAGGAGAGAGGGGGGAGATGGGAGCAGGGGAATCACCCATCTGCCCAAGTTCTTGAGTAGAGAGGGAAAATGCAATACATCAAGACACACTCCATTCCTTCAGTGCTAGCAAGCCATGCCAGGCAAGCCCTTCCAGCATTCTGCAGAGGTGAAGTGGTGATTCCCATCAGATATATCTCAGAGGTATCGTCTGGCATGCCAAAAGATGCAAAACCAGTTATGAAGATGTTTTATTCTTCTTAGCCAATCCTTGTGTAATGTGTCAATTTAGTCACTTAACATGGGCGCAATCAATGAGGGGAATCATCACTTCTAAACGTCTTATGAATTTGTAACTATAAAGTTAGTTTCTTCTGTCATATCTAGGGTCTACTGTAAGTGGACTTTGGTCACAGGGATTCACAATACATGATCATACAAATAAAAGAACACCCTTTTTTTATAGCTACTTTCAAAGTTACTCAAATGCAAATACTATGAAAACGATTCCTTAACGAACTTGGCATGCATTTCACAGACAGTCAAAATGTAATTCAGGTATAAAGGAATGAACTGAAAAAGAAGATGCAGGAGGGCAAAGACACAGCCAGCAAAGAGAACTTGCCTTTTGGAAATTGCATCAGAGGTTGAAGCGGAGCAGGAGGAAGAAAATTTTCATCTGAAAGAGAGACGGTAGCAGTGTGAAATTGACAATGCCAGTAGTTGAGAAGAGGAAATAAAACAAAATGCCTGGGTAGAACGTTTTTCAAGCAAGACCACAATAATGTGAACCAGATACTAACAGTGGGACACATTGCGGACACCCTCTCTGTACAGGCAGCTTATAGCATACAAGACAGGAATAGCTGTCAGTCAATCTAGTCAATGGACATGGCCAATGGACAAGCCACATGGCAAATATTACACAAATGTTCATGGCAATAATCTTATCACATTTCTAAACGAAGCCGCAAAAATGTGGTTCAGGCTCTTGTCTAGCGTATTGAATGAGACAACATAGCCCATTTTTGAAAACTGTATTCCTTATTTCAATCCTTGATTCCAGCTTTTAGGACTGTTTGAGACATAGGCTTAATATCATTGACTTAGCAGAGCATTAGGTGAGAGTTGGCAAAAACATAGAAAGAGCACAAATTCAAATCAAGACCATTTAATCAAAATGTGACATGTTTAATTGCATAAATCTCCCAATTTGAGTCATTTCAAGCCTATTTCAGCCAGATCACCACAATTTCACAATATTCTCAATAGCCTGTAGATTAAGATGTCTTGGAATATTTCAGTAGGCCAGAAACAAAACATAAATCATACTTGGTTGATTCAATGATCATGAATGTAACAATTGAAAATCACAAGTTGCAATCATCAACAATGGTTCTGAATACCATTGTCCAATCATTCAAAAAAAGATCAAGCATTCACTCATCAAAAGCCAGTAATATATTTTCATATTACAAAATGAATGTTTTACATTGATTATTCCAATCTGAGGATTATTCAGATTAGACCAGTTTCAGACCAGTTACCTCTTGTGTCTAGGTTCCAGCGTTGAAGTACACCTAAAATTTAACCAATAGACATTATACATTAGCTATAATGAAATCCAAGTTGCTTTAATTTTCTGTCCACCTGTTCTGCATAAGCTATAGGCCTTTATGGCAATGACTTCGCTTGAATAGTGTATTGTGGAACCCTAAATTTAGGCCAACACTCACCATGACCTACAACCAATGTTCCCTCTAATTTGTTTGATGGCACTGAGCAAATTTCAGGTCTGGTGAGCGCAAACATTGTGAAAATTCTGTGCAACTTCCGGCGCGTTTACTGTGAACAATTAAGCTGTACCCACTAAGTTACAGTTAACCATGACCAAGTAGGCTATTTTATTATAATGTAGGCCTACCAGTGGCCTACCATAAAAAACAATGGAATAAATGCATCCCATACATTTTTTTGCATGGAATTAGCTGTTCTATCATTAAGCGTACAGCAGCAGCCAATGTGTGGTGTTCAATGTAGGCATATAGGCCTACTGCAGCTCTGATTGGTTATGACGCACCAGTCTGTGTAGAGTACAGGCCTGAGCAGTGCCAGTCAATGCAATAGAATCCTACTCCAATGCGCTCTGCCTACAAGAAAATCTCTTGCAGTTAATTTTGCATACTAAATCTTGCATAGTTCGTTTGTTTCGGTATATTACATTGAAAGTGGATAATAGTGTTGATTTGATCCATCTCCCACAGTAGAGCGAAACGTTGATAGGGTTAACTAAAGGGGAAAACTCAAGAAAAGGTGAGCGATGTTCAATCTCATGCTTCTCTGCACAGGCGGATATTCTGTGCGGCAATCCGAGGGGAGCTGCACACCCATGCAGCTTAGCGGGAACATGAGAGCTGCGACATTAAGCGTGTCATATGTCTGAGGTGGTAAAGAAAGTTAATGGTGGAAAGGCTACATGTACAGTAGCCAACAGATCCGATCTGCTTGCTTACAGCTGCACTAGGGTCGGACCGGCTTCCTGTGTAGATTAAGCAAACGGGTTGGATGTGCTGGATACATGTATAGCAACTGCAATGGAAGTCATGTTAACTCTAGTCAAGCCAATATGAGATGAGAAGGGGGCCTTCCTGTTGGTGTCTGATTTTATGGGGAGGAGAACTCTTGCATGGCATCGACATGAGATGCAGTGGGATAATCTTCTACCTGCTGCTATCTTCGCCGAAGAACTCAATGGGTGTTTCTCAATATGCATACTACCATGCTCCGAGCATGCAATCTGTAGCACGGGAGGGTCGCATGAGTTCAAATCAAAGTATGCGAAACGGAGCACGGAGGGCACTTCTCGGATGCGTACTCCACCTCTACACATTGAAGCTTGCGTCGATGCAAGCTTCAACGAAAAGTATGGCGAGAAATATCACTCACCAACATAAAAAAAAAGACAATTTCTTGAACTCAATGGTGGCCATTATTTGAGCTGAAGCGAAAGAAAATACTCAGATTTCGGAATGAAATGTTGCCTATTCACATCTCATATATTGCCTGCTAGCCATGAAGAATTGGTAGCTAGCTACCCAAGAAGAATTGGCTTCCACCTTGCATTACATTAGCTTAAGGACATTTTTGACTGTTTAACTAGCTGGCTAGCTAGATTATTACAATTCACATAACGCTAGCTGATAATTATGAAGTAAAACATTTGTGTATATCTTCTTTCGTCTATTGTCATTGTCCTGGCTGCAAGAAGGTTCAGTGAATGGGGAAGTGCAGCATGTGTGAGGTAATACAGTAGGGAGAATGAGAGTGCTTCTCAAATGTTATGTTTTATGCCTTCTATACACTCACAAGAATGGACTCAAGAGAACATCCTCTGAGAATGCACTCGGAGCATGAGTGTGGAGTACGGTAGTATACATATTGACAAACACCCAATGTATGTTTGCTGTCAAAACACACTCCCTACTATGACATAACATGTTCCACACAGAACACACCTTTTGTCAAGAAACAGAGGTCTGATTAACCTGACACCATAGCAACTACAGCACCTAACCTAGCCAAGTACTGAATCGCAATGCAGTCGATACTTCAACAATGTAAATACTTAAACCCTTACCGTGTATCTATTTTTATCCTCTGTTGTTGCGTGCTGAAATCCATACTTTAATAAGTTAATAAAATACAACCAGACTGTTTCCTCATTTCTGTTGCTCTAACATGGCAACAATGCGCATGTGCCAATTGAATCGCAACCAGAAAACAGTCGGTGGTTGTATTTGATTAACATTTAATTAAAAAGTATGGATTAAAGCAAACATAGAAAGGCACGCAACAGAGGACAAACAGATACACTGGAAGGGTTTAAGAATGTACATTTATGAAGTATTGACTGCATAGCGAGTTGGAGGTTAATTTTAAAAAACGCTAGTCTCCCGACTATACTCTGTGGATGAAATCATTGTGGAGTTGAGGTACTTGGCTATACCTAACCTAGTGTGCCAATATAAAAGTAGGCTAATACATTGTCAGAAGTGATTCAGTGCCCTGGTAGATGATAAACCCAGCTGCTGTGGTGGTAAAGAGAGACGCATTCTGAGGTGGGGTGGGTATTCCCTTATCTCCACTTGCCCTTTGTAGGATACGGAGACTACAATCCACAGCAAAGGGAGTGGGAGCCCCTTTTTTTATTTTACCTTTATTTATGTAGGCCCATTTCCTGAGTGTTTTTAGCATCGCTCTTGTTTAAGAAGTCTACACAAATTATTGCAGGAAACCAAAGTAGACTATATAAAACATGCATGTCCTCCCAAAAATTAGAATTAGCTAGGCCTATTAGCTAGTCCGAAGGCAATAGTCGGGCCTAAAGCAATTCAATGAAAAGTCACTCAACCAGGTCTTTGAAGCTAATCTAATGTTCTCCCAACCCCGCCCTGACTGTCTTGCCTCGCATGTTTGGGAAAGTGGTTAGCTAGCTAGCCAACCAAATTACAAACATTTCTCCCAACTAATGTCAGATTTCAGGCGAATTGGTTGGAGTTCATAAAAACACGTCAGACATTAACCAAATAAATCAGGTGGAAGATTTGTAGGGGTGAAAAACCAATCCATCGTGCGATGAAAAATGTTATCAGAAAAATAACGTTCGCTAGCTTGCTTCCATTAGGTAGTTAGTTATCGTTCATGAAAATAACTGCTATTTTGGGGAGAAACAACTAAAACGGGAGTGGTCGATTTTAGATTAGATTCCTTTGTTACGACTTATACAAGCCATCTTGACTGAGTCAAAACAGAGCGTGCTAGCTAGCTTTGCTAGCGCAACCACACAAACCAGGTCGGAGCATGACATGACCCAATTTATCATCTTCTTGGATTAAAAAAATACTATGGCAAAGCTAGCTACCATCGTATGTAATTTAAAATGACCACACTATTGTATCACTTTTTTTAAAGGAGTCGTTGAAATAGGTAACGTTAGTCCAATTCTGCCAGTTCATTAACGTTATATTAGCTAACTAACGTTAGCTACCTTCCTGCTGATGATAGTTTGTCAAAACAGGTGGGCCGCATCTTCACATAGCTAGTTACCTCGCGTTATTGGCCGTCCATAAAACATTTACTTCAGAAACGTTAGTTACCTAAACAACTATCAATGGCAATGCCAAGGCATTGTTGTATCGAGCCGTCCACAACAATGCCCTGGCTACAAACATTTGCTTTAAAAATAAAAAAAAATGGTTGTCGCATCAATCCCACATAGCTAACGTTATGCTAGTTAGCTAACGTTACCCCACATTATCAGTTAGTAGCGTTAGTAAGGTAGCGTTAAATAGCTAGTCAACTGTAAAGGGAATGGCAAATAATAGTTAACAAGAAAACACTGAAACATCTCTAATAATGTTTTACCAAGAGACTGATTACGAAACCAGATTACGTCTAAAACGTTTAAAATCATTGACTACTCACCGGATGCTGCTGGGGGAGCCGCAATCGCTTCTTTTTCTGGAGCCGCTTCGGGAAACACTTCTACTACTGGAGCTGATTCTACTACTGGGGCTGGTGCTTCTTGAGCTGCTTTTGGTGGATCTGGCCTGATGAGTTCTGGCAAAGAGTCTGCTTCAATAGGATTGAGAATCACTGGTTCAGCTTCTGAAATTGTGTCAGTCACCTCTTCCTCCTGTTCATCTGATGGAGTTGAATCTGAAATCACATCCTCGTTTGTCAGTTGTTCCGTTGTTTCCTCCTTCGTAAATTCTGTTATATCCTCGGGGGAAGAAGCCATGTGCCTCTCAATAGCATCCTGTGCCCCGCCAACTAAGTCTACAATATCATCTTCGCCAACTTTAGCTGTGGCCTCGTTGCCATAATGATTCCCATATTGACCGTACCTACTCATTTCGTCTACGGACGGAGTTGTCGACGATACTACTTGTTCACTGTCTTCCATCTAATTGCCGGTTATCTGCGTAAAAAGTTTATACTTTGGAGGGCAAGTTCCCAAAATAACTACCCACACTAAAAAAATCCAAAATACCTCTAACAAACAATAAAATACGCTCGTTGACTCCCTTCAGGCCTTTTTTTGGGGGGTCCGAATAAACTAAAGTAACAGAAGTGCGCCACGACCACTGCCACGGAACAATCCGCTCTCAAGCGTCGCCTACCAGTATATTGAAACCGAGAAGCAAGAGTTGAGTGACCAATAACTACAGAATAACCCTGAGCGATGCCACCTGTGACCAATAAGTGTTTGTAAACGTAAACTGTTCCCGCCCAGTAGATGGGGGGATTGCTGAATTTGTTAACACCCCTTTCTCAAACCTTGCACTGTTGGCCAAAATAGTTCAGGGTTGTGACTAGAGGGAGTACAGCTACGAACGGAAGTGACAGAGCATTTTAGGTAACCCTAACCCTTTTCCTACCCTTAACCTAAGTCTCCTAACCTGCCACGTTAATTATCATAACTTGCTGCGTAAATTCTCCTAACCTGCTACGAAAAAGTAACTTCCGGATGTAGCTGGACTCCCCCTCTGGAAACACTATTTTCATGCCACTTCGATACCGAAGTGACTTTTTTCTAGCAGGTTAGGAGACTGAGGTTAAGGTTAGGGAAAATGCTCTCCTAACCTGCTACGAAAATCACGTTGTATCGAAGTGGCGTGAAAGGCACCGTACTCCCTCTAGTCAGAACCATAGTTTCAGGAACACACGTTGGAGTGTCAGACAGTCATTGGATGACGTAACATTACAGTTGCATGAGACAAAGTTAACTTTGTATGGAACACTGTTACATCACTTTAACTTACTATTTAATCCTTGGCTGAACAGCAGCTCTTCCTACACATACACCAATCAAATGAACACCTCAAAACACTTAAAACTTTGAGACACATGCCTTAGGTAATATGCATTTTCGACTGTGCATTGTTTGTGGATTATTATGTGGGTGCTCTGTGCTTTGTATATAGTGATATCCTAATTAATCATAATAATATTTAATTTGTAGAACGCATTTCCCAAACACAATAAAACCGTTCAATTAAAAAGGGCTGGTGCTGGCCAATTTTTTTTGGGGTGCTCTGCAGTCTCCATTTTGGCATGCACAGGTTATTTTTCTAAAAGGTGTGTTGACGCATGCGAAGCTGTATAAGAACATGCATGAAAAGGCAGCTCAACGTGATACAGATTCCTACCTTACAAAATAGATGTTATGGACATTTGCATGACTACATGTGTTCTATGTGATATATCTATTACATTAGACACAATATATTCAATGTAAAGAAACACTCCTTAAGAAATTCTTACGAAATTCCAATCTATTTAGTCAACGGAGTTGTTATAAATCTCATTTGTGACATTATCTAATCCTTACACAGGATTTGCAATATGTTTAGGGTGGCAATTCCCTCTTGGCCAGCTCTTGAATTATTGCGACATGTAGACATAGTTACGGTCAGTTCCTTGGCCGACAAAATATATACACCCTACACGCATTATTTGTTTGACTAAAATTTGATTTTAGATTACATTTGATTTTAGATTAAATGTCCAGTACTGTATTGCTTTCCCTCAGAGGAACATAGCATGGCCTTGTTAGTGGGCCATTTGCTCTAGGATATCAATCATCTCCCAAATAACCATGATTGCCCCTCTCTTCTAGGAATTTCAGCTGTGCACTTGGTGGAAGCTGGACTGAAATCCTACTGTGACTTTGCAGTTTACCCTTTGCTATAGCTTTGCAAGCTCATGAGGGTGGATATATGTGAGTTGCACCCCTTCTAAAAAAAACAACACTCGACCCTTCTCATGTCAACAACTACAGACCAGTATCCCTTCTTTCTTTTCTCTCCAAAACTATTGAGCTTGCCGTCTTTAGCCAACTCTCTTGCTATCTCTCTCAGAATGACCTTCTTGATCCAAACCAGTCAGGTTTCAATACTGGTCATTCAACTGAGACTGCTCTTCTCTGTGTCACGGAGGCTCTCCGCACTGCTAAAGCTAACTCTCTCTCCTCTGCTCTTGTCCTTCTAGACCTGTCTGCTGCCTTTGATACTGTGAACCATCAGATCCTCCTCTCCATCCTCTCCGAGCTGGGCATCTCCGGCGCGGCTCACTCTTGGATTGCGTCCTACCTGACCGGTCGCTCCTACCAAGTGGCGTGGCGAGAAGCTGTCTCCGCACCACGTGCTCTCACCACTGGTGTCCCCCAGGGCTCAGTTCTAGGCCCTCTCCTATTCTCGCTATACACCAAGTCACTTGGCTCTGTCATATCCTCACATGGCCTCTCCTATCATTGCTACGCAGACGACACACAACTAATCTTCTCCTTTCCCCCTTCTGATAACCAGGTGGCGAATCGCATCTCTGCATGTCTGGCAGACATATCAGTATGGATGACGGATCACCACCTCAAGCTGAACCTTGGCAAGACGGAGCTGCTCTTCCTCCCGGGGAAGGACTGCCTGTTCCATGATCTCGCCATCACGGTTGACAACTCCATTGTGTCCTCCTCCCAGAGTGCGAAGAGCCTTGGCGTGACCCTGGACAACACCCTGTCGTTCTCCGCTAACATCAAGGCGATGACCCGATCCTGTAGGTTCATGCTCTACAACATTCGGAGAGTACGACCCTGCCTTACACAGGAAGCGGCACAGGTCCTAATCCAGGCACTTGTCATCTCCCGTCTGGATTACTGCAACTCGCTGTTGGCTGGGCTCCCTGCCTGTGCCATTAAACCCCTACAACTCATCCAGAATGCTGCAGCCCGTCTGGTGTTCAACCTTCCCAAGTTCTCTCACGTCACCCCGCTCCTCCGCACACTCCACTGGCTTCCAGTTGAAGCTCGCATCTGCTACAAGACCATGGTGCTTGCCTACGGAGCTGTGAGGGGAACGGCACCTCCGTACCTTCACGCTCTGATCAGTCCCTACACCCAAACGAGGGCATTGCGTTCATCCACCTCTGGCCTGCTGGCTCCCCTACCTCTGCGGAAGCATAGTTCCCGCTCAGCCCAGTCAAAACTGTTCGCTGCTCTGGCACCCCAATGGTGGAACAAGCTCCCTCACGACGCCAGGACAGTGGAGTCACTCACCACCTTCCAGAGACATTTGAAACCCCACCTCTTTAAGGAATACCTGGGATAGGATAAAGTAATCCTTCTACCCCCCCCTTACCCCAACCAACCCCCCACCCCCCCCCCAAAAAAAAAACGTTAAAAAAACATTAAAAAAAACATTGTAAAGTGGTTATCCTACTGGCTATAAGGTGAATGCACCAATTTGTAAGTCGCTCTGGATAAGAGCGTCTGCTAAATGACGTAAATGTAAAATGTAAAATGTAAAATGTGTGTGTGAGAGAGAGGAGGGGAGGGGAGTAATCCCATACAGAAAAACAGAGGAGAAACCCGATAGCTTTGATAGCTTTGAAAATGGTCAGACTGAAATAGTATCTTGCTGTAACTGGTACGTCGAGGCTTGTAAAAACCTCTTACGTTTAACATAGCCCATGCTACAATATTTTAAATCACCCTGCCCACTACCTCCTATTAAGTTACAACTGTCCTCGGCTTCAAAAAGGGTCAGACAGTGCTGCTTCCAGACATCTCTTTGTGTGACAGATCCCCCCCCCCCCCCCCCCCCCCCCAAAAAAAAAAAAAAAAAAAAAAACTTCCCAGCAAGATTGTGCACAACCATCAAGTGTGATGAAGTAATTTATTAATTACAGACAATGCATCAAACAACTAGAGGTGCTAAAACACATTCATAAACTACGATCTTGTGATGGCAAACTGCAATAGTAATGTAGTGATGGCCTGTCATACTTGTAATTTGGCACACAATGGCTAAATAAATCCCCTCTCTTTCCTGTCTGGCGGTGAGAGGGAATAGTTGGCAGATCGAGGTCCTTGCCAGGGCTCAGGCATGTATGTGTGAGTTCACTGCAGGAGTCTTCCAAAGCATCTGCTATCTGAGGAATGGGGCCTTGTGCTGAAAGTGGAGAAGATAGGGAGCCAGAAAAAGCCGGCTTGCATCTGCCAGTGCTCTCAAGTGTGGCGGCCCTTGACAGTTTCAGTCACACAGGATCAGCCACTGACCGTCAGAGACACTTCACATTCTGAGCTACAGGGACCTCTCTTTGGAGTGGGCGAGACGACAGGAGGCTGGTGAGGGGAGGATGGCCCATAATTCAGTTCAATCCAGTACAGGCTTAACTGAATGACAAAAGAGACCGAATACAATATGGAATTTTATTGAATAGTTTGGGGTAGGCCTCGTCTCCGAGGAATGCTCCTCAGAGCCAGATGACAGGTTGTCCTTTGCTGGGCAGCTGGCATCAAAACCCCCCCGCCGGGGGAAAGGAGTTCCAATGACGGGCCTTAAGGTTATTATGCTGGTGGTGGTGGGGAGGTAGCATGGCACACTGTTGCAAAACAACAAGTTGGAGACACAAGGTTTGAGTTGACATATACAGTAAATACTCCTCTAGATTCATGCCCATTGGTTGAAAGAAAGGAGAGTGATTAATGCACGAGTGAGCCCATAAGTTAATCAGCAAGAGTGGTGGAATTGCCTTAGTGTGGCCATGCTCACAGGCTGAAGTTAATAGGTGAATGACATTCCGCATGCTTGCTAATAGTAACGGAGAAGGGAGGACATGACGCCATGCTGATGAGGGACCATCATGACACTACCATATAAATACTGGCTATGCTGATGAGGGACCATCATGACACTACTATATAAATACTGGCTATGCTGATGAGGTAACGATATATAATCATTACCATAAATACCTGCTATGCTAATGAGGTAACATTATAAACATTCTCCTATAAATACTGGCTATGTTGATGAGTGAGATAGGAAGCGGTGTGAATTATTTGAGTTTACTAGATGAATGAAAAGTGACAATCCATTCAGACCAACCTTACTGATTGAACTTTCG